ACAGTGAGTGGAACAATAAAATTTTTTTTTTACGATTGTGCGATTGACTTTGGAGGAGTGCACCTGCCAAGCGTTGTTTGTGGTTGAAAACACACAAAAAAAGGCAGGGGTGGATGTAACTAGGGTAGGCCTAGCTACTAGTTACAATCTGATGCAACTGATAACGAACGATAAGCCGCGACGCAGTATTACAGTCTGATGCAACTGATAGCAGGTGGCTTATTAAATCGGACTGATAACAATCTCAAAGCCAACGCGTGCTATTTTGGGAAACGGTACGAGGGGATTCAGACGGCCTGTCAACTTTGATTGATAGGATGCAGATGTTTTATTAATCGGGCTGTACGTTAGAACTGCGCAACTAGTAGTCGGAGACATCGAGTACAAATATCGATTACGGAGGAATACAAGTACGAATACGAGTACGAATACAAGGGATAAATAGGAGGGGACGGCTGAACTCGCCCTTTTTCGATCGCTCGCTCTCCTTCGATCGCTCGCACTCTCTTCATCGCTCGCTTTAGATCAGTCAGTCTGTGTGACATATCAAGTTGGAGATAGAACGGGTTAGCCGTATTGTGTTAAGAAGGACGATAGACATGTGGATTCAGTTATATGAAGCCTAGTGAGGACTGTTAGGGGTCAGTTGATTCAGACTATTATTGTGAAGCATTCCTGTTGATTCATTGTGTTATTTTGAAGCATTTCTTGATTCATGTAATAAAAGGATCAATAGCGAACCTGCATCTTCGAGTATTTCTACTGTGGTCGATGTTGTGTAGAATGAGTGGTTAAACTCGTTACATTTGGCACTACAGGCAAATAGTCTCGTAACATGTGGCGTTGCGAGCAGGGTAACTGTTCGCTCGTTACATATATATATATATATATATATATATATATATATATATATATATATATATATACATACATACATATTATAATCGATGAAACGTTACAAAGACCAGACGAACAATCCCTAAATAATATGTAAATGTATATTTGTTTTCTACCTACTCAAAATATCTTAATTAAAAGAGGTTAGAAATAGGAGTCAAACTTATGGTTTAGATTTATTCTTCGTCTACAGAGTAGACTTGCTATACATTGTTCTGTGGTTGAGTTCATTGAGTGGGTTGGTGTTTTTTAAAAAAGTTGATTCCTTGTTTTTTTTATTGAGGATGAGTCATTGTGCAGTAGGTATAAACTAGGCATGCTGCCCAGCTTCGCTTAGGCTTTCGAAAACATTGAGAATTTGAATGCTTAATTAATTCGCCCGAAGGTCGGTCTACGACCTCAAGAGTTATGAAGAGGTTCCTCCGTGGACATTTTTTTTCGATTTATAGCTCATATAAGGTACCGGTCAGTCGAGGTCAGTTTTGACCCCCACATCGTAGACTTTTCGGCCAACCGGCCCCCGTGTTCTGTCGCACCAAGGCAAGATCATGCCAAATTTGAAGCGCCTGCGGCGCCGGGAAGTGCCCTATCGGACACCCGACAATCTAGATCTAGATCTAGATTCCTAAAAGAATTTTTTTTTTAAGTTTAGCCCGAGCATAATAAAAAAGAATACATTAACCAAGTTGACTTGCTGTGTCTCGAACCCGCACCACCTGCGTGGTTTAATGTACACTAACATTTCCGCTATTTAGGCACCTTATAAAATGCGGAGAATGAAACACGTATTTTAAAATCTTAACTTACGCGAATATGCCTATTCTTTCAAATTAATTTTTTATCCCAAATTAGCCAGTTCCAAACAAAGATTTTGTATAAAATAAATAAGTCTTGAAATAGTTTAGTCCTAATATAGAAATTTATTTTTGGAATTGATTTTAGAGAAGTTAGAGTCTAAATCTAGATCTTAGCGTCTACGTCTAGATCTAGTTATTGCGTAGATTTAGATTTAGATTTAGTCTAGATCTAGAATATCTAGATCTAGAATCCAAATACATAAAATAAATTTTATGAGTTTAGGCCGGAAAAATTGTATTGTATACATTTCATAGTGTACGTAGATCTAAATCAAATTTGAATGAAATAGTTCATTTCTTTTCATTCTAAACACGGCAGATGACGTCATTAGTTAATGTATAAGCAATAGTGACGTCACAGTTTTATGCGTTCTTTTTCACATATATTAATGCTTTTCCGGTTGCATAAATAATACTGTTTCTCTACATTCGAATACGCCTTTATTTTTTATTTTTCTTCTTTAAATAAAATTGTGGTTATACATTTAAAACATCTAACATATTATTTTCAACAAAAGTCCGTAAAAAGTTCTCGATATATCGCTGCCGATTCTGACGTGATGTCCGGCGAAAAAGAGACAGAGAAAGAGAGAGAGAGAGAGAGAGATGTGCGAACGTGGAGATTTATATATTAGGATTGGTGTTATAGTCTGCATGTTCCCTTGCATGATGATATGCCATTTGAGCGTGTGAAGTTTTGTCATGACATAGATGACAGTATCTGAAGTGTTTGGCATCCCCGTTTTGTCATGACACAGATGACAGTATCTGAAGTGTTTGACATCCCCGTTATGACATGACACAGATGACACAGATGACAGTATCTGAAGTTTTTGACATCTCCGTTTTGCCATGACACAGATGACAGTGTCTGATGTGTTTGACATCCCCGTTTAGTTGAGTTGCTGCGGCTGCTGATAATGTGTGGCCGCAATATCTGCAGTTGTGTTTTTGTTCATAGTTCCTTGTGGGTTTTTTCCCCGGATTTTTTGTTGAAGAGAGATGGGATAATCATGAGTTGTTGCCCCTTTCTCCTCGTTGTATTTCTACTGTGTTCTTTTTTGCTAAGGGGATGATGGGGTTGGTAATGATGCTCGATGCTGTTTTTGATAATCTGGCTTTGTCTGTTGTGTCTTTTTTAATTTTGATGAAAAAGTTCTTGTCACTTGTGTCTTTCTGTTGCTACGTCTGTCTATATTTTGTTGCTGAAGTTTTCTGGTTGTAACATGGTTTTGGTTATCGGGAATGACGTGACCATTGTTGTATTTAGAGTTCTAGGATATTATTGATTTCTATTAAAATTCTTGCTGATTTTTTTTTTTTTTTTTTTTTTTTTTTTTTTTTTTAAATGTGCATATATTTCTAAAGTTATCTAGAGCTAAAGAATCAAATTTTTTTTTAAAATTAAAAACTTTTATGCTGTTTTGCCGGCTGCCTTGCATTACTTAAGATATGTAAGTTTACTTTACTTATACAGTAAGTAAATCAGCACAGATAAAGTTAACATGCCATGAATTTTAAAACCCTGAAATATATGATTACTAGGGAAATTTTTTTATTACACTATATAATTACGTACTTAAGGGCCACAAACTATTGTTTATAATGTTATGATTAAGTATATAACGTTACTCAGTCTAATTTCAATACTAAATTTTTGACAAAAACTTGACATAGATTCAGGTTAAGTCCCCTTCAAAACTAACACAACTCTTGTAATTCGAGTTATCAAGTTACGGTGCATTATATTTAATTTCCATTCAACGCACCTTAGATTAATTAATAGTGTAAATCTAAGCTACGTCATATCTAAGAAAAAATACTTTGACAAAAGTAAAAAATATAACCGAATATCAATCCTGTGGTTTATTTTACTTTACTTTTGATACTTTATTTTTTTGCCCCCCCCCCCCAAAAAAAAACCCGCTTTATTTTCAAATGATGTAGGGCCTGCACATAAATTTGGCCCTTAACAGATTTTCCCGCAACTGTTCGTTTCGGACATACGCCCTTAGGGCACGAGGCTTTCGGCCATTTTGTCGCATTCGAGCAAATGTCCATTCGGTCAAACGTCATTCGGACAAGTGTATTTTGGGAAAAACGTCCCTCTCCCCACTGTTACACTACGTCTGCATCATGCTAGTTAGGCATTACACACATGACATGTAGGTGACATCCGAAACTACAGGCATTAGACACATGACATGTCATGTCATGTTTGCCTGTCGTCCCTACTGGGACCTAGGCCGCTGACAAGGGCTTTCCAGACGTCTCTGTCCAGGGCTAGTCTCTCCAACTGTCCCCAGGTGTATCCAATCATCTTGGTGTCTTCTTCCAGGTCACATCTCCAGGTCTTTCTTGGTCTGCCTCTCCTCCTCCTGCCTTGTGGATTCCAGGTGAGGGCCTGTCTTGTTATGCTGGATACAGGCTTCCTGGGTGTGTGGCCAAGCCATTTCCATTTTCTCTGTAGGATCTCTACTTCAACTGGCAGTTGATTTGTCCGTTGCCATAGAACATCATTTCTGAAGGTTTTAGGCCAGCGAATGCGCAGGATCTTTCTGAGGCATGCGTTTATAAATGATCCTAGTTAGGCATTAGACACATGCCATTTAGTGAAACTCCGCCTACTTTATCCTAGGTTTCTAGTTAGAATCCGATGGTACGTCTGCTTCATTCTAGTTTGCAAATTATGCACTTTACTCCCCACTCTCTTTCGTCTCAAAAAGGGAGACTTACCAAATTTTCTTGAGGTAACAATTCGAGCTGTGTTCTTGCAGCCGTAATTGCGTTATGCCCCACGTAATTCAGGTTGTAAAAATCTTGCAGGCGGTATGGAGCAGTGCCGTACGTAATTCTGTCTGTATTCTTGCAGGCGGGATAGCTCTATGCTCTACGTAATTCTGTCTGTATTCTTGAAGGCGGGATAGCTCTATGCCCTACGTAATTCTGTCTGTATTCTTGCAGGCGGGATAGCTCTATGCTCTACGTAATTCTGTCTGTATTCTTGCAGGCGGGATAGCTCTATGCTCTACGTAATTCTGTCTGTATTCTTGCAGGCGGGATAGCTCTATGCCCTACGTAATTCTGTCTGTATTCTTGAAGGCGGGATAGCTCTATGCCCTACGTAATTCTGTCTGTATTCTTGAAGGCGGGATGGCTCTATGCTCTACGTAATTATGTCTGTATTCTTGAAGGCGGGATAGCTCTATGCCCTACGTAATTCATTCTATTAAAAAAATCTTGCAGGCGGTATGGCGCTGTGTCACTACGTCTCCTTCGTGTTGGTGATGGCGGGAAACGCCACGCTCTTCACCGTGCTGGTCATGGCAGTCGAGAGATTCCTGGTGACGAAATTTCCGTTCCAGGTGAGTACTGGATGGGGTGTATTGTGCTGGGGGTCAGGGGGTGGGGGTGGGTGTCAACAGTCGAGTTTATGTTAAAAATTGGACGACAAAGGGGAGGGAAAAGTGTAATGGTGTGGGAGTGGGGGGGGGGGGGGGGGGAGGGAGGGAGAAAAAAAATGGTATTATTGCAAAAAAAAAAATAGAATGGGAAACAACAACAGCAACAAAAAAAACAAACAAACAAACAAACACATCTCGGATGGTTGTGTGAGCCCTTAGGTTATCCCTAAACCTAAAACAGGGGATGGGAACTCTGGATATAGACATGATTTTTAATCCATTTTAAATACTTAAACTTTTTAAAATAGAATAAAATCTCGTAGAAAAAAGAATTGCACACCAAGTGAACGCCAAATAAAATGTGCATAATAGTGCTGAATGCTTTATAAATTTACATTCGTGTTTTGAGAAATCGGAAATAGCGTAAATTACTACTTCCGGTCAACGGAAATTACTCAAAATTTGATAGAAGGTAGAGAATTAGATCTTTTACTTACATGTGAAATTTCATTTATCTATCTGAAATAGTACTCAAGTTATAGGCTTTTGAAAAATTCAAAGTAGAAAAAGTACCACTTCCGGTAATCGGAAATCGCTCAAAATTTGATACTGATCTACGATTTTGATAAAATACTTACATATGAAATTTCACCAACCTAGCAGTAACGGTACTCAAGTTATTGTGTTTACAGACACACGCACAGAAACACACACACACACACATACACACATACTGACAAGATTGCAAAACTATGTTTTTCCTACTCAGGGAGGTGTAAAACGTCGAGATTTGCAAAAATCTCGATTTTTTCTTTTGCACGATTACAAGACTTTCATTATACTTCGAGAAAGTAAAATTGACATTTATATTACAACTCTTGTGTAATCGGCGTTTTTACAAATACAAATAGATGTTTCAAAGATGTTATCTTTTGTAATAATCATTTAAATATAAGCCCCCCTCCCCCTCACTCAATTGTCACCCCTGATCACGTGATTTCAGTACAGCCGTATCGTGACGCCCCTGTCTGTCAACTGCTGTATCGCCGTGGTCTGGCTGTTGTCGGCCCTGATCGCCATCTTGCCCATTGTGGGGGTGGGGAGGAACATCGACCCGTGGCCGGGGACCTGGTGCTTCTTTGACTACAGGGACATCAATATAGGTAGGTGATCAAATAGTTTATGACCAGGGACCTCAAAATAGGTAGGTGTGATAACATATTGTATGACTAGGGACATGAAAATAGGTAGGTGATCAAATAGTGTATGACCAGGGACATCAATATAGGTAGGTGTGATAACATATTGTATTGCCAGGAATCTCAATATGGGTAGGTGTGATAACATATTGTATGACCAGGGACATCAATATAGGTATGTGTGATAACATATTGTATGACCAGGAACATCCATATAGGTAGGTGTGATAACATATTGTATGACCAGGGACATCAATATAGGTATGTGTGATAACATATTGTATGACCAGGTACATCAATATAGGTATTTGTGATAACATATTGTATGACCAGGTACATCAATATAGGTAGGTGTGATAACATATTGTATGACTAGGGACCTCAATACAGGTATGTGTGATAAGGCATTGTATGACCAGGGACCTCAATATAGGTAGGTGTGATAACATATTGTATGACTAGGGACCTCAATACAGGTATGTGTGATAAGGCATTGTATGACCAGGGACCTCAATATAGGTATGTGTGATAACATTTTGTATAACCAGGGATATCAATATAGGTAGGTGATCAAATAGTGTATGGGCATGGACATCAATATAGGTAGGTGTGATAACATATTGTATGGGCAGGGACATCAATATAGGTAGGTGTGATAACATATTGTATGACCAGGAACCTCAATATATGTAAGTGTAATCATATATTATATTACCATAAAATCAAATGTGTCTGGCCTACAAATTTCGGTGAACAGCTATTATTATGACCAATGGACATTCGATATTCATCCGACTAATAAGCTTCGTCTCAGCAACAACAAAAAATGATCGACAAACATTGATATAGAAATATCTAACCAGCAAACGTTCCAAACAAATAACTGACCACTGTTATAATGCGAGTTTTCGGACAGGGTCGATGCTGAAATTGGACAAACGAGGTAGACGATCGAATATAGATGAGACAATGCGGCTTTCTTCATTTCTATAATTTATTACATAAACTTTACGACGACAGAAAGGACGACGATTTCCACGCCCTCACATAACGAGAACAAGACCAAGACTGACTTCTCTATCTTCCTAACAATCAAAGCATACTCTCCTACGTCACATCCTTATTTCCTTTATCACGCATTCAGAATCTTTTATTAATACCACTACACACATACTCTCAAACCATCCACATCTTTATTGAAAACATTCAACTACACTCATACTCTCAAACCATCAAAATCTCTATTAACCCCGTTCAACCACACACATATTCTCGAACACATTCAATACACTAAAGTCCATTCACAACAACCACCAAAGGTGGAAAAACACATATTTGACCAACAAACATAGACAAATATTTGACAGACAAAAAGTGACAAATATTTGATCGACAAATATCTAACCGCCAAACATTGACCAAATCATCTGACCAACAAATCTTGACCAGCAAATATTTGACTAAAACATTGACCAACAAATATTTGACCAATAAACACTGACCAACACATCTGACCAACAAACATTGACCGGCAAATATTTGACCAACGAATAACTGGCCAACAAATATCTGACAAAAAAAATTGACCAGCAAATATTTGACCAACAAACACTGACCAACGCATATCTGACGAACAACCTTTGACCAACTTACCTAAACCATACACCTTGTATTCCCATCCAGGCGGGATTGTACTTAGCTACTTCTACGCCACCATCGGTCTCCTCACCATCGCCACCACCATCGTCCTCAACATCAGCGTGATACACCACCTGTTCCGCATGAGGAGTTCTCGCCTCAGCAAGTCCTCTCTGAGGGGTTCCATGAAACCAATCACCGGAACCAACTTTTCCCCAGACAGCGAGATACGCATGGTCATCTTTCTTATGGCAATCATCATCGTCTTCACACTGTGCTACGCTCCATTGATGGTCAGTAGAGGCAGTTGGTTTGGTTGTCCGTGTTAATATGTGTGGTCAAGGTTCTGATTCGTTTAATGACATCCATTAATATAAATTAATAGCAAAAGTAACTAGAGATATTGGATTAAGAACCTGATGGTCAGTAGAGGTAGTTGGTTTGGTTGTCCGTGGGAATGTGTGTGGCCAAGATGATTAGTTTTTTTGTCTGATAACATATTTGTAGAGCAATCGCTCTAAAATCAATTCATAGCCCAATTAACTAAATTAATTGGATTAATGACCTGATGGTCAGTAGAGGCAGTTGGTTTGGTTGTCCGTGTTAATATGTGAGGTCAAGGTTTTGATTTGTTAATGACATCCATTAATATGCATTAATAGCTTAAGTAACTAGAGATATTAAATTAAGAACCTAATGGTCAGTTTTAATGATTTGGTTGTCTGAATATATTTGTAGAGTAATCGTTCTTTTAAAAAAGTTAAATAGGTTTTAAAAAAATTAAAACAAATAAAACAAATTTACCGTGGGGATGAACAAGGCAGTGTTTTATTTGGGTGTTCTTAAGGAACTGTAGGCTAATGGCTTCACCAGTCAATTAACTGAGTAATTTGGTCTATGCAAAGAAAAAGTCGCGTGTCATTGAATCAAAATAGAACTCCGGTATTAGAAAAGCCGACCTAAAAGGAGTAATATAATACTGGCATCTTTGCGTTTAAATGCTGTTACATATTTTATCTTATGGGGGGATTCTTAATTTTAATTTAAAACAAAAACAACTACAACTAATAACCATATGCGCCTTTAAAAAAAACAACATACTGAATGAATTTAGGCTGCATAATTAAATCGACGTTCTTAAAGAAACACGTCACAAATGTAATAATAACATTAAAAAACATTTCTCTAAATTACAGAATAAATTTACAAACTTAAAATTTGTATTGTCTGGCCTGTTTTGATAAGACTGAAAAAAACAACATCATCAACAAATTATTATCTATACACCACCAGGTCAAATCAAGTTGACTGATCAGGCACTTGACCCAATGCTCTATTAAATATTTTGTGAGTTTGGCGAATGATGGAAAAGTTACCGTTCACTTTTATTTAAAAAAAAACTTCTTATAAAATAGACTAAAAATAAATTTCACTATTTAAAAGCTTATATAAAAGCGCCCCGGAAATAATATCGAAAAGAAAAAAGTTCAAAAGCCCCCCTCGCGCTCTTGGCCGTCCGCGCATCTTCATGTAATAAACCCGTCTTGATCCTTGTCTCGTCTTTGGCACTCGCATCCATGTAAGCCGTGTCAAAGTTCGTCTCCTGCACGACTCGACTCACCACCGGAAGTAGAATGCAAGCAACTCACACCGATGACAACAACTCCCACCCGAACGCGACCAAGAACGAGGCTGGCCCCAGTAGGTCCATCAACCAGACCTACCCGGGGACTAAAGTCCCGATGCAGCCGAAGAAGTCTTCACGGATGATGACCAAGCTTCTTACAGCCATTCGTGCGACCAGCGATGAAAAAAACGGCGCTCCCTTGGGGCGGATTCATAATTATTTAGTCGAGAACGCGCTGATCTCTCCGAAACAAGCAGACTGCAAGATCCTGAAAGCGACCTCAGATGCGCTAAAGAAAGGAATCGTCACGTTCGGGACTGGAGACGACTACAGCTGGTTCTTCAAGATTGCAAAGCCCAAGCCGGAAAACAAGCTGAAGAGGCGCCCGAGAAGTCGTAGCAGACGGAGGCGAAGACGAAGCCGGCGCAGAAGAAGTGGACGGAGGCGTCGAAGAAGCCGCGGGCGCAGAAGTCGCCGCCGAAGAAGTCGTCGCCGAAGAAGTCGACGCCGAAGAAGTCGACGCCGAAGAAGTCGACGCCGAAAAAGCCGCCGCCGACGCAGCCGATCACGTGGGAGGAAGAGCGGCCACAGGAAAACCCCGGCCCCCAGCAGCACCCCTTGCTGCAGCATATTCCGGAAGTCGAAGAGTTAATTTCACTTCCGTTTGAAATTTTATTTTCAAGGCCCTATTTAGGGCCACCATCTTGTCACGGTTCAAAAGGATTTGGTTCATAATTATGGTCTTAATTAATTAGGAGGATTAGCAACAACTCGCATTTAAAAAAAAAATTCACCTTCCGAAAAAAGCCCCTTAAAAAATTATTAATTCGCTCTTTCATCTACCGATCACAAAATTTTCCTTATAATAAAAAACTACTGTAGTAACTTCCCTTGGTTGTAGACATTCCGTGTGATCGAACTAAGTCGGCCTCCCCTTTAGTTACAGAAATTAATTTTAAATCAATAATATAATAACAAATTGTTATAAATATAGAAATTTTTAAATTTTAAATCAATAATAAAATAAGTACTCATTAGATACGGCAATCGTTAAATTAATGTTTAATAAATAGTATAACTAATAGTTAAATATAGCAATCTTGAATTTAGTTTTTAAAGGAATTATAAAATCAATGTCTTGCTCGATTATACTGAATATTTAACACTGCTTCAATCTTTGAATTTCCAATTAAATTCAAAGATTGAAACAACACAAATACAAAAAAAAAAAAAAAAAAAGAAAAAAAGAAATCACTCCGTTAGAAATTGAAAAAAAAACTTTCTATCACATAAACAAGATTGAAAAAAATTTAAAAAAATAGAATTTTTTAAGCGGTATATGACAAGAACTAGATCTAGACCTACCCCGATTGGTTTAAAAAAAAATTTCACAGCTGCTATGAGAGGAAGTCAAGATCCTTGGGTAGCAAAAGTTTTTAAAATGTCACACAGCTACTATGAGAGGAAGTCAAGATCCTTGGGTAGCAAAAGTTGTTTTCCTGGTCGTCCGCCTTTATTTTCTCTCCGTGTACTTGACACAATCCACCACATCCACTAAATTCACGAGGGAAGGAAAGACAAACTACTAATACTATAAACTATTCTTTTTTTTGCTAGATCTATTACTAATTATAGCTGTCGATGCCTTTAATTCCTCTAGTATTTAAATAACGAATCACAAATTAGAAACACATTTTAATCACACGTAATTTTTTACATTGATGGATGGTAATTTGTATAGAGTAAGTCTTAGTATAGTAGACCTTAGGGTTAAATGTTAGGTTTTATGGCAATACGTAAGTTAATGTGTACATAATTGTAATGGTAATATATTATATATGTCATTATGTATATTTCCATGCTATTAGGCAATACGTAATTTGATGGTGATACTTACTAACTCGTGCCGTGATGTGTAGTACGTCATTATCAGTAATGTCGTGGTGACACATGTCATGCCATATCGGTAATGTCATGGTGGTCATGCTATATTTGTAATGCCATGTCATCGTTCCCCTTTCAGGTGAGAATCATCATGAACATCGCACTGAACGCTGGGAAGACCCTAGGCCCGAGCCTAGATAACGTCATCGACCTGTGGGCCCTGCGGCTGGCCTGCATCAACCAAATCCTCGACCCGTGGGTCTACATCATCAGCCGCGTCCAGTGCTGCGGCAACAGGACCAGGTAACAGGCGATGTGGGGGGAGTGTGTGTGTGTGTGAGTGTGTTGTATAATGTGTGGTTGAATATGATTGTGAGTGCGAGTGTGTGTGTTTGTTTGAGTGAGTGTGAGTTAGTGAGTGTGAGTTAGTGAGTGTGTGAGTGTGTAATATAATGGGTGAGTGAGTACAGATGTGCTTACATGTCCTATTTTCGTAGGCAACAACAGAAACAAAGCTCATTGTATGATGTTTTGATGAATTGCAGTTGGAGTCCATAAATATATGTGTACACACATGTATAGTATTATTTAATATACATTCAAGGGTTTATTAGTATGTATAACATACTCAATATACAATACTTATATACATATACATATATACATAAATATATACATATATATATATACATTAATACATGTTTGTATATACACTTGTATGTTATGTATATATATATATATATATATATATATATATATATATATATATATATATATATATATAGTGTTTGTATGTATATGTATATGTATATATATATATATATATATATATATATATATATATATATATATATATATATATATATATATATATATATATATATATATATATATATATATATATATATATATATATATATATATATAGTGTGTATGTGTGTTTGTGTATGGTGTACATTTTTATAAAGGCGTTTGCAATTATGTATGTATATGTATATATATATATATATATATATATATATATATATATATATATATATATATATATATATAGTGTGTATGTGTGTTTGTGTATGGTGTACATTTTTATAAAGGCGTTTGCAATTATGCCGTCTCCCTGTTTAAATACATTGATACAATAATGCAGACCGCCCCCCCCTTATCCCCCTCCCCTGATATCCGACGAAGTAAAACAAAGGTTTGTATTTCAATTTCATGATCCACAACAGCAGTGTATCACGTGATCGCCCCTTTAACCCTGTCATTACAAACCCCAGAAATGAACCCGGGGTCAAATTTAGAGTCATCACACTCAGCGCAGTGATAAGGGATATAGACGCGCGCATTAATTCTATAACGAGAGCCGGACGGAACTATTTAAACAAGGCCTGCACATCAAGGATTCCTGGCCCAGACTAGGAGCTATCTAATGGATATCCGTTTTCATTGACATATGTCATTTGATGACATCCGAATGTGACATCGAGCAGCTCGTAAAAATCGGGGTCCATTATCTAGTCACTATCTAAACAAAACAAAAAAGTGGCGTGCAAACGCACGAGGTTAAACGTAACATCCGGTTTTTTGTTTTGTTTGATGATTGAAAATATTTAACGTCCTATCACTCTAGTCCTCGATACTGCTTAATATATTCAACACGAGGCATGGAATTTAGATAATTAATTAACTCCAGGTTGGTTTAATTGTCAGCATGGCCAACCTCACATGTTTACATGCGGGCAGTTTTTGTTGTACAAGAAAATCTAAATACCGAAATGTGCACGGATAACGCTAAATGGATAAATGCACAAACAAATGAATAGCGACCGGCGCATCGGCATGACTTGATAAATACACAATGATGATGTAATGACGTAATTTCCCACAATTCCTCCTCTTCACTATATCAAATCGTGGACCCAGCCTAATTAATTAGGATCGACGCAATTTTTTTCTTTATAAGTGATGTATAGTTTAACCTAATTACAAAAAAAAAAATAAAAATCTATCGATGATGATACAACAGTTTTAAAAAAACAACAACAAAAACAACAGAACAACAAAAACCGGTCTGTAGTTGTAGGCACTCCCCTTAAAGAACTAAGCATAAAATCCATTGCCTCTATAGCCTACTCATGAATACAGCATCACAACACAAATAGCCCCAGCATGTCAAAACGCCGGCAAGACGTAAGAGATTTGTCACAAAAATCCAATTAGGCAATAAAAAATGGCGCTTTGATACACTAAACAACAAGACCCGATGCCATTTTTTTTCAGCGGCGCTCAAGTGGGTCACGCGTAACCATGGTAACGTTAATCACGGGCCGGGTTTTTCTTTTATCTCCTGGTGAAAAATGAGCCTGATGATGGAGCCAGCAATGGCGGCTGGGATTTTTTTTGTTTGTCTGGGCCAACATATGGCTCTGTCATCTACACGGATACTCGTGTTTAATGCGCTTTTTGTCCTGCAGTTTACTGCTGGGGCACGTTTTAAAGCCCGTAAGCGAGTAATGCCCCTTTTAAAGCCTGTTTTAATATTTTTTCATCAAAGCGAGTGATGCCCCTTTTAAAGCCTGTTTTAATATTTTTTCATCAAAGCGAGTAATGCCCCTTTTAAAGCATGTTTCTATCTTGTTTCATCAAAGCGATTACTGTCCCTTTTTAAGCATGTTTCAAACTTGTTTCATCAAAGCGAGTAATGCCCCATTTTACAGACTGTTTAACTCTTTTGTCATCAAAGCGAATAATGCCCCATTTTACAGCCTGTTTCTATCTTTTTTCATCAAAGCGAGTAATGCCCCGTTTTACAAACTGTTTCTATATTTTTTCATCAAAGCGAGTAATGCCCCATTTTACAGCCTGTTTCTATCTTGTTTCATCAAAGCGAGTAATGCCCCGTTTTACAGCCTGTTTCTATCTTGTTTCATCAAAGCGAGTAATGCCCCATTTTACAGACTGTTTCAATTTTTTTTCATAAAATCGATTAATGCTCCATTTTTTTTTCAGCCTGCTTAAATGATAAATCTTTTTTTTTTTACTAAAGCGTTTCAGCTTGTTCAAATTTTGTTTTCATTTAGTTTCACTTAGTTGTTTCGTTTCAAAAAGCTCGATAGAGCAACCTTCATTGAATTGTATTACCGACTCACTCATTGTTCCCCAAGACCGAATAGAATAACAACACGCATTCAGGCGCCAAAACATGTTTTGTCACTGTTAATAAATTAACAGGACAGCGTGGTCGAGTGGTAGAGCGCTCGACATCTAACTGGAAAACTAACGGGTTCGGATCCCGATCCGGATTTTACGGAAGGCAAAGACGGCTGGACATTGCGCTTACTACACTCCATCTGTCAATGATAACTCTATCTTATTACATATTTTATCGCCATCTGTCAATGATAACTCTATCTTATTACATATTTTATCGCCATCTGTCAATGATAACTCTATTTTCCCACGTTTTCTTTAACTTGCTTTCGTCTCTGTTTGTCTTTCCAATCAAATCTTGCGATCGAAATTTCTGGCACTTCCCAGTTAGCTAGCGCGCTGAAATTTTCAGGGAAGCTTTGTTTTTCATCGCTTATAGTAGGGTGATCGCTTGCATTATTGTGATGTATAGCATTTATTTTCTACTTTTTAGTTCAATCAGAAAACGTGGGTTTTTAAAAACTTTTTTAATGATTATTATTATTACATATTTTTTCGCCATCTGTCAATGATAACTCTATTTTATTACATATTTTAACGCCATCTGTCAATGCTACATCTGTCTTACTACATATTTTATTCCCATCTGTCACAGCTATATTATTATCCATCTTACTACTTATGTTTTTATCCTCAGCCTTGAGTCACGAGCCCGGGGAGAAATGCGGAAATCGCGTTCAAAATCCTCAAGACTGGGGTCCATGCTAAACAGCCTTCGCTGTTTCTTCGTCAGAACCAAATACGACCCAACTGCAAGTCCCAGCAGCCCCAGATACGAAACTAAACACGAGACCAGCGGGAGGTACAGCACGCAGAGCTACGAAACTAACGGCAAAGTGGGCCTCCGTTTGATCGGCGAGGACTCCACCCCCGTCAGGACGCCGGAGGAGAAAAACTTGGACGGGAAATAACTGAGCTTCAAAACTGTCTTGTTTGAAATATGGTCCCCGACATTATACAACCCGACAATAAGATCCCCGATATTGTGGTCTCTGATTAAAAAAAATAACCTCCGACATAACGGTCTTCGATAAAAGAACCCCCGACATTGCAGTTCTCGACTAGTCTCCCTAATGCTACATCTCCTTACATATCTCACTCTCCCCACCGATAAATAAACTCACAATATGATCTCTATAACATTATTCGGGGCCACAAATTACACCAGGGATGGGCTTGAGTATGAAGATACTTGATAATTTTTATACTGGCAACTTGAATATAAACTTCGCATGGTTTCAGTCAATCATTATTTTAATCCCACAATTTTTATGGTCCATAAAATAAAAACTCGTTAAAGACATAACAACGTCTAATGGCTTTAAAGCCGCGTTAGGTGTTTTGTAGATTTCTGATAATTTTTCTTCAAGTTTGAGTTCACCGAGTTTCAAATAAAAGAAAAGTAAGTGGGTAGGAAGGATTGGGGGGGGGGGTAGAAAATACAAAAACTTGTGATGCTATTAAAATTTGAAGGGCGTAAAGTAGTAAAGAATAAAGATCAACTGTGGGTGTGGCTTCAATCTTTATAATGATTGGATCTTTACGACTATCTACCTGTGAACCTGACCGATTTTTATTTACCAGATATTGTTTAGAGGATATCATTATCGCGGGCTGACGCTGCACAGTTTTACTAAATGGGGTAGTGGGTCACAAGGTAGGTAGAACTGGCCTGATATAAAAATCTGGCAGGTTTAAAGTCTTCCTCCACACTGACTTCCTACACCACACTAACAGAAACCGTGCTTTAAATTTTAGTGCTGTGATTCGAAGGTCTGTTACACATATACATCCTATATATATAGGTTTATTCACTTAAATATGGTATTTGTTTAAATAAGCTGTTGAGAAAAGTAAATTTATATAATTTGATTGACACTGGCTTTTTTGTTTGTAATCATGTTGTAGATTATCCTAATATTTCCGTATATCTTGGATTTATGCTAATTGTCTTGCATCCAAGTTGGGCTCCTTATTGAAGGCGGCCATTTTGTCAAAGAGTTTTTTATTTGAGCTATTTTTGTATGGGGTGTCCATATGACGGGACAATTTGTCGAGGGTCGCTTTGTTTGAGCGACAGATTGCAAATTGTGACGTAGATCTCTGTTAGGGACATATCAACAGCCATTCCTACGAGGTATAGCCTTGAACAAATATATTTTTGCTTTCATTTGCCAAATGTATTTTTTACCTACTGACATTTTTCTACGTGTTTATGTTTGTTACATGCGCTTACATTTTAAAAAAGCATTTTGTATGTTGTTATTTGCTTGAGTCATTCATGCGAATCCGCCGCCTTTTTGTGATAAGTTTCGCAGGGTTGCGAGACTTCTGGCGTGTTTCTCGTAAGAGGAGCAGCCCAACGAAGATTCCGGTGTGTTTATAATCATCAGATAGATTAGTGTATTCAAAAACCTTACTAATCCGCAGATAGATTAATGTACTTAAATACCTCACTAAAGGTATCTTTCCTTTTGGACTTAAGAACTTTTGTCTAATTATTTAGATATAAATAAGTTTTTTTTTTCTCATTGTCAGGAAAAATTTTAAAAAGTGATTTTTGGGGATTACCTATACATCTAACTCGCATAAAAGTTATGCTTTTGAAAATACTACACGGATAATAAACCGTTGTTTTAAAAATCACATTTAAAAAGAACAATTATAGGAAGCGTTTATGACTTTAAAAAAGTGCTTAATTATATAGCCAATCAAAACCTGCGTTTGAAAAACGAATATAGCAGTTTTCTTCAAGGATATAATTATGTTGATCTTTCCGCTCTCAAGCAAGAAATTATAATTTTCAAGGTTTGTTTGAAAACTTTCTAATATAAATTCTTTGATTTTTTTATTGCCCAACTATTTTAAAAATAAATCAAATCAAGACGCAGTTGAATAAATTGAATTTCCATTTCTAAAAAAAAAACATTTTTTTATTTCGGTGTACGGCAAATCTAACCCAAAGAGGGAAATTTGATAATTATCTTTATAGACAGTAGCAATTTTCCTGTCCGTTTGGATTAATGCGTGGGAACGATGAATGAATGCAGAGCTCTCTATCACACAACTAACAAAAAAAAAAAACTGTATTAAAAAATGTTCAATCGTAGCCAGGAGTGATTTGCAAATTTCATTGAGAAATTTGTTCTGTGGTTTGTATGTGAGGTTGCGTGCAAGTTTCGAAAAAAACTCTGTACACTTTTTATTGTACAAAACGTTCAAATATAATGTACACTTGGTGTAAAATAATCTATGTTAGTTGTATTTTCCAAAACCATTTTTTATGCTAACTGTTATTTTAAGTATATTTAAGCTTCAAGCCTTAGAGTTGAATTATAACTGTAAAAAAATGTAAATAACAACCTCAAAAGTATTTAACAGACCAAATGCTAATCACGAACATAGACTTTCGTCCAAGGCATCCACATCATGTAATTAAAGCTAGTTTTGTCGGGCAGGGTGGATGTTAATGCAGCATAACTTAAGCAATAGTTGAATGCTTCAAGTTTATTGTTCGAATGCTGCAAATTTGGTTTAAAGTGTAATTGTGCGTGGCGCAGCTTTGCAATGTTTTAAGCTTATTGGCCGTACTTTAAAAAAAAGTTGGTTACTATAAATGCTATGTACGTGCACACGATATTCATACATTCATATATATATATATATATATATATATATATATATATATATATATATATATATATATATATATATATATATATATATGAATATATATGAAATAACCAGTGACAAGCTAACTTTTACACTTGAAATGTTTTCTAAATAAAAATGTAATTACTTTGAATGTTAAATGTTTTGTCATTGTAAAAACAGATTGATTAATTATGTTAATTAAAAAAATTTACTAAATAGTTTGGTTCTCAAAATGTATTACAGTGTGTCTATTAAAAGTTAATTACTCGAGTTTATTTAATCATGCTTGGTTGAAATCAGGTTAAACATGCTGAAGGTAAACACAATGGAACTATTTGATCGTTTAACTAGCTTAGATAAATGTCCTTTGTTATAGAGACGTGTTCATCATCATCTTTCCCCGTAGATGATGTAGAGTTCCGCTGCTGACCAGTGCATACAATGATTGTGTGGTCAGCGCTCTGCCCACTCGCCTTGGTTTCCATTTGTTTCCTACAGACTCGATAACGGGATCCGAACTTGAAACTTCATGGTTACCAGACTTGCGCTCTACCGCTCGGCCACCAAGTGACGTTCACAGCCCTACAAATTTAGCAGTAATTGGGCAGACACTAAAAGCTTTACAGAGAGGAAAGCTATTATTTTATCTATTACAGTTCTATCAATTCTTCTGTGTTGTCATTAGTGTCTAGGTCAGCCTAACATTTAGTGGACACACTGGTACAGATATCGCAGGAAAACTAGTGGGTAAAATAGTAACACACGGTGAGACACCACTAGTGAATTGGATGACAAAGGTTTAGAAAATAAACAGTACTCACACTTTATTTCCTGTGAAACATTCAACAAAAACCACACACAAGGAACAAGAGATCATCAGAATCAAAACATCCGGTTCTAGTCGATTAGCCACACCCACATATTCGCGTAGCGGTGATAGATGATGCCGATACTTAAACCGATAAGCTTATAGCTAGATTAAGAGCTAGGCTAGAGTGTGAGACGCCTTAATCTTGAAATTTTTTCAATTAGAAAAAATAATTTTGAGTTAAAAGATAACAAAAATGTCTTAGTCATATCATATGCAACCAGGTAATATTTTTTATACACAAAAAAAAAAACAGAAATGTAGATAAAATTTAAATTAAAAAATACCGTGATGAAGAACATAGACCATTACCCGATTCCATCACAACGCCATTTAACAAAATAACAAAAATGACAAGACATCTCCAACCCTTGTCAAGTTATATAACGTGCTCATGAGAAGCATGAGCTATTTGACTACGTAAATGTGGCTAGTCGATCTGTACCAAACAATAAATTAATAAAATAAAATTTTATAAATTACAAAACAATGTACACTCATGCACACAAACAAATTATTCCGTGTAAACACCATAGATGACCCCGCATGCGTAAAGGCCGTCCTTCTCGTATATGGCCTCAGCGAATGTGTCCGTGTCCTTATTCCACACACAGCGGCTGGTCATCGAGATGGACGCGTGCTCACGTGAGCCCAGCACCACCGTGCACACGTACTTGTAGCGGGGAATCCCCAAATCTTTGGCCTTCTGCTTGATCTGTGGACAAGAGAATCGGGGATTCAGTAAACTTTTGGTTGGACTGACTAGAGAATCGGGGATTCAGAAAACTTTTGGTTGGACTAGATTAGAGAATCGGGGATTCAGAAAACTTTTGGTTGGACTAGATTAGAGAATCGGGGATTCAGAAAACTTTTGGTTGGACTAGATTAGAGAATCGGGGATTCAGAAAACTTTTGGTTGGACTAGACGAGAGAATCGGGGATTCAGAAAACTTTTGGTTGGACTAGATTAGAGTATCGGGGATTCAGAAAACTTTTGGTTAGACAAGAGAATAGGGGATTCAGAAAACTTTTGGTTGGACTAGATTAGAGTATCGGGGATTCAGAAAACTTTTGGTTAGACAAGAGAATCGGGGATTCAGAAAACTTTTGGTTAGACAAGAGAATCGGGGATTCAGAAAAATTTTTGGTTGGTCTAGACCAGGGGTTTCCAAACTTTTCAGTCCGAGCGCCGCATTAACTATCATATTTCAGTTCGAGGGCCAGTTTATTCCAGGCATGTCTTTGATTTTTCTGGGCAAAGTTCCTCAGCCATCACCAACAAAAGTTTTTTCCGTGGACAAAAAGATCTCCGCGGGCCGGATGAGAGGACATCGCGGGCCGTGTCCGGGCCGCGGGTCGTAGTTTGGAGACCCCTAGTCTAGACAAAAGGTTCGGGGATTCAGAAAACTTTAGGTTGGACTAGACAAGAGAATCAAGCGTTCATGGAACATTTGGTTAGACAAGAGAATCAAGCGTTCATGAAACATTTGGTTAGACAAGAGAATCAAGCGTTCATGGAACATTTGGTTAGACAAGAGAATCAAGCGTTCATGGAACATTTGGTTAGACAAGAGAATCAAGCACTCATGGAACATTTGGTTAGACAAGAGAATCAAGCGTTCACGGAACATTTGGTTAGACAAGAGAATCAAGCGTTCATGGAACATTTGGTTAGACAAGAGAATCAAGCGTTCATGGAATATTTGGTTAGACAAGAGAATCAAGCGTTCATGGAATATTTGGTTAGACAAGAGAATCAAGCGTTCATGGAACATTTGGTTAGACAAGAGAATCAAGTGCTCATGGAACATTTGGTTAGACAAGAGAATCAAGTGCTCATGGAACATTTGGTTAGACAAGAGAATCAAGGGCTCATGGAACATTTGGTTAGACTAGAGAATCAAGTGCTTATGGAACATTTGGTTAGACAAGAGAATCAAGTGCTCATGGAACATTTGGTTAGACAAGAGAATCAAGTGCTCATGGAACATTTGGTTAGACAAGAGAATCAAGGGCTCATGGAACATTTGGTTAGACAAGAGAATCAAGTGCTCATGGAACATTTGGTTAGACAAGAGACGAGGGGATCAAAACAAAAAGGGGAAAGAATCAATACACATGTAAGAAACGATTGGGCTGAATTGTCAACACGTGACCGGATGTTGTTTAGACATGGAGCTGTACTTGAGATGAGTGGATGCATGTTGAAGGTTGGCACAAACATAAGCTAAACCATCAGTATATATGTATATACCAGGGGTCGGCAACCTGCGGCTCGCGAGCCGCATGCGGCTCTTTTGATATCAAGATGCGGCTCTCCAGCTCCTTGAACAAATACTAATAATCTTAATACAAAAATAAAATATTTGAAATAAAAAAAATGTTTGTGGCTCTTTAAAACCAGGGAAATTTTGAAAATCGTAATTTTTGGCTCTTCCCCTTCAAAAGGTTGCCGACCCCTGGTATATACATATATTGTAAATCTATGTACAAACGAAAGAAAAATAAACCCAGACGAAAGCACAATTTGAAACTATATTTGGTGTTCAGGAAATGAAGAGAGTGCGCACAGAAATGTTTTAGTTTCGATCTACTTCGTTTATCGGCTGAAGCTTCCTGCCATTGAGTTTTGCAATGCGATTTTTAAAGCCTGTAAAGCTGACAAAGTAGTTTAAAAATTTAAGTGTTTTGACTACATAATTATTTTGTTAAATATGAAAAAATATTTTTTTTGATAATAAATGATGTTTTTTTTTAAATAACTACAACTAACCTAGAATATGGCTTGGAAAAAAACCTGAATGCACGGAAATGCTTACATACCTGTATAAGCTTACATGGTTACGTAAACCAGCTGCTATAAACCCAAGAAAAGTCGATTAGTTGGAAAAAGGCCTAATTTTAAAAAGTGTAAAAATTAAACTTGATATAGTTTTAATGTTAAGAACATAGTAAATATAGTATATTTTAAGTCAGATGAAGGAGAGATGACGGGTATCTGTACACACAGGATTTAAACTGGTTTTGTATCAGCATGATGGCTATGTAGAGACTGCTCGCAGCAAGTTTGAGCACATAACCCACAACAACCCATAAAAATCCACAACAACCCACAACAATCCACAACAACCCACAACAACCCATAAAAACCCACAACAATCCACAACAACGCACAACAACCCATAAAAACCCACAACAACCCACAACAATCCACAACAACCCACAACAACCCACAAAAACCCACAACAACCCACAACAAACCACAACAACCCACAACAACCCACAACCAAACAACACAGGCATCAAATATTCATCCCTTCCCTTACAATCAGGTTAGCATGTCTAAATATAAACCAGATAATCACGTTACTTTTAAAACGTGTGATCCCTCGCTCCCAACGCAATCCCCCTTAATTAATTGACCCGTGAAAGCACTTTGCGATAACACTGATTATTTCCCCTTAACTAACACCTCCTTTACGCTTATGATTATTCCCCTTTACTTATCTAGTTTACAACTAAACAACAACACAAAAAATACTATGCATTACATGTCTAACTTATATTTTAAAATGTTTTCACAGCAATACAAAAATAAACAACTGCTGTTGATTTTATCTTGTAGATTTTATCGTGTAGTTCCCCTCCCCCCCTCCTGTATATTTTATCCCCTCCCCATAAGATACTGCAGGTGGCATCAATCTTCAGGTGATAAACCTGGTTACGACTTCCTCACCTGTACCGCCTAAACTTCTCTATGTTGTCTTTTTATTCACCTGGATGATGGATACAGGTACCAAGCTAATTTTAGCACCTCGAACTCAAAACGTCATAAGTCAATTTCCCCCACCCCCCCCCCCCCCCCCCCCGCGCGAGCTGTTGTGTTTGTCACGTGGCTAGGTAAAGCCTGACCTTTTGACCTCACGCCTTTGATCCATAATCGAAAAAATAAAACAGAAAATATATTTCAGGACATGATGCGTGTTGACGTTTGTAAGACGTAGTACGAGCAACATTTGTTGTACGCTAACAACTCTCTTGGGGAAAAAAAATGAGAAAAAAAATCCCAAGCTGACAGAAGAAAAAATTGATCTTTTAAAACTACTCGCAAAACAACATGTGATTTCTTGCCGGACGAAACGCACGGCATATAAACATCTTTTCTTCCGTTGTTACAGTTCATCAAACAGAGATTTGCTTTTGATTTTTGCGTAAGAAGACTTTTATAGATTTAGTTGTGTTGGTGATATTTAGAAATCAGCATCGGCTGCGCTATTATAGATCTGATACTACACAAAACGTGATATTTTAAAAGCTTTTAACTAGTAACATTTTTATATGCCTATTAAATTCGACGCATGCAGCGGTGCTACTGGCTCGGGTGATACGCCGTGAGGGAATCAAGTTTGTCATACTCCCGGCTACCCTTATCTATGTGATGTACCCATACTGTGATGTATGTGATAAAACTAGTACTGTAGGTTATGTGGTGTCCACCCCGTGATGAAGCCATACTGTGATGTATGTGATAAAACTAGTACTGTAGGATATGCGGTGTCTACCCCGTGATGTAGCCATACTGTCATGTATGTGATAAAACTACTACTGTAGGTGTCCACCCCGTGATGTAGCCATACTGTGATGTATGTGATAAAACTACTACTGTAGGCTATGTGATGTCCACCCCGTGATGTAGCCATACTGTGATGTATGTGATAAAACTAGTACTGTAGGTGTCCACCCCGTGATGTAGCCATACTGTGATGTATGTGATAAAACTAGTACTGTAGGCTATGTGGTGTCCACCCCGTGATGTAGCCATACTGTCATGTATGTGATAAAACTAGTACTGTAGGTGTCCACCCCGTGATGTAGCCATACTGTGATGTATGTGATAAAACTAGTACTGTAGGCTATGTGGTGTCCACCCCGTGATGTAGCCATACTGTGATGTATGTGATAAAACTAGTACTGTAGGTTATATGGTGTCCACCCCGTGATGTAGCCATACTGTGATGTATGTGATAAAACTAGTACTATAGGCTGTCCACCCCGTGATGTAACCATACTGTGATGTATGTGATAAAACTAGTACTGTAGGTGTCCACCCCGTGATGTAGCCATTCTGTGATGTATGTGATAAAACTAGTACTGTAGGTTATGTGGTGTCCACCCCGTGATGTAGCCATACTGTGATGTATGTGATAAAACTAGTACTGTAGGATATGCGGTGTCTACCCCGTGATGTAGCCATACTGTCATGTATGTGATAAAACTAGTACTGTAGGCTATGTGGTGTCCACCCCGTGATGTAGCTATACTGTCATGTATGTGATAAAACTAGTACTGTAGGCTATATGGTGTCCACCCCGTGATGTAGCCATACTTTGATGTATGTGATAAAACTAGTACTGTAGGCTGTCCACTACGTGATGTAGCCATACTGTGATGTATGTGATAAAACTAGTACTGTAGGCTATGTGGTGTCCACCCCGTGATGTAGCCATACTGTGATGTATGTGATAAAACTAGTACTGTAGGATATGCGGTGTCTACCACGTGATGTAGCCATACTGTGATGTATGTGATAAAACTAGTACTGTAGGTGTCCACCCCGTGATGTAGCCATACTGTGATGTTTGTGATAAAACTAGTACTGTATGTTTCCACCCCGTGATGTAGCCATACTGTGATGTATGTGATAAAACTAGTACTGTAGGATATGCGGTGTCTACCCCGTGATGTAGCCATACTGTCATGTATGTGATAAAACTAGTACTGTAGGTTATGTGGTGTCCACCCCGTGATGTAGCCATACTGTCATGTATGTGATAAAACTAGTACTGTAGGTTATGTGGTGTCTACCCCGTGATGTAGCCATACTGTGATGTATGTGATAAAACTAGTACTGTAGGTTATGTGGTGTCTACCCCGTGATGTAGCCATACTGTGATGTATGTGATAAAACTAGTACTGTAAGTTATGTGGTGTCCACCCCGTGATGTAGCCATACTGTGATGTATGTGATAAAACTAGTACTGTAGGTTATGTGGTGTCCACCCCGTGATGTAGCCATACTGTCATGTATGTGATAAAACTAGTACTGTAGGTTATGTGGTGTCCACCCCGTGATGTAGCCATACTGTGATGTATGTGATAAAACTAGTACTGTAGGTTATGTGGTGTCCACCCCGTGATGTAGCCATACTGTCATGTATGTGATAAAACTAGTACTGTAGGTGTCCACCCCGTTTAGGGCCGTGACATCCTGTACGTAAACTTCAAAACTTTAATAATTTGCTTAATAAAATGGGAAAGCCGGTTTCGGTGTAAGCCAGTTTTTGTTTTGGCGGATGATGTCACAAGGTGCGGTCTGCACCCCCTTGTGACTCCTCTGGTGTCACCCTCCCCCGGATGGTGTCACGCGTTGCTGTCCCCAGTCCCGCCCCTGTGTTTTGCAGATACTGTGCGCTTATGTCAATATAGACACGAGTTGCGGATCACTAGGGTGAGGTTTCCATCAGTTTCCTTTAGAAATTTAATTGCCAGGTTGCTACCTCCAGCCCCCCCCCCCTCCCATTCCTCACGACACGTAGTAGTGCCACATTGTCAACTTTCAGACGAATGACGTTGACGTTGAGAAAAAACAAAATAGACTACATTAAATGACAACGAAGTGTAGGTATTTTGACTATATGCGTTAACTAACAAGGCAACAGCACCGAATAAATACAACAGGAAATAGAAAAGGTGAAATACAGTTAACTCAGACATAAGGGAATCAATCTATTCTATTATTTTCACACACACAGTTATCCCTCTTTAGTTAAGATATACGATATAATCTACTTTTTAAAATAAAATTATTTAAATAAATACATATAGGGCTATTACTTAAGTTATATTAATTTTAAAAATTTAATCAAGAAAAAACATATTTTATGTAACCTACAGGCCTGCTATTGATATAATTTTTCTAACTACCTCAACCACAGCCTCTACCTGATCTGGATCTTGGTAGACTGTAAATCTAATTTTTCACATTTATCTCAGAAAAAATAAATCTCATCCGGCGAGCTTAAGGTTATCGGTGATCTGGTTAGAGCATGTTAAACAAGGGGTGAGGGTGTGTGTGTGGGGGGGGGGGGGGGTGGGGGGGGGGGGTTACCTTTTCAGCTAATATCTTGGCGAAAACTCCGCTGTCTGCTGAGTATGTTCTGCCTGTAAGGTTCTCAGCGAGCGTGTCGGCGATAATCTGGTGGTTGGAACAAGAAAAAATATTCGGGTAATTTAACTTAGGTAGTACATGGGCTGTGTCTGGAGTGGGGTGACTTTAACACAACACGGTAACGCACAATATGATTTTTAAAAAAACGTCATGGTTATCTCCCCTGATTAGTTCCTTGTTGCGCTTCGATAAATAACTAGCGGAGTAGTCTCCCTCTGACTATACTTTGGGGGGGGGGGGGGGGGGGGGGAGTAAATTTAGTTACAAATTATAAGATAAGTGATTTTTAAAAAAAATGAATTAACTTTACAAAATGAATTTTTACTGAATTTTTAAAAATGTATACATTTTTTTTTTTTTTTTTCAAAAACAAGTCTAACATAAACACTATTTTTTTTCAAACAATTAAAGTAGGCCTATAGCCAAACCCTTCTATTACTTTACAGATACATATTTTTGCAGCATACAATGGACCTTTGAAGTATTTCTGATAAGTACATTTTGAGTTACATTGATTCCCTCGAGTTCTATAACGTAAAATTGACAAAACGGAGAAAATTAAGCTTTGATTGAATATTTTGCTATATAAATGTATGTATTAGCAAAGGAAGGAATAACATTGATGGATAATTACATTTTCAATAGGAAAAGGGTAGCTAACAAAATATACAAAAAAAGCTCGATTCGAACTTTCACTAGATTTCAAAACAACCTTCCCCTCCCTCCCCCCCCCCCCCCCCCAAAAAAAAATAAAATAAAAAAGATAAAAATGATTTTAGATGAAAAAAATAGAAATTTTTCAAGAAAGTTGACTAATTGTCCTCTTAAAAAAGGAGAAACAACTTTCGTCAAACACATGTAGATAGTATTAACGAAAACCCCATTCATTACCCCTCCACCTTTACACTTAAATGTTGAAAAAAAAGACAAGCGCGATAGGTAATCTTGCTTGATTTATATTTTTGTTTTTCTTTACAGTTATCTCCCCGAGCAGCTGTAGGCCTACACGTAGTTGTGTCAGTGATAGATTGAGACTTTTCTCTCTCTTTAATCTGCCATTATAATTTTGTTCAAGCCACTTGAAAAGGCCAGGATCCACCCCCACCCCACCTCAAATACTTAATTCATTAAAAAATTACACTTCTCTCTCCTCCTCCCCCCCCCCCCCCCCGCACCAATTTTTGTTTTTAAAACTACCTTGAATTCTGAACATTTTTGTTTAATTTTTGCTTTTTTAAAATACATTCTAGAATTAATTATAGTAAGTAATTATACCTAATTCGCTTAAATTTAGCTTATATATATATATATATATATATATATATATATATATATATATATATATATATATGGAGATCATAAAGCTGATCTAACAGCCAAGAGAATTTAAGAATGACATCCATCATTAGTATAAATTCACGAATTATTGTTTTTGTTGTTTGTTCCAACACGTCAAGTTTTAATATAAGTTACCACACCGGGTGACACCCTCAGTTACCACACCGGGTGACACCCGCAGTTACCGCACAAGGTGACACACTCAGTTACCACACCGGTGACACCCTGTATTACCACACCGGGTGACACCCTAAGTTACCACACCGGTGACACCCGTCCTAGTGACGCCACTGACTGATGCCACTGACTGACGCCACGGAGTGACGCCACTGAGCCCCACCCACCTTTTTGAGAGTGCTGACGGACACGGGGTCCTTGGGCTCGAGACGGTACGTGTTCTCGTAGTGTCGCATCAAGGGGGCCGTCGTGACGTCACGTGTCTGCGCAGAGGTGACAATCATGCCTGCGCGCGCAGATCCGGAGAGCTCCATGGCGGGCAGACGTCCAGCTGCTATAGACGGATGTCTCTGGGCGGTGCTCATGGTGGAGGTATAGCTGGCGGAGATTGGCGAGCAGAGATTCGTCGGGTGTCGGGATGTTAAAGGTGGCTCAGCTACTGGACTCTGGGTAGAGAGATTCATTCAAATGTATCGATAAGTAAACAGTTTAAAGTATCGGTGATTATCGAGATACGATATCATATTATAGAAACTGTGGTATTAACTATTAGGATTATCCTTGTCACAAGGTGGGGTGGGGGGGGGGGGGGGTTGATGTCAGCACTAGGTGACATTATTTGGAGGGGGGGGGGGGCGACACCAAAGAAAATAGTCCGTAAAATCTTCTGTTGAAACAATGTTTTATGAAGTCAACAATTTTTTAAAAAAGTGATGGAGAGGGGTGTCACCAACACGAAAATTCAAAACTGTGAGGTGAAACTATAAATTACCGCACTAGGTGTCACCAGACTTAGTAACGCCACGGATTATTAGTTTTTTTCCAGGCATCTATTCGGGGGGGGGGGGGGGGGCTCCGCGCCCTCATATAAAGTCTACCGCCATGGAATTTATACAGAAAACATATACTTTAACCAGTGCCTGCCTGTCCCCGCCCCCCCCCACCCGGAAAATTTAGTCGCCCCCCCCCCCCCCGAAAATTTCAAGTGCCCCGCCGGAAAAAAAAAAGTCTTGAAAAAACACTGATGATTTTGCTGCGAACAAGGAGTGAGGATAATTCAGTGTTGAAATTCCGATGTCTGTTTATCAAAGAGGGGGGGGGGGGGGCACTTGATATTTTCCGGGGGAGGGGGCGGACTCATGTAGTAGATCTATATTACATCATAGATTTATTTCCATTAGTCTTACACTTCAACATACGTTATTCCCGCCCCCCCCCCCCCCCCCGATGCACTGTTTCTTTCACTCATCTCTCCGGTGTACCCCCCCCCCCCCGGAATAGAAAAACCTATATAGTTTATAGAAAAAATGTATACTTTAATTAGTGTCCCACCCCCACCTTGAACTTTACCCCCCCTCCCCGGAGAAAAATGAAAGAAACCTTGTCCCAAGGAAATGCCAGCTAGATTGATATGTACTTCTTGTGAGCACAAAGCACTCGATCATTTTGTTTTACATCTGATTGATATAGCCATGACAGTGGGAAGTGGGGATCGGGGGGGGGGGGGGACTTGTAAGTGGGCGTAACCATGACAACCTAGTAAACAACCAGACGTGTTTACAACACATAGGCCTACATTGGTCGTATGGGACCGAGGTGACCCATCGGACAGGACCATCAATAGGGCAGGTGAAGTAGGGGACGTCTGCTTGAATGGCCCAGGGCCGGTGAATAGTGGCCAGTATAATGTGGCCAACTCATTTGTGTTCGTTTGACGATTATCATAAACTGAATGGTTGCTTGTATAAAATGACACGCACACAAAAAAGGGGGGGGGGGACGACGGACGAAGGGAGGGGTCATACTTATGTGAAAGTATAATAAATATTAACTAGTTTTTAATTTGTATGTTTTCATTATGGGGAGATGAAATAGAGTTCATCTGCTTCAAAGACCTCAGCATATGAAGGGATAGAGTGGTCAGCACTATGCCCGCCCACCTTTGTTTTCCTTAACGTGAGTTAGGTACCCACAAGGGATGAGACATTCCACTGACTTGAACCTGGATTTGAACTCGAGACTTTCGGGCTGGAAGTCCAGCTCTCTACCGATAGGCCACTCCGTGCTCTTACATGTTTTAAAACCCAAAATTATTCTTAAGATATAATTTTATATAATAATATACGATTTTTTAATAGGGTGAAGATTTGTGACGTCATATTATGGGTGCGGTGGCTTTTTGTCACGTGTAACGGTAGGTTTATTTATAAAAGGACAGGGGATGGGGGGAGTTGAACATAATTTTAAAATAGTCTAAAATTTGAGGGATGTCATTTACAAACGACCCTTTAGTTGATTTGTTTAATAAAACACATTTCCATGGGTCTGTCAAAGTTGTTAAACTAAACGTGATTTCTACAGCGATGGGATACCGTGCATTCGTTAATTAAAACATTAATTAATTAGCTGAAACATCGTGAAATATGGTACGCTATTTAAAGTTTCAGGAGAATTGGTGCTACCAGTGTTTGACAATGGACTCTTCCAAAAAGGGGCGTGTTGTGTTGCTGGTAGTATTGTAATCTTAGAGTTCAGAGTTAGGGTCATAAACCAGGGATAGGGAGACATGTTAAATGGGCGTCTGATAATGCCACAATAATAGAGCTTTCCTAACAAAGGCGTGTTAGATTACTGGATTTTAACGTAATACGATGATTACTTACTAATGTCGATGCCAACCAAACCCTAACCTAAGTCATACCAGATCCCTAACCCTAATTACTGACCCTGTAACGAAACATGAGATTACAAAATAATTAACAATCTAACACAACTATTTCCGGAAGAGTCTATTGTTGGACATGGGTACCAATGCTCCGGTTTGGACTATGGTTGGACTTGAGTCAGGGTTTGAATTAGGGTTAGTGTTAACATTAACAATTATATTAATATTTAGCTTCTTACCAGTACCCTAAGAGAACACCTCTTTTAAAAAAAATAAGACTTCGTTATTATGGTCATATTACACACTGGTATAACACTTACCCCAAATATCAAATTGCATAATTACCAATTAATCAAGACGTTAGACCCAACACATGTACAGTTGAGTGAACTGGAACTTATCCAACCGTGACGGCAGTTAACACACGACACATCTCAATCAAAGCTGACGACTGTTTCTATTGTGGAAACAAAACAAAAATGTTCTTTTACAACTCGCTTTACGCAATCGACTTAAAGAGATTAAGACATTTGAACTTTATTAACAAGTAAACGAAACTGAAGGTAAAATACACCAACGAAGACAATTCTACCTACGTATGTGTAAACTTACTCCATTCTAGGTCTTGGGTCGTCTTTTCTTGCCTACACCACCATTTCAATCCCCCACACAGAAGACACTTTGATCCGGTTAAGTTCCGGTACCAGCTTTTTAATATTTCAAGTGAGGCGACCACTCGTCGACAAATCAATCGGGGGCTACTATTTACATAGAGACAGATCATGCACCGCGCCGACCTGTGTTCTGGTTGATTGGCTCCGTGCGTGGAATGGTTAAGTGCCTGGCATGACGGATAAAAAAAAAACACGCTGCCCTGTAGCCGCTCCGCGTCTAGAACTCCACGCAAACGATGACGTCAGACGATTGGTTGTTTTTAGTGTGTCTTCTTGCTGGAATAATTTGGACATTAATCGATGGCCTTTTTTTTTGTGCTGTATTAAACCTGTTTCATGTAATGTCTTTGTAGCCGTTTTGTAATGGATTAATTGTGCAAGAATTTTGATACCGTACACATGTAAAGTACCCCACGAGACGGTGGGGCCGTAGCAACAGAGAGCACGGGCGCACGGCGTGATGGGTGCCTTTATATGTAGGTCCTGAAAAGCCGTGTATACACGATACTATTTAGCCCCCCCCCCTAGATAGAGTAGATAATCTCTTTCATGTTGTTCGGGGTTAGGGAGGGCTTGTGTGGTCAGCAAGACCGCCTTTCTTTACCCCCCCCCCCCCCCCCCCCCGATTCAAGCCAGGTACCCATTAGGGCTGAGTAAACTCACCAATAACCGATGGGCTCATACCTGCGAACTGAACTTGAAATTTTCGGGTCAGTAGTTTTGTGCTCTACCACACAACCACACCTTCCCCAACACCAATACAATGATACCTGTAACCCATACACTTGTTGCAGTTATTCCAATAAGGCTTTTGGGCATGGATTAAATCGATTTAAGAAGACAAAGAAGCCTTGACATAATGTGCCTGTGTACCTGGGTATATAAAAAGATAATATAACAACCAGAGATTACTCTGTCAATAAAACCTATCCGGTCTTAACCCAAAGTTCAATCAAACCGTCTACTGCATCACCCCTCCTCTCGGTATCCCCACTCCACACAATTCCATGAGTTGACCACAACTGGATGACACGGGGGAAAATGACATTGTATTGAGTTGTATGTTCCACACATCAACAAACATCGATCTAATTGATTTTTTGTTTGACTGCCACAAAACAAACAGGCAGACGATTACGGTGGCGCCGCCATTCACCCTTCTCGTCAGGTACTAGTGTTCGACGGGAACAGGGCATTACCCCCCCCCCCCCCCGTCAATGATCCCCGGACTAATTACCCCCCCCCCGCCCAGTAGGACATTACCCTCCCCCTGGTCATAGCTAGGGTTTGAGTGTGGGTTAGGTCTAGGGTTAGGGTTAGCGCTAGCGCTAGGGTTAGGATCAGGGTTAGGCTTAAATTAATGTCTAGAGTTGGTTTGGTTTTTGGTTTATTTTAGTGAATTGAATTCTTAGGTTTTTCGTCTTTGTCTTAAGGTTAGGATTAAGGTAATATATAGGCATAGAGTTTGAGTTAGAATCAGGATTCTATCTTGGTGGTTGGGGGGGGGGGGGGTAATTGACGGGGGGCAATTGCCACGGGAGGGGGTAAATACGGGGGGGGGGGGGGGGGAATGTCCTGTAGCCGTGTTCGACATACACAACCTGACGCTCGCTCGTGTACTTTATATTTTAATTCTATAGATTTATCTAAAGCGGCGCCCCTGGCTTGAAAATATTCAGGGCCTCAATGACTCCTATGTCTTACTGATATTTATAAAGTTTGACATAAAAAAATATTTTAGGGCTCCTGATGGCTCAACCCCCCCCCTCTCCACATCGCATTTGACTCTGTGCTGCCCTGTATTTTGATTGTCAAAAGGTCACACCTCTATTTAGTGCTTATTTCCCATTCCAGTTTTGGTAAGTAAAAAATTGTTTTGCCGCTGTAACATTAGTTGATACGGTACGGTTGTAACAAATGGTAACAGTTGTGATGTATTAGCTAATTTGGACTCTGTATTGTTTTAACAAGTGTTGCCACTGTGATGTTATAAGAAATGTGAACACTGAAGTTATAACAAATGTTGACACAGATGTTGTAGCAAATGTTGACACTGATATAAATGTTGATGTTATTTTATAATAATAAATACATCACCTGGCTAACTGATGAACTCAAGCACTGAACAATAACCAAACAACACCAACAACCAATTAACTTAAAAAAAAACAACATTCCCACAGATAGAACTAGAAGAAAAATTGCCTTGAATTATCATCTGATTTATTTGAAGTTTCTGAAACAGGTAACATGTTCTCTTGCAACAGCTGCACATCTTTGTATCCAACGTAATACATACATAGTGGCCATACAATGCATACACATATTGACTACAGGTCTATGACCACAGATCTACGGCCACATAACACATACATACACAGCGGCCAAAGATCTTTGACCACATAACATGAACACGTAATTATTTCCACAGACCTATGACTACGTAATGTATACACATAGTGGCCATAGGTCTTGGGGTACATAACACATACACATAGAGGTCACAGATCAATGGCCACGTAATAAGAAAACATCATTGTGACCACAGGTCTATAGGGACATAACCTGTGCACAGTTTCACCAAACATCAACATTAAACATCAGCACATATACTTCAATCTTCTCCTACACTCACATTTTACAACAGTTTTTATACTGCATAACAATATAGTACAGGTTTAATGTGAAGGGTTGGCCACCTATAGATAGACAATAATGGCCAAATGGCCAACTATGACCAAATGGCCAACTTTGACCAGATGGCCAACTATAGCCAGATGACCAACTATGACCAGATGGCCAACTTTGACCAGTTGACCAATTATGGCCAGATGGCCAACTATAGCCAGATGACCAACTATGACCAGATGGCCAACTATAGCTAGATGGCCAACTATGACCAGATGGCCAACTTTGACCAATTATGGCCAGATGGCCAACTATTACCAATTTAAGAAAAAAAAGAAACCAGTCAGCTGCCTTTTTAAGCTTTCTAAAAATCCTCAAGTGGACTAAGAAACAAAAAGTTAAAAGAAAACTTGCAAGAATGCTCAAAATTTCTCTCAAACTCTTGCAAATTCCCCTAGTAGTAGTGAATATAAAAGGCACACAAGCATTAAAAAAATGATCACATCGTTAGGAAGGTTTCACATCATATTAATTAAGTCAGTACACCATAATAACTTAAAAACCTCAAATATCAAGATCTTAGTGTTTTAAACTGCTTAAACTGTTCTTGTAATTCAATTTGCATTATTACAAAAAAATGTATGCGGCTTTAATTAAAAAATTAATTAAAACCAGCGAGAAATAAAATAAAAGGGGAGGGAATTTAATAAAATGCTCTGTATAAAGATTCCTTTTACTTAACAAATAACCCTGAGTAGAACATAAAATGTTTGTTTCAGTTTTCTTGTAAAACTATGGTGTACCATAATGTCATGTAACATAAAATAAAAGTTAAGTAACAACACTTGCCATATTCTAACTAAAAGTAAGACAAAGCTAATGCTAATCTATAAAAAAAGTCTTGTGAAGTTACAAAATCTGACATATTCTAACCAAAATTCAAAAAGCGGATGTTAACCTATAAAAGTATGGCGTACCAAGTGGTCATGTGACTTGGAATAAGAGGAAAGTTACAATATCTAACATGGTCTAAATAAAATAACAAAGCTGATGTTAACTTATTCACATTTAGTCAAATGAATCAGTACTGATTCTTGCTAGGACTTTTTTGTAAGTAAAAGTAAAATATTTACAAATATAGCTTTAAAAATAAAATTCAATGAGTAAAACAATTTATTTTTTCAAATTACTTAAATTTAAAAAAAAAAACTTGGCATAGATATGACATATGCACCATATGTGACATGAAGTGTACCATACGTGACATCAAGTGCACCATACGGGCCACAGACAAAGATATGAGCGTAGTTAAAATAACTTTTTAAAATTACAATTCATGTGATCTGTTATGTACCATTTCATTGATTCTGTTAAGTAAAAAAAAATCAGGAAAATTAAAATTTCCCCGCCACCTGTATTCAGCAATACTGACACCATTTGATGAACATCAGCATAGTTGACACCATCCGATCAGTATCAGCAATACTGACACCATCAAATGAACAATCTAGTTAATTAATTTCAAGCTACAGTCAAAAAGACTTTCACTTGTTAAAATTATTTCCATCGGTTAAGACCCAGAGTTAAAATTCAGTGTGATGTATGATCCATCCTTGCTGTACCTGAAAAATTTAAAAAAAAAGTTTAGTTTGCACTTAATCAAGTAAACTAATTTTTATTTAAAACAGAAAACTATAACCAAATCCTATTACACATACAAGTTAAAACTTTTTCTTCAATTTGGGTACATACAATTTTTTAAATCCAACTTCAATAAAATTTGTTTAACATAATCCCACTATATAATACATGTTTTATACTGTAACTTAATCATGACTAAGAAAATAAGGGCATCTTTTAAGCCAATTCACATTTTTAAAAATTACATTAATTTTTTATTTACTTTAAGGAAAAACAATGACTACAAGTTTCAAGAAAATTTTACATTTATCAGCGCACACCCCCACCATCTGCGCCTCCCCACCCCCACACACAACAATGTTGTTGTAGTGTTTCCACACAACAGAACATTAAAAAGTTTTTCTCACCGCAACGATAAATTCATTGTAAGCAACTTCACTGCTTCCTACGATTGGGATTAGTCGAGCTATTCTCATACATCTGTGGAGGGCAACACAAAATATGGTGAGTACACAACCAAATGAACATTCTAAAACATGGTGAGTACATAATCAAATGAACATTCTAAAACATGGTGAGTACACAATCAAGTGAACATTCTAAAACATGGTGAGTACATAATCAAATGAACATTCTAAAACATGGTGAGTACATAATCAAATGAACATTCTAAAACATGGTGAGTACATAATCAAATGAACATTCTAAAACATGGTGAGTACATAATCAAATGAACATTCTAAAACATGGTGAGTACACAATCAAGTGAACATTCTAAAACATGGTGAGTACATAATCAAATGAACATTCTAAAACATGGTGAGTACATAATCAAATGAATATTCTAAAACATGGTGAGTACATAATCAAGTGAACATTCTAAAATATGGTGAGTACATAATCAAATGAACATTCTAAAACATGGTGAGTACATAATCAAATGAACATTCTAAAACATGGTGAGTACACAACCAAATGAACATTCTAAAACATGGTGAGTACATAATCAAATGAACATTCTAAAACATGGTGAGTACACAACCAAATGAACATTCTAAAACATGGTGAGTACATAATCAAATGAACATTCTAAAACATGGTGAGTACACAACCAAATGAATATTCTAAAACATGGTGAGTACATAATCAAATGAACATTCTAAAACATGGTGAGTACATAATCAAGTGAACATTCTAAAACATGGTGAGTACATAATCAAATGAACATTCTAAAACATGGTGAGTACATAATCAAGTGAACATTCTAAAACATGGTGAGTACACAACCAAATGAATATTCTTAGACTAGTATCTCAACATCAAATGTAATGAACCAAGCACACAGAGAAAGTTAAATAAAATGTAAATTAGTCAGAGAAATAATATTTTTATGAAGACAGAAAAGGATTTTTTAGTCAAATAACATTTTAAACTGGTAACAAAAAACATTTTAAAGTGATAACATTTTTTCCTCTTCAGTAAAATAACTATAGTAATTTGATTCAACTTAAAGATCACACAAGTCCAGTCAATCAAGCTGTATTTATTAAATAAAATGACCAACTATTTGATCTGTCTGTCAACATGTGCAGCAGTAACTTTAAACTATTTTTTTTTAAAAACAACATCAACATATGAAGACCACAGGGGATAAACCACAGTCGTCACAGTTTTCTACTTTGAAAACAATGAGATTTGTGTTTGAGATTCTTTGCTGTTCCTTTGTGGCATGATTTTTAAATCCTAAATATTGAGAGGATCGATGTAGTTTTATGCTTTTATGCTACTACTACATGAATATGGCACTAATTCAAAAATTTCAAAAAGTGAAGGTTTATCCTGTGTGGTCTTCATACAGTATCTGACCTATTTTAAATATAGCGCCTCACATCCTTTAAAAGAGTTTTCAATAGGGAGAAGTGTAGAATTTTACTGACATACACGATCAATAACTACTTAGTCAGCACCCCATCCATACAAATTTGTTAACATCTACTTAATCTAGTAACCTGAACACCTACCCATGTAAAATTGTTAACACCTAACAATAACTATGTAATCTAGCACCCATACATGTAAAATAGTTCACATCTAACAATAACTACATGTAAAAATTGTTAACGCTGTTAGATATTAATACAACATTTACTAGAAACTGTACCTAAGTAGATGACAGCCTGTAAACTTTTATATATTTAGTCAAATGTTAGATCACAAGTTACACAACTATACAACATTTACCAGGTGCTTAGGAGTTAGGAGGAAAAGAAATTTTTTTTTCAGTTTAAAATTATGTCAATTTATTTTGTCTACATAAAAATACTGTATGAACTAATACTTGATCTTCAACTTGGAATAGTGATTAAACGTTAATGTTTTATAAATCAGATATCTGAAAGCAACCAAAATAGGACAAAAGTTTTTTTTTTTAGTTATACACTAAAAAATTCTCTCAATGATCTAAAGCCAAAATAGGACAAAAGTTTTTTTTTTTAAGTTATACCATAAAAAAATTATCAATGATCTAGAACTGTAACATTTTAAATGTAAATTTATATCTTGATGTTTTTGTGTGTTTTGTAATAGTTCTTTTCTCATCACTTTATCACTGGTTGTACTTCAGACACAGATAGCATAAGAATTTAACTGCTTGATCTGTTTACTTTAAAAAAAAAAAATCTTACACTTGGATTACTATTCTTAAAATCTAATGTGGCTTGGAATAAAGTTACACAGATATTAATCATCAATAGATTAAAATATGTAGTCATATAGCAGTTGTAGGAGGAGGAGATAACTGTTTAGAAAAATGGAAGATGAGTTATTTATATGATGGAAGACAGAGGTTACATGTAAGAGAGTGGGGTACAGGGGGGTGACAAGATGGGATGTAAGCAACCTCCAATGCTCCTGGGCTGTTGTCAAACTTGGGGACCACTGCTGAGCCTGTACACATGCATGAATAACTTGCTACATGAGTTCACAGTCAGGTGGGTGTGTCAGTGTGTTGGTATAGTTGGTACACATGCATGAATAACTTGCTTCATGAGTTCATAGTGAGGTGGGTGTGTCAGTGTGTTGGTATAGTTGGTACAAGTAGGTACAAGTGGGACTGTGTGTATGTTACTGTTGTTACTAGTAGGATTGTCTGTATGTTACAAGTAGGACTGTGTGTATGTTACTGTTATTACAAGTAGTATTGTGTTTATTACTGTTGTTACAAGTAGGATTGTGTGTATGTTACTGTTGTTACAAGTAGGACTTGGTGTATGCTACTGTTGTTACAAGTAGGACTGTGTGTATGTTACTGTTGTTACAAGTAGGACTGTACTGTACAGTTGTTACTAGTAGGATTTTGTGTATGCTATAGTTGTTACAAGTAGGACTATGTGCCTGCTATAGTTGAACTTGGTGTATGCTACTGTTTGTTACAAGTAGGACTTTGTGTATGTTACTGTTGTTACAAGTAGGACTGTACAGTACAGTAGTTACTAGTAGGATTTTGTGTATGCTATAGTTGTTACAAATAGGACTATGTGCCTGCTATAGCTGAACTTGGTGTATGTTACAGTTTTTACAAGAGGAATATGTGTATGTTGTTACAAATTGGACTTGGTGTATGTCACAGTTGTTACAAATATAACCAGTATGTCTTTCAAGTGTTACATTAAAAAAATAAGCACCCCATAATGGAATAGTTTAAAGAAATGACATCATCAATGAAATCACCAACCTGTTGTCCTTGTGCGCTGGCAAACAGATTCTGGACAACAGGGTTCATGGTTGTTTGACGTCCACTGTAAAAATAATTGACAACAAAATTAAGTTTTTTAAAAACAAAGTGATAAATGAAACAGCCACAACCTACTTTTTGCTATCTGTTCTTCCCATATTCCCAGCTATTATTTTACATTTAGTTTCTATTTCTTTGTGTTTAGATGTAGCTCAGTGAATATTTACACAATTAGGCATGAGGGAAGGGAATACAAACTGTGGAGAAATATGCGGCTGAGGATTAAAAAAGCTAAACTACCTAATCTAATTGGGAGCTTGAGTCATATTAATTTTCATCACTACCATTTTGAGTTCAGTTGGTCTTAAAGAATATCTAGAGCAGATTTCAGAGGTGAACAGCTGTTAGAAATCGGACACTTTTTTTTAAAGCTGTAGACAACTTTATAATTCAGTGTATAATTAGACATTTGTATAAAATATTCGTACATAAAATTAAAGGGGTGTTACTTATAAACGCAAAAGAATGTTTGAATAAAAGAATACATAATTAGAAATTACTAAAACTTAAAAATTGATATTTTGGGTTTGATGTAAAATGTCTCAAACCATCATTCTGGGTCACGCATGAAATTTATTATAGGGGGGGGGGGGTCACATTTGACATTGATTATGTGGTTGGGTTTAAGATAAATAAAAAAAGTTTTTAAAATGTTGTGTCAATCACCTCATCTGGTGACTAGCTTGTGGTGGCTGCTGGCGGAAGTTGGGGGCAGAATAGTTGCCTTGCGGCCCAGGATAATTGCCTTGCTGGTGCGGCCCAGAAAAGTTGGCCGGCTGGGGCGGCCCTGAATAGCTAGGATGTGGGTGCGGCCCTGAATAATTGGGCTGCGGCCCAGAAAAGTTGGCCTGCTGGTGCGGCCCAGAGAAGTTACCCTGTTGGTGGAGGCCATGAAAGTTGACTGGTGTGTAGTTCTGGGGGTTGTACATGAACCTAGGGTTAGCTGACCCTGGGCTGGAGAGAGAAAATAAACTTGTCTGGCCAACAGTAAACAATAATAACATTTCTAGTCACATGATATGCAAGGAACATTGAACACAGTGCACCATAGTTGAGAACCTCTAAGGAACTGATACAACATATCAAAGCAGAGGCACAGCGAGGGGGGGGGGGGCACATATGTCCCCGGGCAGCAAAATGGGTTGGAAAAACAAATTAAAATCTCATTTTAGCTGCAATTTTGCATTATAAATATAAAAAATATATATGGGGGGGGGGGTGTGCAAATTGAAAGTTTGTCCCCTGGGCCTCTGTATCAAAGTGTATTTAAGGGCATACGAATCATATGTAAAAGCTGATGTAAATGACTGTATGTTAGATCCAGAGAGCCATATCCGAATATACCCGAACCCCTGCAAGTAAATGACCTACTGACCTGAATCCTTGTAAGTGAATGACCTACTGACCTAAACCCCAGCAAGTCAATGACCAAAACCCCTATAAGTGAATGACCTACTGACCTAAACCCCAGCAAATTAATGACCTACTGACCTAAACCCCTATAAGTCAATGACCTACTGACCTAAACCCCTTTAAGTAAATGACCTACTGACCTGACGGTGGTGTTGATAAGTGGCTGAGAGTTGTAGACCTGTTGCCGAGGCTGCTGCTGGTAGTGTGGGTACTGCTGGTAGCTGGTGTTGTGAAAGACTTGGGGCTGCTGCATGAACTTGAGAGGGGCTGGGGTCACCTGCTGCAGGTTAGGGTTATTGGCCAGGTTAAACTAACAAGAAAAAATAAATCACTTGATGATTTCCTTGGACCAACATAAACAGATAGTTCCACTCAGATTAATTAACAAAGAAAAGAAATATTTCCATTTAGATGTTAGGGTTATTGGCCAGGTTAAACTAACAAAAAAAAATAAATCACTTGATGATTTCCTTGGACAAACATAAACAGATAGTTCCACTCAGATTAATTAACAAAGAAAAGAAATATTTCCATTTAGATGAACAGCAGGAATTTGAAATATAAAACAATCTTAAGCATAAGCTCAGTATTATGGAGTAAATCAGCTGTTTATCAATGGCCTAATTTATTTAATTGGAGCTCTTGGTACAGTGATGAGCAAAAAATGGATAGATCAAATGTTTGTTTTGTCCACTGCTGGCTTTAGTCTGTATCAGAACCCAAGTAGAAAAAGCATCAATCTTTTGGCAGAATTGGGAAGTTTGTGGAAGAAAAACTTTTTAAAGTGTGACTAAAAATATGGCTGGAAAAATCTTGGAGTTGTTTTTGTAGTTTATGCGTTAAAATCTTAGAGAAATTCCTGCTTCAGTTAAAATTTGTTTAAAATCTGACGGAAATTTCAGTTAAAATTTACTTAAAAATCTGACAGTAATTTCTGCTTTAGTTAAATGTTGCTTAAAACCTGAGAGTGTTGCCAGCCCTAGTTAAAATAAAATCTTACAGAGAAAGGAACTGCTGACTGGGCTGAACCCAGCCCTAGTTAAAATAAAATCTTACAGAGAAAGGAACTGCTGATTGGGCTGAACCCAGCCCTTGTTAAAATAAAATCTTACAGAGAAAGGAACTGCTGACTGGGCTGAAGAGTTCCTGCTTGTGTTCATGTCACCATGGTTGGATTCTCTGTCTCTCCTGCAACAAAACACCACATACACTATACTCTTGTTCTAGAGCTTCACATATACACTATACTCTTGTTCTAGAGCTTCACATATACACTATACTCTTGTTCTAGAACTTCACAAATACACTATACATTTGTTCTAAAACTTCACTGATACACTATACATTTGTTCTAGAACATCAGATACACTATTGCTCTAGAACTTCACAGATACACTATACTCTTGTTCTAGAGCTTCATAAATACACTACACATTTGCTATTAAACATTGCAGAAAAACAACATTGAACTGACACATAACACCACACTATACATGAGTTCTAAAACGCTGTTATTATACATCGCTGCTCTAAACATTGGTAATACTACATTTAATAATCTGCTCTAAAACATAAATATACAAAGCTTTTGTTGTAGAACCCAACAGAATGTAATTTTTGTAAGTTAAAAAAAAAACAGCTAAGTATATCAGGCAAAAAAAAAAGTAATAATTTGAAGCAGAAAGTTATTCATTCCATTACCTTTCCCTATCTCTCGAGTCTTTCCTATTTCTCTGCCCCTGTGGTGTGGGTTGCTTCTGTGGTATAAGTGGCTGTGGTGTTTGCTGCTTCTGGGGTGTGGCCGCCCCCTGGGGTCCCTGGTTGGCTGAAGAGGACTGCCTCTGGGGTCCCTGATTGGCTGAAGAGGACTGCCTCTGGGGTCCCTGATTGGCTGAAGAGGACTGCCTCTGGGGTCCCTGATTGGCTGAAGAGGACTGCCTCTGGGGTCCCTGATTGGCTGAAGAGGACTGCCTCTGGGGTCCCTGATTGGCTGAAGAGGACTGCCTCTGGGGCCCCTGGGGCTTTGACTTCTGCTGCTCATCATCCTTCCGACCTGCAGGACAGTGCCTGACCAGATGACCAATCTTTCCGCAACGCCTGCAGCCCCTGACATTAGGGGGCCGGCACTCTGACAGGAGGTCAGTGTCAAAAAAATAATCCTGAAAGTAATATGTTATTTTTTTTTTATAGTTTTAGCTTATCTGTATCTAGAAAAATTATACTGAAAGTAATATGTTGAATTATTTATATTTTTAGCTTATATATGTCTCTAGAAAAAAAAAATCCTGAAAATAATATGTTTAATTGTTAACATTGTAACCTAATCTGTATCTTATATAGTTTTTAAAAATTACGAAAATTACAAACTGTAATTTAAATTTAAACTTCAAATCATCAGGACATAATATTCTTTAATGCCTCGTGACAATTTTATAAACAAAAATGCTTGCATTGTAATTTATTTGTAGGACTGGAAACTTTGGCTTTTATTTTGTGTAGGAAAAAGTAAATAAAGATTTAATCGAGAAACTCTCCAACATTTGAGGGACAGAAAATTCACACCATAAACCTAACGACTGGCGTTGGCCTTGGAATTTGATGGGTTAAATAAGACGCATGCAAATGAGAAGTCCCCCAAAAATAAAATGAAATTTGATTCAAGACTTGATTAACCCAAGTTTTAACAAACTTAACAACTTACAGATGGTCTCTGATATTTGGTGAAAATTTCCATATTTTCATCAATGGGACTTCCATACAGCATTCTCCCATTTATCATGGTTTTAAATATGAAATTATTCACTGAAAAACATAATTATCAATATATTTACAAGTGTCAAATAAATTCTATAAAAACAATACAATATATCTTAAGTTATATAAAGCTAGTTGCTTACATTTTGTTACTAAAAAATAAAACATTAAAAAAACATAAAATGTGTGTGTGTAAACAGAACATTCCAGAACATCAACCTGAAATCAGCCTGCTGCATCAAGTTGAGACTGGAAAATATTCAGCTTGTTGGAAGTACAAAATGTAATGTATTTAAATAAACTTACTTTTTCTAGTCAATCCAGATCCTAAATTATGACTAAGATCAAATGGGTCTGACAAAAAGGAAACAAAATAATTTAAAATTTGAAGATTGAAAAAATAAACAAAAAGCTTAAAAATAATTTATTTGGCTACTACGCTAAAGCAAATCTTTTTAAATGACAACTTTTTTTTTTGAATAGCAAATACCCAAGTTTAAATGTATATAACTAATAATATTACTTTCTACAGTAACTCTAATATCTAAGTTAGAAGTTTAAAGACATTACCTTCAATAGCTATACATGTACCATTCCACAACTTCTCAAAGCGAGTCAGAGGGGCCTTTTGTCTGATGCTCACAACTAGCTCTTTATAATTGAACTCCTCCACATAAAAGCGCAGGAAACCCAGCCAAAGTTCAGCCACAGACATGTGATTTTTGCCTTTCTCTGGCCACAATTTGTCCTGAACAGTTGCAAAACAAAAAACTACAGCTTTTAGTTTACAGATGAAAAAATAGATAACAAACAGTAAAAAAAAATTAAGATTTTAATGCTTCAAGCTTTTAAAGATTATGTAAGTTGGGAATAATTTAATTATTTTTAACATAAAAAACAGTTGATTTTTTACATTTACAAATAATATTTTACATCTTAAAAATAATAAATAAGCTATTTCACAATATTGTTCTTACAAAAAAAACTAAAGCACAGATTATGTCTAAAACACACAAATTTCTATACAAGAAAACCATACCAGCAAAGTCAAGTCTTCAAGAAACCAAGCTTCGTAGCCTTCTATCTCAAGCTTAGGCCTCTCCTTTCCTTCATAAAGCTGACAAGGGAAAAATAATATTATCATTACCTAGAGCTAATTGGTACTTCTAGATCAACTATAAATAAAATTTTATTTCTGACATCTGATAAGACATCTTCTAAGTTTCTAGCATTTGAAACAACAGATTTTAGCATTTGTTTGCGCGAACTGGTGACTATGTCAAAATAAATTTAAAGAAAAAAAAAAAAAAAAAAACAGCAGAAAAATAAAAGATATCTGAACCAATATTTCTAACCTAAAGCAATTACCAAAATAACCCCGCAAAATCCCAGATATAATTGTCTCTGTGATATGTAACTTATAGGCTAGGTTAAGAATAGTTTAGGTTCCTTGGGATAGCGAGTCTGTGGGTATTAGGGAGGGTTTTTGGTTAGACAGACTGTAAGGTGTTGTTGTGAAATGTGTATATTATTTACCCAAAGGTCAAATGAGGTTATAAGAGTGATGTGAACAATTATTAGGGAGGGTTTTTGGTTAGACAGACTGTAAGCTGTTGTTGTGAAATGTGCATAGCATGAGGAAAATGTAGTGTGTAGATTTTTCTTTGAATTCAGTGAAATTGAATTTAACAGTCTCTTCATCATTAAGTAGGAATATGAAACTTCTTTGTAATAATCTACAGAAAGTACAGTATGGTCCCTTTAATTTAACAGTCTCTTTGTCATTAAGTAGAAATATAAAACTTATTTGATTGTAATCATCCACATAAAGTACAGGTTGGTCCCTACAGTTTCCCACAAAACTATGAATGAGTTACCTCTTGCAAGACAGGTATAACAGGTGGTTTAATTGAGAATGAGTTACCTCTTGTAAGACAGGTATAACAGGTGGTTTGACTTGCTGCAGATAGTACAACATCATCAGTATGTAAGCATAAGATGACAGACTGCCACGGGAAGCATCTCCAATATCACACACCTAAAGCAAGAGGGAAATATTTTAAACTGCTAGTGTTTCAAGAACTTATAGTGTTTAGCTTGGAAACAGTATAATTTTAACAATTTTTTCCAGTTCAGATCAAATGGTCCAAGGTGCAAATGAAGTAGAGTTTATCAGTTTCTTTGATCTCTATGAAGGGCTAGTGTGGTCAGCACTTTCCCAAGCCACCTTTACTTTCCTGTCTCTACTCAGATACCCATCAGAGCCATGTAGACTGAACTTGTGGATATCTAATTGTGCATTTGAACTCTTGACCTCACCTTAAAATAACTGTGCAATGAAATCTTTAAAAATAAACTTTCCTACCGATTGTATTAATCTTTGTAAAAAGAATCCACAGTTAAGGAAGAGTTCTAGATTCTCACCTTGGCAAATGTTTTGATGGTGTAGCCCAGCACCCTAACACGGGGATCAATGATGCTGTAGCTGTACAACAGTTTAGTGTTTTGTTGGGCCTGGAAAAAAAACATCAGTTGAGTTTTTTTTTCAAATTGTCAACAAATAGAAATAAGACTTTTAAAAATCACCTTAAAAAAATACACTATAAATAGGGAAAAATAATCAAAGATAAACATTTATTAATAACAAATCAAATTATTATACTAATTGTTTTATTTTATTAATTCTATTGTGGCAACGTGATTTGTTAAGAACAGCTTGATTCCTGAACATTTATTTAAAATTAAACAATACAGTTTTAAAGTTATTACACTGACAACAATATTTAGTATATTGGGACAAGTGTACTAAATCTTGTTATAATCTGTGTATGATATCCTACCAGTGTGTTGTAGAGACTTATGTCCCCTTCCAGATTACATTTCCGGATTGTAAATTTGACAATGGGAACCTTTGCTGTGGTGATGGCCTGTACATTGTTTAGTTCACGGTTTTGTTTCAATATTCTGGCCAATGTTTCAATCACAAAAACTTTGTCAAATTTCTGTAGGTGAATAATTTACATCTTTCATGACAAAATAAATATATACAATAAGTTTAATACAGAAAAAATAAGTAAACTACAACAGAAAACAACAATCATCAAAAATATTTGTCATTGTAATGCTTTGTCTTGACTTTAATTAGTCAGAAGATATTTATCCCTATAAATAATTTTACACAGAAATTTTGTCGACAATTGTTGTTGTCCTCTAAGCATTCTGTCATTACAACCTTTAGCCTCAAACATAAATTGTCCAGTCATCTGTCCCAGTATTGCTGCACAGCTAATCATATTAGAAAAGGGAGGGGGGTGGAGTTGCAGTGAAAAGAATAATCTTCTGTTTCTTTAGTAAGGTGACTCACAGGATTTCTTTTAGTGAATGTCATACAGATATCTATGTCACTTTTATCAAAGCCAAAGCCATTGCAGGATGAGCCAAAGAGATCCAGCTTTGCATCTAGTATAAGACAAAGTAGACTGTTTGAAAACAAAATATCTAAAGCATTCTTCTCTAATTAAAATAGGCTTTAAGGTTTTAATAAATAAAAACTTCATTCTTGCGATAAATATAAAGTAGTATGGCTTTATAAAATAACTGGGTTAATGTAAAAAATTTAAGATAACAGTTAAAATGTGAAACTACTTACCATCAAATTGATATCGGATAAACTCCTCCAATTTTTGCAAGAAGTACACTCGATCCTCATAGCTTTCAGAGTTTAAGCCTACCTCAGCTGAACATTAGGTTTAAAAAAAAAACTTGATAAACTTTATCAATTTAAAATTTAGATCAAATAGTTACTAGTGATAATACCATAATGATAATATCTTCAGCACAGAACTGAACTTTAAATTTAATTTTATCCTTGTAGTTGTAAAAAATTATAAACACAATCTTGGACACAAGGAGTAAGCTAGTAAAAAACAGAACAATTTAAAACTTTGGATCTTTGTAAACTTACAGGGCACTTTATTTAGAGTCTCAGACAGAACATCCAGATGCAGCTTGGTTGGGGGAGGCAGGGGTAGGACTTCTGGTAGCTCATCCTCAGGGCAAGAGTTCTTTAGGTGGCCCTCTTGCTCACAGTAGGTACACACTAATGTGGGGCCCTGCAGGGTCAAGTCGAAACACAGGGTTATCATTTGTTGGGCTAGAAATCTAAGCAGTAATAATGACTTGACAGTGAATATGAAAGGGAATGCACAGTCAAGCAATGGAACTCACTGTAAATAAAAAGTGTTAAATTCTTTTCTTGGACTAACTCTGTGCCCATTCAATTCTGATGGGCACATAACTTGTTGAGAAAAATGAAAGCTAACCACACAAAGACTAGGTTCCATGAAACAACATTGATCTACACTTGTGAATGGATGGCTATTTTAATTAATAAATAATAGATGACTTCTCAAAGACTTACAAGAAAAGACATTTTCCAATTATTATTCAAGTGACCATACACTCAAAGGATATGATTAACTTTCAGATTCCTGATCAAACTGATACCTCACTTTATTTAATTAGATTTATTGCTCAAGTTTTCAAACATATAGTACAGATGTCAATTTTTCTTTGTTAAAGAACCAAGGTTAAAACATTGCCCAATGCATTACATGTTTTTAACTAGACACAATTAACATTTTCAGAAGAAATGTATTGCCATATGCTTAATGCAGAAGTAAACAAATTAAAGAGTGATAAACTGCTTAGGGATCATCTTCTTTTAAAAAAATATATTGTTTTAAGTCAGAAACACATTATATTTGCAACCTGACAAAAGAAAATACCCCTTACCTTTCCATCTGTAAGGAAATAATTTTTTTCAAAAGAATAACAACACATCTTTGGTTCACCAGGAGAGTTACTTCCCTTGGCATCTTTACTAGAGGTCACATGACTAGAACTAACAGAGTCATCAATTTCCCTGTCTGCTTGTCCTGTTGATGGAGGACTGAGGAGATCAATGTCCCGTGAATCACCTACAACTTGAGGACTGAGAAGACCAATGTCCTCTGATTGTCCTACTGCTATGGTGTTTTGGTCACCACTATCTGGAACGGTTACACACTTTTCATCCTTGTTAGCCAAAGCAGCTTTATCAGTTGTAGAAGATGGCTCTTCATCCTTTCTAGAAGATGGCTCTTCATACTTTGTAGAAGATGGCTCTTCATCCTTTCTAGAAGATGGCTCTTCATCCTTTGTTGAAGATGGTTCTTCATCCTTTGCAACAGATGTGCTTGCTTTGCGAAGTTGGCTAACAATTAATGGGTTGGGTGGTATTTTGACTGGCTCAGCAGAGTCGCTGGAAGTCTGTAGTTTTTCTGGATCTTCTTTATTGACAGGAATATCAGTTTTAGCCGATACTTCTTTGGTCGTTTCACTGTTGTTGGTCAGACTCTCTTTGGAACGAACAAGTTCTTTTAACGCCTCTTCAGATATCTGGGATCTACCCTCCGCGTCCCGTGGCAGGCCAAAATAGTGAAAGGCTTTGCGGATAGAATCTTGCCAATACTCGTATATACGGGAGTTGTTCACCATCCTGGTTATGTTTTTTTTCAGCATGTACGGATCTAAAAAAAACAAAGTAATAGTCATATAACTTTGGTGTTTAAAGATTTAAAATTTTTTTTGCATCTAATAAACTTTTAAAATTGAAAACCTAATAAAATTGAATTTTAAACATCTGCTACAACCTTTTTAAAAATGTAAATTTGCAAGGTCAATTAAAACAATTTAAAAATAACTAAAACTAAATTTAAAAATCTGTAAAAACTTAATTAAAAGCCATGAAACATTAATTCAAAAAAGAAAATAACCTTCTACTGCTAACTTTCTGCTGTTCCAGGGCTTGACGTTGCGGCTGACTTCAGCATCAGACCTGATGCAGACCACAGTGTTAGCCACATCAAAGTCCAGGCTGTAGAACTGCAACAGCTTAAGCCACAGTTTACCTAGGCTCATCCTATTCTTCTGCTCATGACGGAACTTCATCACCTAACACAGAACAAAAACAACAAGTTGCAGTGTACACCGAAACTAAACAAATATAACAAATAAACTGTTCAATATTAATTCATGGGACGGAGTGGCCTAGCGGTACAGAGGTAGGCTGCTAATCCGAAAGTGTTGAGTTCAAATCCAGTTTTAAGTCAGTAGACCACAGCTGAGTCCACCCCGCTCTGATGGGTACCTAACTCACGTTAGGGAAAGTAAAGGCAGCTGGGCATAGTGCTAACCACACTATCCCTTTATATGCAGAGGTCACAGAAACATAGACTATCAGGTTTGGAAGGGGAATTTAACTCACTTTTACAATTAATTCATGCAGAAAATAAACAAGGGTCAGAGATCAACCCGCAAACAATTTCCATCATCAATACTTTTTACGAGCAATGTTGTTATTGACATTAACATTTTTAAAATCCATTAAAAGAATATTTTAAACTAGAAAAATTAAGTGTTAAGTAAAAAACAATAACCTTATTCCTCATCTTCTCAAATGCTGGCTGATCCTTTTGAAAATCCCCAACATCTTCTCCGCTTATCTGAAAAAAGTTAAATTTAACTTCAAGTAGATCTAGTCACGTGATCCTTAAATTAAAGGAAAAAAATGTTTTCAACCTTTTTTAAACTAAGTTGGCTATAAAAGTCAACTTTGTGTCACCATTAGACTATTTTTTTAACAGCTGTTTTTTGTGCGTTTGTGTGCTAAAATTTATAAGTATATGTATAAATGAGAAACAATTTATTTTTATTGATTACTAATTATTACTAGCATTATTATTATTAATGTAAATTAACAACCAAAACCAACGCTTCATAAAATAATTAAGTACATGTATAAATGAAAAATATATTGAATTATTTTTATTGACTAAATTATTATTAGCATTATTATTATTAAATAAATAACAAACCAAAGTCAATTTCTGTAAAAAAAATTATTTTTGGAAAATCACCTTTGGAGGGGTAATGACAGGTGCAAGTTGCGGACTGGTCGTCTGAAGAAAGTAGATGACCATCAGGTTGAGAGCTTGGGGTGGGATGAACCCGTCCTGCTGTCTATCTAGCCCACACAGCTAGGTAGAATATAACAAGCATGGTGTAACAGTTTACAGTGGCACAACAAAATCTTCTGTGTTAGCAGTGATAAAATTAAAATATAACCACAATTAAAATAGAACAATTTTTGTCTTTAAAATTAATTCCATTTTGCTAATTTATTGACAACTGGATGTTTATTTATTTATAACTGAATGACAGCAGACAATTCTACACATGTTTAATTTAAATACATTACAAAAGAATTTCTAAAAAAAACATTGTCAGGTGCTTTGACATAGAATGGAAAAAATAAAAACGACCATAGAATGGAAAGAATAGAAACGAACTCTACAAATTTATAGTTGTCAACCCACATACTAGAAAGAGTGATGGGAAATGATGATGGTTATAATTTAGGGTTTTTCTCATCTTGATCTTGTGTATCAAAATAATAAGTTAATTGAATCATCCACACAAATATCATTATTACTATTTACTTGGTGAATGGGTAAAATATACATACGCACTCAAAAATCACAAAAATAATTTTTAACAAAATTATTGTGGAGTACTCACATGCGCCCAGTAGCGAAAGGCTACCACCAGTTTCTTTATTCTGATATCAAAGTCTGCATAAATAGACAAGAGCTCTCCAGAACAGTGAGCGCTGTAGCAATGGATGGCAACATTGACCTTTAACCCTGTCGCCTCATCTGTCAGCAACAGTGCTGGCACTTTGGCAGTGAAATCTGACCTGACATTAACAAAGCCAGTATCTGTGGTAGGATAAGATTGAGGAAAATTTTTTATTTTGGCAAACATCATTTAACGATGATAATTACACTCCTTTCTTGTTGGAAGTTTAAATTCCATATGTATTTATACAGGATGCATATCTTTTATATAAATAAAACAAAATTAATTACCATAATTCCAAAATTTAAAAAATGTAATGTTACCATGCAGTACTATTAGACTATAAGGGTAAAAAAACCCCAGGAAAATTTGTAGTCTTCACCTGTTCTGTCCTTAAGGCACAGGTACATTTCTTTCAGCAGGTAAGTAAGTTTCATGTTCTTGTCAGCTGTATTCAAATCAATATTGATGTCAGCACTCTTCAAACCAAAGCCAGTCAAGGAGGAGCCATACATGTACATGCGAACCCCTGGAGGAAAAGATGTGAGTAATTGATCAATGTAGTGTTGGCTCTATAAAAGTACTTCATAATACAATAATATTACTATGCATGGACTAAGTTCAACACTACAAATTTACATGTCAGAAAAAGTATCTATTAGTTTTATTGAATAAAATATAAATTTGGTACTTCTTGGCTTTTACCCTAAAACAATTTTGTTTCAATGAAAGGATACAATTGTAAAACATTATTATAAATACAAGACACACCTGGAATTCTCTCCTGAATGGTTTTTTCAAGACGTTTGACAATTTCCTGCCTAGACTTCTGCTCCCACTCATCTATGCCATATTTCTCATACACCTCCTCTAGAGCTGAGCTTATGGCTTTAATCTGATCTTCAGATGGGGCCGGCATACATTTCAGGATAGCATCCATTCCACTAATCTGAAAACAATATTATATCAAAATCATTTCTATTGAATTTATTTATTCTGAGAAACAGAAAAGTAAATATTTGCCTTTCACAACAAAAAGACCCAATTTTTCATGTTGTAAAAAAAAGCTACCTCTATATTTGTCATAAAAAAAAGATATACCCACCTCTCTCCGCCTACAGTGTCTGTTATCTTTCATATGCTTCTCACAGTCTTCAACTAAATCCAGATGGTAGTCACACAATCGACAAAAGAAATGGGCTTTTGGAAATCGTTGGTTTTTCTTTAAGAACAATTAATAGAACATGTTTTTCCAAAAGTATTAAAAACATTTAAAAAGTTAAATTTAACAATGATATAAAATGACAACAATTCTTTTATGCCGGAGCACAATTAGATTATACTTATAAAGTATTCTAGTTTCAGTTCTTGGTAAAAGATTTATTTCTTACATAGTTTTAATAAACAAAAATTAAGCAAGTAAACTGATAGAGAGACTGTATAAGAAAAAAAAGATAATAAGTTCTATCTATAATGTGACATTATTATTAATCAAATTAAACACAGGGTAAAACTGCAAACTCAAGAACATTTATGTAAAGAACTAAAATTTAACGGGGATAATTATCTCAGCTATCATTCATTGTTACCTTTTTTAAGACATGCATTTTATTTTCTTCAAGGTTTTTTAGGAACTCTGGACTCATTTCTTCCTCTGCAAAAAAAAAATAAATATTGCATTACTTTAGGATTTTTTAAAGTAGTATGGTAAATTTACTTTATTTTTTAATGCACTGTAAGTACTCTGTACTTCTATGGTAAAAGCTAGGTTCAAGGTTTCATTTTTTAAACTATTTTACTTTAAACAAGAAAGGAAAATGACAACAAATGCTCAAGAGACATATATTGTGGAGTATGATTAGTGTACGCTTATTGTTAACTAATGAATTAGTTAAGAAAAAAAAAATTAAATACAGAACCAAAGCTATACTGGCTTTGGCTTATTCAATTTATTGTTACTTGCGTTTGTGAACTAATGAATAAACGAGTGAAGAAAAAATGAAATACACACCTCCAAGTTTCGCTGGTCTTGGTTTATTGTTATTTGTGTTCGCTCGATCAGACTGCCTACTGCGATTCTTTTCTTCTTGTCGCCAGTCTCTTTGACTACCAGCACTGGTCTCGCGTTTACCATTCCTGAAAGTTTCATTTTTCTTCTGATTAGACACATCAACAGACTTTTTTACGGGTGACTCTGCTGATTCTTTAGTATCTAGTTTTGTCTTATCACTGCCAAGGCTATTATTAACTGGTGATCTATTAACTTTGTCTGCTTCTGAGATTGTTTCTTTAGCAGAATCCAAGGAAGTAGTGTCACACTCAGATTTCTGAACAATCATTTCTGGTGTGTGGTTGTTTGGTGGTAAAACAACATCTCCTGTCAATGATGCAGGTTTCTTTTTCTTCTTTGGTAGGACATTAGCATTTGGAGCAAGTCTAATCGGGGCAGCTGGAACTTCCTGAGTGGGGTTGTTCGCAGCCTGGCTCAAACTGGGTGCTAACAGCGCGTTGCCGTTGCTGTTGGTATGAGTGCTGTTGTCATTAAGGTTAGGTGAATTTCCTGTTGCATTCTTCTTGGGTTTTCTCTTTTTTTTTGATGGTGTTATTATTCTTTCCTGAGGTGATGACTTATCATGCAGTTTTAGGAGTTGCTTGAGATCATTTGAAGCCTGATCTATATTAAATCCTTCAGCCATTTCCTCAAGATTAATAGTCCCTGTGAGAAAAGAAATGCATACTTCTTACACATATGTAAGAAAGGAAGCTTAATTTAACTTAAGCAGTGTAACATTTATAGAAGAAAACATTTCTTTCCAATAACACACAGTGAACAAACAACTAAATTTAAAAAAAAAATGAAACAAAACTTTAAAAATGAGAGACACCCATGTTAAAATTCTGCAGTTATAAAATAAATAAGCTCATTGATATTTAATTAGGCTATACAATACAGCATGTATTCAGTAATGTTTACCTTTGAGCTGACCACAAATAATTTATTATGAACTAAATTTAAAATTGTATAGGCCCCTACTTCTCCTGAGCAATAATATTTGATAAACAGGCCTACATTTTAATTTTTAATAATTTAATAGGCCAATAGATTCTAGTAAAAGATTCTAGTAGGCCTATACTATACTATAGATTAGTAATTTATAGATCTAGGCCTGACCAGATTTATTATCCAATCTTATGCCAGTTCAGTTATTATATGTGTAGTAAAAAGAAATTGAGATAATAATAAATAGTAAAGGCCTAAGTTACCTAAGTTAAGTAAATGCAATAGCAAACAGTTCTAAATCTTAATCTAGATTCAACAGTAAAAATTATTAAAAAATAGGCCTATTAAAAATAGCAACTAGCCTATTTATTTAAATTTTAAAATAATTTTCAAAATACTAGGCCAATTTTTAATAGGCACAAAAATTGGAGCAAGTAGAATCTAATTGTAATGAGGTCATAATTGCAAACTAGATTTAGACCTACTAAATAATAAAAAATGCCTTGATCTATCTAGTATCTAGCTAGAGTGATGTAACCGACCGTGAACTAAACTGAGTTTACTGAGCGAAGTACTAACTTTATGATGTGGTGGATGGATGGACCTGACTGAACTTACGTACGTAGTCACTTGGGAGTTTGGAGGAAAACCAACAAGGCAAGGCTACATGTTAATCTGTATAACACCTAAATATTTTTAAATATAAAGGAAACATTTAATAAAATATTAATGTGCATTAATGCTATTGACAGTTAATACTAGACTTCTAGATCTACATTAAAAATAGATAAAACGTTAGTAGATCCGCTGACACTGAATAAAAAAATTCCTGTTTTTCTTAGAATCGGAAGTAGGAATCGGTTACTAAGAGTAACTTCCCTTGTCAACATAGGCTTACACCTGACGAAAAACTAACTCGACAATACGTAGAAGTAGAAATTCAGTTTCAATTTGAATATGCCCGTAGACTTTTAACAAATAAATTTAAAACGAATGAACTTGTCCATGAAGAGCACTTCTGCACATCACTTTCCCTTTCGTTTCTTTTACATATTGAAGCAAATGTACGCTATGACTATACTATACTGAATACTGACTATCACTATCCCCTGCCATAGCCTGCCTATGGCATGGCCTAACTATTTTGATAAAATAAAAAAATTAATAACATTATTAAATAGGCCTAACTTAAGAAATTTAGAAAGTAATTAATTAGATCTACTAATATCTAATTACTTAATTAATTATTAGTAATTAATTCATCAGTGTATTGTATTGGCCTAAGTATTATTAGCAGTTTCTCCCCCCCCCCCCCCCAACGAAATGGAATTGATATTGAAAATGTATAGTATATATTTTAACAGTGTCGTTCCCCCCCCCCCCCCCCGAGAAAAAAATCTGGAACAAACACTGAGTATTAGTAATTTTCTAATCACTGGTAGCCGGAAAAGTGTACCGCTTACTCGCTATTAGTAAATTAATAACTAACCAATATATTCTTAACTGGTAGTTTACTTATTACACATTATTACTAAACTTACTTAATCAAGTTAATTGTTAATGCTTAATATAAGTAGGCCTATTAATTATTATTATTAAATAATAATATAAATAGGTAATATTATGTAGGCTTTGCCTTAAAAGATCTAAAGGCTTTATTACATTTAAAGCCTTTTTAAAGACCTACATCTTATTCTTGTCTCAAGTATTCTAAAGCTCTAAGCTTAATAATAAGATAAGCCAATCATGACAGGAGTGATTTCAGTGTTTACTTAATATTGTAGAAATAGATAAGAATACATTGTGCTGATTATCTTGTTATATGTATGATTTTTTTTTCTTATGCTTACACACACATTTATCAATCAGTAATAATCAGAGAAGTCATACAAAAACAAAATTGTTCACATACATTTTATCTGGCTGCCTGTCAAAACAAACTCACAAAAAAAAATGAAAAAAGTTCAATTATATCACTTATTTAATGAAATTTTTGCGTATGTTGAAAGATATATGTACATAATACATAAGCCATTAAAAATTGGTGAATTGTGGAAAGTTTGAGTAATATATAAAACTGAGCTTCTAATCTTTCTCTCACAGTTAACATGAACTTACTAAAACAAATTTTATAAAAGGCAGTTTTTCCTGATGTCATACTAACCAAAATCACATTCCAGCATATCAACAGTGTTTTATTTTTTTACTTTTTCACTCATAATAATTTATGCAAAATAAATTTTTGCATCATTTATTCAAAGCAGTATTTATCCCATTCACAAAAATAAATAAGTCATGTTCATTTCTTTTGAAAATGCTTCTAACACACAAAACAGTTACCATAATAATTCTTTCAGAACACATTTGTAGTAAATGAACCACTACATGGACAGTCTCAAAATATTTATGTTAGGGATTTTTTCAACCGAGAGAATAAATTCAAAATATGAAACATTTAACACAAATCCACATGAACTTAGTATTATACCCGTCATTTTCACAATACAACAAACATGCATTCAGAATCTCATATTCAGGCAGAATACTTTAAAAATTAGAGTGGCCATCAGTATAGAGATGTGATCAGCGAATGAATATTTTTGTGTAATGAACCTGGTTTATGAACATTCTCTGCCTTTTAAGTTTCATGCTTAAGAACACTAAAAACTGTTGAACTCATGCAAGTTGTCATTACTGCAATTATGAAGCACCACAGGTGCAAAACATGCATAAATAAGAAGAAAAAAGTGTTTTAAATATATAGCCAAACATATCCACCAAAATCATTGTACTTGTAAGAAGGGTTTAAAGCTGATGTAATGTAAACTGAAATTTAACAATGTATTTAAGGTATGTTTTTATGAAAACAACACAAGCATGAAAATATAAAGCTTTTTAAAAAAGTAGACAAGTGATCAATTTCTTCTAACTAGATTTGCCAAAATGTGGTTTACCAATCACATACACATTTTTACTTATATATAAATATGTATATAAGATGACATCACATACACTTGTTTATGAACATCTTACAATAAGGATTTATTTATAAAATGTGGATTTAAGAAAAAAAAACATCTGGCAAATAATATATATATATTTTTTTTATAATACTTAAAAAATATTACTGTCCAAATTCAAAATAGATTCTTGCATCACATCCACTTCATCAACTTTCAAAAAATAAAACACTATTCTCTATGCTTATTCATTTTCTTCTGCAACTTTGAAAGTGAAAAAGCTTGGATTTGAAAATGTTGACACATTTCTCTGACCTGAAACAAATATTGCATCTTAGTAACTTATTACCAAAACTAATTAATTTTTGTGGTTAGTACTTGGGATATTTCATAATTCAATATAATGTATTTTGTTATCGATTGCAGAAAGTCAGCATATACATATACTATTTGATGTTTTGCTTTATATTATTGCTCAAAATGTCTTGTTAATCATAAAAAATAGGAATAAACTTACCACATAAATACCAAACATGCAATGTTTAATGGTTATGTAGATACAGTAGGCCCACAACAGATATATTTCAGTAGTTCCAAGATTGAGAAACCTGACCAAAGCGACAATTGTGATGAGAGGAACCAATGAAGTATTGATCAGTTCACACCTTGTGCTACTCATCTGCGCTATGATTAGATGACACTGAAAAAAATACAGGAAAATATCAAAACACGAGACATGAAAATAGTAGAATTCTACACTCATTTGCTACTAAAGCCTATCTCAAAACTTTTACCTAGTCAAGGGAGGTAACCCCCAACAACTTTTATTTGAAATTGTTTTAAAAATAAGTCTACCGTTTGTTTATTTATTAAAAAGCCACACAATGATACTAATGCGATAGAAACATGGTGGGAAAATAAGAAAGTAATGGTAGTTGCATTCGGTTGGGAGGAAAGTATGTCACATTAGTAGCAAATGAGTAGCAAGTGTGAATGTAGATTTACAATCTAACAAGAAATGTGATAAGATTTCATCACAACAGCTGGTGATTCACAAGATGTTTTAATTTCACTCAACAAAGCTACACTAGCTGTTGTATTGCACATGCCTTAACAGTATTGTAGGGTTAAATTTTGAAACTAGGGCAATAATAACCATGTCAATAAGATAAGCCTAATTTACTATCTCAGTTCTATCATTGCAATTCATTTCAACAAACAAGAAATGAAATAAAAACTTCTTATTTTTAAAATCTGCAACTATATCCAGAAATTAATGGTTTAGCAGTTCAACAATATTTTTATGCTATCTATGCTAACAACTCACAGCTATATGTGAGAATGCAGTGCCTGCTGTCCAATAGAAAAGTCTTGGTTGAAGCTCAATGATTTCACATGATGAAACGACAGCCCAGTAAATCATTAAAGTAAATAAAATGAATGTTGAAACCAATGGCCGCATCCCTTCAGAGAAAGATAACATCTTTCCAGATTTATCTTTATAAGCTCTAAAAAAAAAAGCGACGTAATGTTAAGAATGCACTGTGTAATGTTAAGAATGCACTGATATGTATATTTGTATGAAATATAAAAATATCAAAACTAGCAAGCTATAAGGGTGATTGCAAAATAAAATTGTTAGTACACAGCAAAAAAGCTGCTGATTTAGAATATACATTATAAGAAAAGTAACTTGTAAATGTTATAAAAAATCTTATTAGAAGATTTTAAAATTTATGCTTACCTATATATATTGTGAAATGTGAATGGGAAAGTAAGTATAAAGAAACCCACTGTAAAAAATTAAAAAACATCAAATTAGTTTTTTAAGGCAAATTTAATACAAGTTATTACAAAGAAAAAATTTGTAAAATTCATATATATTGAAAAAATCTTATGCTAAAGCTGACGTGGAACTGATCTTTCGGCTTTCGTTACTTTCAAATTTCTCTCATCCCTAAATACACGATTCAAACGTATATTAAAGTTAAAAATTTTAGTTTTAAATTAAATTACAAAATGTGAAGTAGAACACAACAGACAAGAACGGCAAGAACTTTTTTCTCTTCCCACATGGAATAAAAAATAAATAAAGAAGTCCTATGTTCATTTAAAATTCAAGTTGGATCTTCTACAGCTTCAGATGTAGACATTTTCAAAGTTAAATTATTAAGAAAATATTCACTTGTTTCAAAAAATGAACCCTGTTCAGGAATCTGCAGTTAAAATGGGCTACCTTCTATAATTCTATTGTTTTGACAGCAGTAGGGTAAATAACTACAACATTTATGACTTCCATTCAAACCATTACTTTAAAAATATAAAATGAATTGAGTGAGGACTACTTACAGTACAAACATATTTCGAATGTTTCAGCTGGTGACCAATTTACGAGTGGTAATCTAAATTTCCAGACATCATGTCCTCCAAAGAAAGTTATTAAATACACAATAACCATTGCCTGATGAATGAATAGAAATGATCAAATAATTAAATGCACAATCAATACAGTTAAAAGGGCCTGAATAAATACTAAATAAAAACAACTGTGCTTCTCAATCATTGACTATTACACCTGAAGCCCTACTAATATACTATAGGGTTTGAAGCAAATTAAATCACTCTCTCATGTAAAATATGCTAACACAATAAATCCTGCAATTAATAAATAGTGGTTGATGTTTTTTTAAACATTTTAATATATTACTAATAGGTTACTAAAAGCCAAAATAAAGGTTTCTGCATCTAGTTCTGGTATAATTAAAAAGGAACATACACCATACACATGTAAACTACTGAAAGCTTAACGTAATACTTACTATTTGGCCTATGTCGTATCCCCAAGGTAAAAACAGAACACCAGTGTTGTATTTTTCCCAATGGCTGATAACAAAGCATACCATAATTCCCACAACACACATGAAGACACGAAACACACTGACACCATGCTCTCCACGTCCAAATATGCAGAAGACAGCAACGGGTAAGAAAAGGGTTGCCCAGCTATCTAGACCATGGTCAAAAAGTTCACCCAATGGTGAAGATGACTTAGTTCTTCTAGCTTGCTTGCCGTCAATTCCATCTGTTCAGAAGGAAGAAAATTGTTGAGACTAACAGCAACACTACACTAATTTCACAGTTTTTCAAGCTAGTCTTAATGAAAGTAAAAGACTGACAATGAAATCTTGTAATCAGTCAGACAGTTGCCTGTGTTAGTAGCTATGTACTAACAGTTTAACGTAGCAAATTAGGATTAATTTTGACATTAGTAAAGTAATCTAAAGGTTAATAACTGACCATGAAGCATAATAATAACAGGAATGGATTGCATCACATTATGAAACATAGCTGCAAAAATAACAAAAAAAACAAAGTAGCTTGATAAAATGACACCAAACTGAGGGAAAACTATCTTACCAAGGGTATGAGCAAGAAAAGTGTTAACGGCTCCCATAAGCCACACCCAGTTTGGTATTGGGGGGTGCTCAGGGTGGTCTCTGCAAGCTGCATAGAAATGTGGGTCATAGTAGGTCATGACCACAAAACTGACAAGTAGGAGCATAAACCCAGAGAGTGTGAGCAGATTTGGTGCTATCCATAATGGTACAATCTGAAAAAGATAAAAATAATTGAGTTAGAACCTGCAATACTGCAATTATTTTAATAATAATATAGCTATTAAGACTAGATAGAATAAAACAAAGTTACTGTAGGCTTCCCAAATATTTTACCACATTTAATGTGAATAGTTAAACATTATGATCAGCTAATTTAACCTACAGTAGAAAAATTACCTTAACACATGTGTTCCAAAATGGATGACATAAATAGTTGCTAACAGGACTAGTATCGATTGCACTGTACTGAAAAAATATAAGAGCCTGTGATTATGGATATATCAGTAATGATAATCGTTATGGTATTTTTAAATAATAAACCAAATACTTCTAGAAATCAATTAACATAAAAGCTGTAAGAGGTTTGTTTATATTAGGCCTATGTTTCAAGTAATAACTTGATGACTAGTTTAAAAACAATGAAATATTAGATTAAGTAGTCCTAATGAAAGAGCAAATGTTTAGAGCTACACTAATTTATTCAGGTCGGCATGTAAACAATACTACTTATAATATTAATTGAAGTGACTACTCGGAAGAAGCTTCTTCCCCCAGCGCTAGTCTGACCGGCAGTTTAATAGCTGCGCAACGGGCTCAAATTATCGTTTTATGCTGCACAATGGGATCAAATTACCCTTTTAGCCTTATTCTTCTGACAAAACTATCTGTACAGTGTGGTCGAGCGGTTGCGCATCGGGCTGTTCGTTAGGGGTTCAAAGTATAGTTGTAGAATATCTAGTAAAGAGTTCTAGTCTATAAGTTAAGTGTAAAATATTTAAAAAAAAATATCTATTCTTAATTAAAGGGCTATTTAAATCTACTAATTAAGTATCTAATTAAGTATCCCTGGCCCATCAAGACAACACATAGGTGTAAACAATGAACACTCAGATGACAAAAAGCAGGTAGGCCTAATTGTAGCGCTATGTTTAATAGTAATCTTGTTCCGACAAGAATAAGCCTATATTAATTGATACAACAAGATCCATTTTGCTATATGATAATACTAGAAAGATACTTTAACATATTTTTGGGGCAGTTAGTCGAGAAAGTAGCACAAGATCAAGTGGGAGAATGGTTATACAAGTGTCTGTTAATGGAATCTTCTTTAAAAAAGGGGTGTTAGGTTATTGGTAGTTAAATACACACATGGCTTTCTAATGTCAAGAAGATTTTTAAAGAAGATTCTGTTATTGGACACCAGTATCTATAATCATCCAATCAAGTTAAATGGAAATATTGGTAAGCAGGCTAACTACCAATGAAATGTGTAACTTAAACTGTCTTATAGGCTTACTATCAACACTTTTGTGACTTAGATAAAAGTGATAAACATAGCTAATTCCAATTAAAAATGCAAGATACAGGCCTAGGGTAGGCTTTAATTTTTAAGTTGGTTGTTTTTTACAACACCAGGAAGTCAGAATTAATTATTTCTTAGGGTCTACTTTATTAGTTATGTTGTTGTTGCAATGCTAGGCCTGAAATTCCCACTAAGAAACTAAGACATGGTTTGGTGGAGAGAAGGTCATGGTTGGGAGCACATAGAGACCAATTAAAATATTAACTTATTAAGGCCTAGATCTAGAAATCCTGTTTTTAATTCATCTAGGCCTACCAAACGAATTAGAGAAGTAAGAGCTACCCAGCTATTACTACTAATGATGTAATATCAGTAGGCCTAATAGTAATGCTAAACAAATTAAAAGTTTATTTCAATGACTGTTCAGTGTGTAGCTGTGACACACTTACCAGCAGATAACTGCGCTTTATCGCAAGTCGACACACATTGTCTGTCACACACACACACCTACATTTTACAGACTTGTTATCTATTTAATTTACAATGGACGAGCTTAACGTATTGAAACTAAATATTCTATGTAAGAGACGTCTAATCGTAGTGAGTAATAGATCTATCTAGAAAAACATAATTATAAAGCATACTTTATAGTTGTCAAAGCCGGCTAAGACTTCTTTGGAAAGATATACAAACGCGGCCATACTTCATTGTTAGTTACAATGTTAAGAGATAGCTCAGAGTTCATTGGTTGTTAAATATCACTACAAAGATTATTGACCAATGAGACTTATGGTATGATTTCTATACCGGAAGTGGGGCGTGCAAGTAAACTCTAAAAGACGGAAATCATAAAATAATTATGGATTACCCAGATCATAGATCTAGAATCTAGATGAAGATAAAAAATGCATAAAGCCAAAACTACATTTGAAAAGAAATTTGCAAAACTAATTCACCATGTAGTATATTACACAATAATTACATGTCACTTGTTGACTTATTATCAAGGTTAAAAAATTTATAAAAGGCAATTGAGACACGATCAAAGTTTTTTTCCCCAGGCATCTATTCGAACGAGAAAAAAATACAGAATCTAGACCTACTTGAACCAGCCCCCCCCCCTCCCCCCACAAAATTTAAGTGAGCCACCGAAAGTTTAAAGTACCCCCGCCACCTGAGAAAAAAATGTCCGAAAGAAACACTGAGCACGGTCGAACTGATTTAAACCAGGGGACATCCATAATATCCATCATGCGTTTTTAAAAACGATTTTTACCCTCCCCCCCCCACTTTACTCACATCTTCACAAAAAGCCCGCCTCCCCTAAAAGAACATTACACCTCAGCCTACCTCCCTCACCCAAAAATTGCGGTTTTTAACAATCAACTGTGATTTCTGTCTGATATGGATATAGATAATACAGTATAGTTTGATATTGAAAATCTAATAAAATAAACTTAAAAAAGCACATTAAAGTCAACATGACTGGCGGAGATTAGCGGACGAACTAATCCTTTTTGCTTGTCCGACACAGTGTTTCTTTCAGACTTTTTTCTCCGGGGGGGGGGGGGGAAGGGAGCACTTGATATCTTCGAAGAGATTCCTGGAAGAAACACTGGTCCGACCCCCCCCCCCCCCCCCTTTTCCCGGAATCGGCCAAACAGCATGATGCAACAAGCATACAGCTGGACATAATACCACTTGTTGTGATTCTAGTCTTCGTAGGTTTGGCTGACAACAGTGGGTAAAAAAAAGCAGTATAGCTACCTTTTAGGACCTGGCGATCCACTAAGCAGATAAACAGTCCACCTGTTTCTGTGACCTCTGTGATATGGATTCGAGACAGGATTCGAACTCGAAACTTTCTGGTTAGAGGCCGTACTCTCTAACATCCGACACTGGGTAACCATCACCATTGTAATTTTATTTTTACTGAGCAAAGTTGCTCTGCCCCGTTACCCCATTGTCAAATTACTAAGGCAAGTTAAACAATCTGGAATAGATGATATGCTATTGCCTATATCTTATTAAAAATGGCTTATTATCTGCAGTATATATATATATATATATATATATATATATATATATATATATATATATATTTATATTTATATCTTGTGTCCTTGTGTCTTGTACTAGACGCCACCTATTACGCCACCATCTGTCTTGTGCTAGTCACCACCCATCACCAACTGCCGTGTGCTAGTCACCACCCATTCCGCGAGCACCTGCCTACTAATATGTCCATGTCACTTTCTTCACGACATATCTGTTCTAAAGAAGCACCCAGTTATTGGCGTATTTCGCCGTTGTAGAGGCTACTCATTTCAAATGGAATCGTGGTTTTGTTGGACATCTAAGTTTTTAAAACTAATTAAATCAAGCAATGCTTCACTTGACCTAATTATATTTGAGATTTCTTTCAGTTTATTTCCTTAATAGCATACTAGTTGTGAGGTTAATTGCCAGAGTGAGGTGGGGCGGGGTTCACTAGACACCCCCTCCCAATTTACCTGTACTGAATTCATCGCATACACCTAGATTGGTGTTTTAATATATTTGCTTCAACGTGTTTCTCTTTAGAGCTGTGGAGCATTGTCCTCGGAAAACATCCATTGCCCCCCCCCCCCCCAAACCCGGAAGAAATAGGAAAAAATATTAAATATTCACAGAAAATATATACTTTAACCACCGTACACCCCCGGATTTTTTCACCCCCCCCCTCAGAAGTTTTAAGTGCCCCTTCCCCGGAGCAAAAGAAAAAGTCTGAAAAATTAGCTTTAAATTGAGAAAAGCTAACATTAAACCAAACGCAGTCAATGTGTGATGGTATTAGGTTGTTTATTGACTTCAATGGTTGAAGGATGTGTGAGGGCAGTCGATGACACAGCTAGAAGGAAACAACCCTTTTCGTTTTTTCTTCAGTCTGCCGATCCTATAGTAGCCGTAGCTCATTCCACTCATGGAGTCCGCCAATCGCTGTTGAATTATTTGACCTTTCTCAAAACTCAATTGACCCGGAAGTGTTCCCATAAAATCAACAATCGCCTATAAATATAGTTTTAAAAAATTGTGTTTACAAATGTTAGTAAAATATAACAAGACGAACTTTACAAACTAAGCTTTATAGATGCAAATCATAATTTTCACACCATTATTTAAATAAAATACTGTATGACATGTTATACTAATTATATGTGAAAGTTCGGTGAAAAAAGTACTAAAATGTAATTTGATAGGTTTAAAAAAAACAAAGTTCAAGTTTTAACTCTGAATTTGAAATATCTTGTATTTTTAAGTAGTTGTATTAAATTCATCTTTTTACATGTCCTAAATTTACAGGGATTGAAGCAATCAAATATAAAAAAAAGACTAGTGCTGTAATCATTATTTGCTTTGCCATGAGCGAATACATCTTGTCAGCTTAATTCAATGGAAAGCATTATTTTGGTGTCTTACTACAAGTATCACACCAACACAAATTTTAATATTAATATAATTTTTAAATGTTAAAAAAAATAGTCAGTATTTTGACATCGTGATCAATAAATAACAAAATCAAAATAATGTTTAAAAAAATCAGATAGTTTACAATATTGAATCTCACCTGAACACGTTTATAACGGCCGCTGTGCTGCAGTTTTTTCGACCGATTCATCTTCTGGAGAAGTTTGCTCAGCTTAGATGAACGTCCAAGACCGGTTTCTGTTTGCGTTGAAGACTGCCCGACGTCTGCGTATCTAGACAACTGGCTGACCTCCATCTGTGGGCTTTCATCTGAGCTCTCGGAAAGCCCCTGCAGACTCTCGCTCAGGAGGCTTACAGTGTTCGGAGCCTGAACTATGCACGTTGGCGAAATGGAACACCTGCTAAAATGAGGCGGTTTGGTGGTTTTCGTTAAATAATTCATACTCGGAGCGTCATTTTTCATTTTACTTTTTCGTTGCATGTAGAGAGATTTATTTGGTAACGACGGCGGGGTTTTATCTGTGAGAAAGTTTTGCAGGCCGGGAGAGTTGACGGTTTCTATGTTTTTCCCAGGTCGAGTGTAAGCGTGTGAGGGGAATCTTCTATAGGCGGGGAGGGTGTTGTAGGATCGGTAACGGGCACGCACAGCCGTACGGAGCAGGGGTCCCTTGCTGTGAGGCTGACGCTGAACCCTAGGGCTGACGGAGTGAGCCATTTTTTTGAATTCCGGGCTCGTGAAGCCATCGACGTGGCTGGTCTCTGAAGACGAGTACCTATTCGACGAGGCCGCCCGACAGTCTTCAAGACATCTGTCCGAGTTCTCAAGATTTTCACCAGGTCTTGGCTGCACAGTTTCTACACAACCTCGATCACCACGGCTTTTTGTTTCGTCTTTTGTGGAAAAATCCTCAATGGAGAAAGATTCAGGGGAGCTTACTGCAATCGATTCTTCCTCCGCTAAACCCGCATGGTTACATAGCTTGGCGGAGAGCCCTAAACTTGCACTAGAATTCAAAGCTTCAACAGCCGAGTTGTCTTTCATTGTAGATGTCTGAGACAATTCTGTCGTTGAATGTTTCCCCACTTTATGTACATCATTGATAGACTGGGATTCAGGCACAACCATATCTTCCACGCCATCTTCCAACCATTTCTCCACCCAGCTAAGACTGTCCGTGGTCTCCCTATCAACCTGGTCAGCAGCAGGCTCTGATGATTTGGGTTTGAGCACGGGGCTAGTTTTTCCCCCGGGAAGTTGTTTATTTGATTTTCTTTGATTACATAGCGATATCTCTTCAGTTAAACCCACAAGTTCATTTCCCCCTGCTATTTCAAGCGAACTGACATGTTCACTTAAGCCCGCTTTATCAGGTAGACCCCTTTCCCCAATTATATCTGTCTTTTCAGGTAGACTAATTTGCTCATTTAAATCAGATTTGTCAGGTAAACTAATGTGTTCAGTTAAACCTGCATTTTCAGGTAAATTGATGTGTTCTGTAGTACCTATATTTTCAGTTAATTCCGTATTTTCAGGTGAAACCGCCTTATCAGGAATATTAATTTGATCAGCTAAATCTACCCTTGTAGGTAGGCAAATTTGTTCAATAAAATCTGATTTATGTTTATTTAAACTTCCATTTTCAGGAGAAATGATGACTCCCGTTAAACGTGCTTTTTCAGGACAACTGATGTTTTCCTTATTGGCTATATCAATTTGCTTAGTTAAATCAGCCTTTTCGGGAAAAATAATTTGCTTTTTTAAATCTGATTTTTCAGGTAAACGTACGCGTTCAGTAATACCCGTATTTTCAGGTGAATGGGTGTGTTTAATTAAACCTGTATTTTCAGGAAAAGTGTTGTTTAAACATGCCTTGTCAGGTACCCCCACTTCTCCAGGTAATTCTGTTTGCTCGGGTGTACATGCGACACGGAGCGCAGCTGCCTCTGTTTGGCAGGGCGTCTCCGGCCGCACACGTAAGCTTACCGACCCTGGGCGGCTTATTTGTCGAGCTAATGGTGGTTCATTTCCACCAATCAAAATTGATTCGTGGACGGAGATTTTGTGTGGCGTAAGCCCTCGTAGAGGCGTTGACCTTTCCAGCGTGTTTGAACAGGCTAACGTTACTTGAGTGCCTGCCAGGACAGAGTCAACCCGGCCTGATTTTTCCGGGAAAATAAATTCCTGTCTATCACTGCAATCAGATTCACTGCCTAAATTACACGGGGTCGGAATCTTATGACACTTATGGACGCGGGAGATTCTATCCTTTTTCCGATGATGAGATCTAGAGGGTAGTTTCACGGTAGCTGTATCTGAAATTGTTGCCGAATCCTCCTCCAAAGCTGGGCCCTCTATCATACTACTCTCTATGTTGGCTATTTTTCGATCAACAATATTTACATATTCGTGTTGTATAGTATTTGAATGTTTATTTTCTTTTGCTGTCTCCGGTGTTCGTACTTTACCTAACCTAGTGCCAGATCTATCAACAGAAGGGCTGACCAACGATTTATAGGCAGGCTCCTGGAGAGCATGGACAGGCACCTTGTCTTTATCAGCAATCTCTGGAATTGATTTTGACATAGATTCATCCACATCAGCAGCAACCTTTATATTATCTTTTCCTACTCTGTTCTTTCCCTTTAAAGACGCGCCACTTTCATTCTCCGCCTTTACCAAGTTTGGTGTCACCCTCCCCGTGTCCGATGTCACTTCCGGATCTACAACAGCTGGAGAACGACTTAACGCCGAAGAAGACGTTTCACCCCGATTGCCTTTTCCCGTGAAATCACGCCGAAACTGCGTCGACGAGATGATGAATTTGCTATCCCGCGTGACGCAGTTCGAGACACCTAACCACTGCCTGTACGGCCGCTCCTTCTTGCTGGGCGACAACATTCTTGCGCTGCGTTTTATTGCGCTTGAGTATCTGGAGCGGCTCCTCTTTCGCACCGCGGCGCTGGCGAAACTCGTCAGTCCCTTCCCGGTGCGGCTTTTAGAACGGTGCTGTTTCCGGATTTTGTAATCCTCAGACTTCCCAGCACTGCTCCCCATCTGTTTGTGCAACAGCTCCTGCAAACCTTGAATCGTCACGGATTTGCCGGGTTTGATTCGTGACGTGCTGGGCGCGGATGTTTCCGAAGAGGTCGAGGCCTCGAAAATTTGCTTGACCTTCTTCAGGTGGGCGTTTTTCTTACTTTCGGCACTTCCGGTCCCAAGTTCCTGCTTCGCCGTGTCATTTTCCGCCGTGCTCTCGTCTTTCGTCGACGATGAGTGATCCGAGGATGACGATGAACAGGGCGTGGATTGCTCGCGTGCCCTTCTGATGTCTGAGCTAAGTTTAAACGGGACTTTCCGGTATTCGGAAGCTGGTTTCATCGACAGGGGCGGCTTAGAAATAGAGATAGAGTCTTTTGAATTATTTTTGGAAATCTGATCATCATTAGGGGTAGTACACATCGATAACTCATGGCGTCTCGCGGTAGATTTCATTTTAGTAATCCTTTGTACCTCAAGACTTTACGTAAAGGTATGCCTCACAATTTGATAAGTATATATCTCGTTTATGTTTTACTATTTGTTGATACTTATGTAAGATCTGTAAGGCTGATTGAAAATAAAAACAAGCGATACATTTCTTGTAACATTAAATTTAAGGTCAGATGTTGATTTCAGGAGCTGAAGAGTTACAAAATATTCATCCTGTTGCTAGGAGACTCGCCTAGACAACATACACTTAGCTATTCTTGTTATGGTTTTAATGGAGTGGCAGAGCTATGATGACAACTTCCGGCTACAAGATTAATCTAACTCGTGTTCAGGAGTTATGAGACTTCAGTGGACTGACTAGAAGAAAATGACCTGGAATTTAAAAACGTGATTCAGTTTTGAAAAAAACAAAATCTCTAGGCATTGCATTCAAACAAAAACACCGACAGCGAATAGAACGACAATCTTTGATGGCAGATGTGGGAACCTTCTAGACTCTGCTAACCAGCTCGGCACAGCCTCATCAATATACAAACATTAGGTCTCCTAATTTTTAATCAGCCTAGCTTTGAGAAATAGCAGGGAATTGACAAGAGTAAGACAAAAGAAACAGAGCTGTGACTTAGAGCGGGGTTCCTGTTTGGGAATAAGATAAAGTTACTATTAGGGTTAGCGTATGACTTAGTTTAAACACGAACATGCATATTGTATGTAGGTATGACTGGCGCATAAAGTACAAAAGGAGCGAAATAAGCACGACTGATTTGAGTTATTATGTAAGTACTACTGGGATCCGATCCCTAGAGCCTGGCCCTTGTGTCATCCACGCAACCAGGGTAGTGCAATCTTTTATTAACAGCCAATTTAAGAACTTAACTCTAATGTATCGTAACATAAGCTTTTCGAGTAGTGGAGTCATTTGCTAACTACGTTGTTGTTTAGGGAGGGATTGGGTCTAAATTAAAATTCTACTAAACATCAAGATATTGACCTAATTAAAACATATCTCCCCCCCCCACACTCCGCCTTACCAGAGCTAGATTGGTAATGTCACTCATTTTCCACCCCCCCCCTCTGCGGGAAATTGAATGTGCGCACCCGGAATTTTCAAGGCGCCCCCCTCCCCTTTAAAACAATATCTGAAAGAAACCCTGCTTGATGCAGCCCAGTCAGCTTGCCCTAAGCCTAAGCCCTAACCCACCTGACTGAAAGAAACTGTTGCTACACGGCTTGGTTAGCCAACCACTTCGGTTCGTCGATAGCACACAGTACCCACCATATAACTCATCTCGTGTTTATAGTGTTTATGTTAATTAACACAATCTCTTCATTAAATCTATTTTTTTCTCACGTGATGTTTACCTCCAAACAAAATCCACTTGAAAAGGATATTGGTCTAGTACCGGCGCGACTGTAATCACAGTACCAATTGGTGCGAACCAATCTGTGAACGGGTATTCCCGAATATCTCAACGCTGTGCTTGTAAAGTTAATGTTTCACCTAGACGTTGAATACATACTTAGAAAAGCTATTAAAGCTATGGATAGGGCGAGGAAGGTGTTTACATTTCGTACATTTATCACACATACTGATTTGTAATGTAACCTAAGTCATTTCTTAGTTTCGGGCTTATGAGGAAAACATTGAAACTGTATATGCCTATTTTTTTCTTTTGCTCAGAAATTAAGAGCTTTGACAGAAAAGTATGGTTACCGTTTGCACCTTACGGTCAATAGGGCAGATGAAGTTGAGTTCACATGTTTCTATGAACATGACATATGAAAGGATAGTTTGGTCTGTACTATGCCCAGCCGCTATCACTTTCTCTATCTTGAGTCATGTGTCCATCAGAGCTAGGTGGACTAGGGGACGTCATACAGACTCCAGTAAGAGATCTGAACTTGATAATTTCGGGTTAGAAGTAGAACGATCTACCGTCGAGCCTCTCTGTCCCGCCCATCACCACCACCGCAACGACCACCAACCTAAACACACCCCAACTACACACATACACATACACACATATTATATATATATATATATATATATATATATATATATATATATATATATATATATATATATAAAACATGTAAAAGATAGGTCTAAATAAATATGTCTGTATAGTTCTCCCCCAGACACTATTTCAACCCGGAAATAATGCAACATTGCATCGTACCTGTCCACACAACAAAGTAAATAAGGAAACCATTTTTAAAAAGTCCAGTTTGTTTTCCTTGTTTGCGGATGTAAGGGACCTAACTCATGCAACCGAGATGTCGCTAGCAGAACGTTCTGTTGTTATTTTAAGTTTTTGGTGTTTAGTTTGTTCACATTGATTTGCATGTGGTGCACAAAAAAAAAACAACAAAAAAACCCCCAAAAAACAACAGGATACCCCATAACCCCAATAATATTGTTTTTATAAGTTTTTAATTTCATATAATCTATGGAATACAACAAATTAAGTATCGACGCAGTCTTTGTCTTTATATATATATATATATATATATATATATATATATATATATATATATTAGCATAAGTACTGAGTTATGTTACCCCATAATCAGTGCACCCTTTTAAAAGTTCATTAATACCTATTTCCCCTCAGGATTCTCTCTTAATCCCACGTCGCCACATAATCCATTAATCTGGGTCACCGTGAGCGTATTAGCAGGGTCTATATAAACAGGTAACTGTCAACAGGTTCCCAATTAACTTTTGGACGCAGCGGTGACGTCGGGTACCTGTCTTTGTCTAACGGGGTGCGCTCAGTTCTGCTCACAGCAAAATGGCTACAGGTTATGTCTGGATGTTTACCTCAATTATTATAGCAACAACTGCCCATGCTGGTAAGTTGATGTGTATTTTTTTTAACTAGATACGTATATAATTTTATTAGATACAACATGTGCTGACCACACTATGCCGAGGTAACTCTACTTTACTTACCCAATCAGACATCAGGTTCGAATTGGAACTTTATTACTTTACTACCATGTATAAAACAATCAGAGTTATTATATTCATCTTTTACAGTGAGGTTTAAAACGTTGAAAAAAAATCAACTAAGTACACACATTTAATCTTGGTAATATTTCTAATTAGTCCTTAATAGTTTTCGTAATATAAAGAAACAAAATCAAACAGCTGTGTTGTATATCATCATCATCAACTTTACCCGCCGTTCGTACTCAAGATACAAATGGCAGATGAAGTAGAATTCAGACTTGAGCCCAGATCCGAACTCGCGAATCTCGGGATAGCAGTGCAGTGCTCTACCGTCTGTGTTAAAGTTTAAAACAAATCTATACAGTAGAGGCTGGATCAATGGGGAAATACACATTAGTTTATCTGCTTCTCCTACCCCGGCGTATGAAGGGTTTTGTGTCATCAGTAGTACAGTGATGAGTGTGTTGTAAAAACAACGTTGTATGTTGTATACCATGCTCATAGATTGTCAGCTAAATAAAGTATGAAGAATAGGACTAGTCTTTCTGATAGGTCAACTATATCGATTCTCTATGAGCATTTAATATATTATTATATCACTGGTAAAAAAAGCAACTAACAGGCCAGATTTTCTAATACTAAATGTAGCCAAAGATATATAACATAATCCTGTAGATAGTATTTAAGTATTTGATAATATTTGATACATTTTGATTTTTTTACTCTCCCTTGTTTTAGATTCCAGTTATAATAGCCAGCCCTCACCGCTAATCACCGCCTGTAACATCAGGTGCTCACCTGGCCAGGTGCTGGAGTCCAGGGAGTGCAGGTGCTACACCCCAACCCAAGTCTCCACCGCCTGCACCCCGGTCGTCTGCAACCAGTTCTGTCTCCTGGGTTACGAGAAGGACGCCCGGGGCTGCAACACCTGCAAGTGCCGGACCATCAACATCTGCCTGCCCGTGCTGTGCCTCAGGTTCTGCACCAACGGCTACGCCAAGGACGAGAACGGATGTGACGTCTGCCGGTGCAAGGCTGAGGAGCAGTGCTCGGCCGAGAGGTGCAGGGAGATCTGCCGCAGTGGGGTGAACGGACAGAGCCGGGAGTGTCCAAACTGCAGATGTCAGACGAGGACGTGCAACGCGCTGTGTTTTAACACCTGCCCGTACGGGAGAGTTCGCGACGCGCAGGACTGCCCGACATGCGAGTGCGCCAAGGCTCCGGTCATTGACCCGCCGCCTAGAATCAGTTGCGGTCCTGTCTGCGACATATACTGCCCGTACGGTAATGTCTATGACGCCAGAGGGTGCCCAACTTGCGAGTGCGTCAGGGCTCCGGTCGTTGAGCCGGTTCCCCGCAACTGTGGTCCCGTCTGTGCAATTTATTGCCAGTACGGTAATGTCAAGGACGCTAGAGGATGCCCAACTTGTCAGTGTAACAGTTCACCATACACAGAAATCGAGCCAAGAAATTGTGGTCCAGTATGTGACATCTATTGCCAGTACGGAAATGTCTATGACTCCAGAGGATGCCCAACATGTAAATGCAACAGAGCACCGCGGAACGAAATCGAACCAAGAAATTGTGGTCCAGTATGTTCAATATACTGTCCCTATGGTAACGTGAAGGACGCCAGAGGATGCCCTACGTGTGAATGCAACAGGTCACCCAATACAGAAATCGAACCAAGAAATTGTGGTCCAGTTTGTGCAATTTATTGTCCCTATGGTAACGTCAAAGACGCCAGAGGATGCCCTAAGTGCGAATGCAACAGGGCACCAAACACAGAAATCGAACCAAGAAATTGTGGTCCAGTTTGTGCAATATATTGTCCCTATGGTAACGTGAAGGACGCCAGAGGATGCCCTACTTGTGAATGCAACAAATCACCAACCACCTCGCTTGAACCAAAGAATTGCGGTGCAGTCTGCGCCATCTACTGCCCTAACGGGAACATCCTGGACTCAAGGGGTTGTCCCACCTGCCAGTGTATCCCCAGCACACAAATTTACTCCTAAACACGCGAAACAATCACATTTTTACTGACATTACTAAGCTCTTGCCATATGAAGTTCTCTCCCTTTTTGTCTACTTGTACTTACAATTACTGGTGAAAGATCATCACTTTACTGTCGTCTCATGCAAATTTCTTACAATTGTTTATCTCATTGTTGAATAAAATACAGAAAATGTACCAATTTTATAGTTGTTTTTCATACCTGTTTTTAATTTTAATAACTGTAATTATTTGTTTTTTTAAATCTTTTTGTTGTTGTCATTTATATATGGGTGTTAAAATATATCCGTTTTGTTATCATTTTTTGTTTAGTTTTGTTTTGTACCTTTTACAATTTTTTTCCAAGGGCTCTTGCCATTAAATTCTTACACGTAAATTAATGAATGAAAAAAAAAAACTATCAGTAATTCTACTGTCATGTACTTTTAATAACTTAAAGTTTCAAAAGTTACAAGTAATCAATTGAAGCAATGAATCCTAAATGTTTTAGCAGGCATAGAAGAAGTGCCATCCTTTAACAGGCATTGAACTCTCCACACGATGGGAATGGCGTGGTCGGATGGCAGAGTGCACGATTGACTGCTCACTAGAAAGTTTCGAGTCCCGGCTATTATGATGAGTCCTAATAGATCTAATAGGTACCTGACCTGAAAGTTAAGTCGGTCAGGCCTACTGCTATCTGCTAACCACACTATCCCTTTCTATACCGAGATCCTAGTACTACTGACACGGGATGAACTCTATTTTTATCTGCCTAGGGACCACCAGTTTTGAAACGGTAACTTCACTTTTGTAAACATGAGCTTTTAACTCTAGGCATGAACTTTGAACTCTAAACATGAACTTTGAATACTAAACGTGGTTTGTAGGGCCTAGTATATTTTTTACTAGAATATCAACTAAAACCCAATACTTTAACTACCGTGAAAAATTAATTTAGGATGATGAAAAAATACATTAATCAGTCATGTCTAGGATGTTTATGGCCGAAGGTAGACCACATTCATCCTGCTGTTTTTATCCAGCCGGGACATATTTTCGTGTCAGTTACATATATACGCCGTATCTTTTTCTTGGGTCACGTTGATCTGTATGCGGAATGTGAGATTGTTCTCTTGATATTCTAATCGAAACGAGACTACAGTGTTAGGCTAAAGAGCAATGACATAATTATTTTCCAGTTTTACAACTGTCAACACTCAACGGTCAGATGGTACTTCTGTTCTATTTCTAATCAAGCATTATTACTGACGTAACCACTGGTGTTAAGCTAACATTAACGACGTCACATTTAAAAAAATCCAACCTCATTATTGACGTCATGAAGTTATAATCAGACACCAATTACGTCACATTTTCACCCAGCTCTATTTAGCGTCCGACCTTCTCCTGTCAAGTCACGCCGTACGTACGTACTTATCAGTCCTTGAGGTGGACGGGACTGACGCAGACAAACGTAAAAAAGATTCTCATCGTCTCTATCGCCTACTTGAACCGGAAATACAGCGTTAAGTATAAGAGATAAAACAAACACACGGGGCGTCTATCTTCGCCATCTGCTTCATTAAGTACAAGTAGACTACGCACGGTGTAATGGCCTCTACTAGGTGACCTGTCTATGCTTGTGTTGTTGACAGTAGGTCTTACACAGACATTCACGGGGCCGTGGCGGTTGACTCCCCGCGTTACATAAAAGTTACATTGACTCGATACGACACATGGCTACAAACAGGTGAATACTAGCCCACCTTGAATGAAGGGTATCGACCTAAAGACTTCGTGGCAGCGAAGGCACGGATCAATATTTTATAGTAGAACAAAGTACTATTTATGTATAGCTGGACGATATTTGGAACGCGCTGGTAGAGATTTGGTATAAGCGATGTAATCACTTGACAGGAAGATATATATATATATATATATATATATATATATATATATATATATATATATATATGTACATATATATATATATCTATATCTATATATATGTACATATATATATATATATATATATATATATATATATATATATATATATATATATATAACGATGTATAGGTCTTAAATATGATATATATATTCGTATATATATATATATATATATATATATATATATATATATATATATATATATATATATATATATATACGAATATATAATATGTTGCTAGCAAAGTATAAAGACCGGCATTCTATACAATATATAACAAACACGCAGAGTTTAGAATTATAGTGAAATACCAAGGTTTAGGGTTAGGCATTGGGTTAAGGGATGAGTTAAAGTTAGGTCTAGGTCTAGGTCTAGGTCTAGGTCTAGGTCTAGGTCTAGGTCTAGGTCTAGGTCTAGGTCTAGGTCTAGGTCTAGGTCTAGGTCTAGGTCTAGGTCTAGGTCTAGGTCTAGGTCTAGGTCTAGGTCTAGGTCTAGGTCTAGGTCTGGGTCTGGGTCTGGGTCTGGGTCTGGGTCTGGGTCTGGGTCTGGGTCTGGGTCTGGGTCTGGGTCTGGGTCTGGGTCTGGGTCTGGGTCTGGGTCTGGGTCTGGGTCTGGGTCTGGGTCTGGGTCTGGGTCTGGGTCTGGGTCTGGGTCTGGGTCTGGGTCTGGGTCTGGGTCTGGGTCTGGGTCTGGGTCTGGGTCTGGGTCTGGGTCTGGGTCTGGGTCTGGGTCTGGGTCTGGGTCTGGGTCTGGGTCTGGGTCTGGGTCTGGGTCTGGGTCTGGGTCTGGGTCTGGGTCTGGGTCTGGGTCTGGGTCTGGGTCTTAGGTTAGGGTTTGGGTTAGGGTTAGGGTTAGGGTTAGGGGTGTTAGAAGAAAAGATATGTTCAATTAAAAATGCCATTCTAGCCTTCATGCTTCAACAAATAGTAAATGACAGCAGTTCTGATTCATTTGTTCTTTAAATAAAGATTTCCTGCTGTTCATTTTGCATTTTTTCTTTCATTTCTTGACTGTTTGTTATTAAAGTTTTTTACAATCAGGACATTTCACACTTTACCTGAGCACTTGTTGGCATTTAAAGTAACTTTAAAGCCTAGGTATTTTATGTAATGCCTAGGAAAAATATGCAACAACACTGAAATTTTATACTTTTCCTAAAAATGACTGGGACTGTATGCATTACCAAGGCATTCTATAGAATTCAGGGTTTTCATACATTGACGGTAATATATATATATATATATATATATATATATATATATATATATATATATATATATATAGGCATAGGTATATAGTGAAAAAAACCTGAATAAAGATCATTGCCCCTTTTCAGTTCAGTTGCCCTTTTCACAAATCAAAAATAAAAATGCTGTAAGAGAAGAAAAAATCTATAATAAATATTGATTTCAGCCCCGTTAAATGTAAACTCTTCTAAGCTTAAGTGTAGGTGGTGTATTTTCGGAGAAACGTTGAGACTACGAATAACTAAACAAACAACTCCACCTCAAATAGATCTAACACCACCCCCACCTCCTACGATGTTGTTTTCAATCCCCCGTTACGACAGGTAACCTATCAGTGGGAACATCCTGTAGCCGGCCATCCCCTACACGGACCCTGGCTCTATATAAACCCCCGGGGACTGTCAACACGGTATCAGTGCTCAGGTATAGGTGCAGCAGGTGACAGCTGAATCAACTTTTGGTCAAGTCGGTAATTTGGATCTGTGTTCTCATAAGTCTCGACACAATGGCGCTTAAATCAAGCGGTCTTTTTACAGTGACAGTTGTCCTGTCATTTCTATGTATAGGTGAGTAACTTCACAATCATCCATGGCTCATTCATAAGAGATGAAGTTCATAACATACACGTTTTTAGCGCAATTTCCATTCTGGAGAATTGCGTTTATTAACCCGTCATTTCTGGATGTATGAATGTATGAATGAACGGATGGATGGATGGATGTGTGTCCGCAGCTTTAAGTCGTATCTCCTCCTCAACGAAGCAATATCGATGGCTAGTTCCAAAAGCAATTATGTTAAGCAAGTTACGAGGCCATAAAAATTCCAGGTATCTTTCATGGATTTCCCGGAAAAGCCAAAAAAACCTCGAAAAAATGCAGTTTTTGGCCCATATCTCGGCAACCAGACCACTTAGCGACTTGAAACATGTACCAATCGATTTCTGCCATAATTTAGAACAATATTGCCGAAGAATGTTTTCAAAAATATCCTTTCGTTTGGTCAGAAAAATGTTTTTGAATTAATTAAAATTTGGACCGAATTAGTAGGCATTTTTATCCAACCACACCACACGCGTCATCACGTTCAATAGCTGCGCCATCACGTTCAATGGCTGCGACATCACGTTCCGGTTTTTAGTCATGTAACTCTATTGTAAATAAAACATGTAAAATACTGAAAAAAAATTAAATAAAAAACATTTTAATAGCTAACCAATGGTTTTACTAACCCTGCTCTTGATTTACGCTACGACAGAGCTATTTTTAGATAACATAAGGAAATTGCGCTTAAATGTCACTAGACTTTTTAATTAACTTGTTTTTTTTAAAAATCTAAAATCCAAGCAATTGTAATATTTTAAATTAAAAATATTTTTAGCATATCTAAAATAAATATCAGCAGAAAATGTATGGTTTGAACAGTTTTTAGAACGGAGATGGTGAAATGGAATTTTAGCGAACCAACTATCAGTAATATGACAGCGTTTCATTAGAGGATTTAGAACACAGTTTTTATCTCGAATGAAATAACAAGAAATGTCTTGAACTCGTTAGTTTTGATGCTACAATAGCAGAAAATTTATAGTTTTATTTATTACTTATATCTATATATCTATATATCTTATGAGATTACCTTAATACCGAATAGTCCATGGTAAATATTTTTTTTACAGATACGATTTTTTTTCGAGTTAGAGACGTTTCGTGTTTATAAAACGCTAATAGTACGAAAAGCTGATTAAAGAAAGCGCATTTAACTTTTTAAAAGCTATAGCCCTAATTTAACACATTGAAATCTACATAAGTTTTTTTTTTATTTTAACAGTTTCTGGCCAGTTGTTGGTGCGGCCGCCTGTACAACAGCCCTGTCAAGTCAAATGTTCTAACGGTACAGCTCTCGATGTTGACAGCTGTAGCTGTAAAGCTGAAGCTGTGAACGGCTCTCGCAAGTGCTCGCCGGTGCTATGCAAAATGCTGTGTCTCAATGGTTGGGCTAAGGATGAAAATGGATGCGACATTTGCCAATGCAAGGTTGAAAAAGTCTGCTCCCCAGTATTATGTCGTATGTATTGTATTAACGGCTGGGCTAAGGATGAAAATGGATGCGACATTTGCGAATGCAAGGTTGAAAAAGTTTGCCCCCCAGTATTATGTCGTATGTATTGTGCTAACGGTTGGGCCAAGGATGAAAATGGATGCGACATATGCGAATGCAAGGTTGAAAAAGTTTGCCCGCTAATGAAATGCCAAGTGTCTTGTCCAAACGGATTCGCCCAGGATGAAAACGGATGCGAATTTTGTCAATGCAAAGAAACCAAAACCTGCCCTCCATTCAACTGTGACGTGATTTGCCTCAAGGGTTATGTGAAAGACGAGAGCGGATGTGACACCTGCAAGTGTAAGACGGCCACGACCACCACGACCACCGCCCCCACCTGCGCCCCGGTGCAGTGTGAAATCCTCTGTCTGAGCGGCTTTGAAAAAGACGTCAACGGCTGTGAGATTTGCAAGTGCAAGGCTAAGAAAGTGTGTCCACCTCTAGCTTGCCGGATGAACTGCCCTAACGGTTTAGCTCAAGATGAAAACGGTTGCGATATCTGTCAGTGCAAACCTGAGGTTAAATCCATCTGCTCCCCCGTCAGATGTTATCTGTACTGTCAGAACGGGTACCAACAGGATCAAAACGGTTGTGATACGTGTCAGTGTAAACCTATCGATGTTAAAGTCTGCCCAGCCGTGACATGCAAATTATTTTGTCCCAACGGCTTCGAAAAGAACGCCAACGGCTGTGAAATATGCAAATGCAAGGGTTCACGACAGTGCCCGGCTGTAAAATGTAAACTGGCCTGCCTCAATGGATTTGTCACGGACGCCAGCGGATGCGAAACTTGCGCCTGTAAATCGAACTTTGAAACCGTGAAGTCAAGACTCCTAAGCGTGCTCGAACCCGTCAAGTGTGGTCCAGTTTGTGCGATCTACTGCCCTTTTGGAAATGTCTTGGACTCCAGAGGATGTCCAACATGTAGTTGTAATAGAAGTCCTTACTTAGAATAAAAATGACTATTAGTTCTGTTTTTTATATTACCTTTTGGCAATAATTTTGTTTAGCCCACAGTTTTTGTATAACACAATTTCGATTACACCTGCATAATATTTCATGTTTAATTTTTAATGTTACTCTGTTTTATGCGGTATTTTACTCAAGTGTAAATATTTGATTGAGTTTTCAAAAAAAAAATATTGTAAGTGAATCTGCATAATTGTTGGTATATAACAACACATGCCAATTTATTGAGATTGTGATATAAAAAAAATCCGATTGCATTAAATTCACGAGTGTATGAAAGAAACATTTATTTGTGTATAAATGAGATTGAATGAATTATTTCAATGTAAATTTCACTTGAAAATTTTTTTGAATACGTATTTTATTTTTGTTATAAATTCATGTTTAAATAAAAAAAAAATTATAAAATAATTTTGATGTAATATTCTTTGTTTTTAATTTCCCTGTAATTCCAGAACTCCAGGTATTAATTAGCATGTCATTTAACATTATTACTAGTATCAGGTAAAAAAAAATGCTTATGAGAATCTGATCAATAGTATCAAATAAAATTCTATTTCCAATAAAACAAATCAATCAATTAACGATAGATTTGAAAAAAAAGGTATATTAGAAACTGACTTGCAGTGAAGCCTTGTAGCTATTCATTCAAACAACACCATAACATTGAGTGTGCTATCTAATTGCTAGAACACACGGTATATACAAGGAAAGGTCACAGATTATGAAGATATCATTGTTATTTAAAAAAATAAAATGCTACTAAAGGTTTAAAAAAACTACAATAAACTCACATCAATGGCATCACTTGATATAAATCCGTTCTTTAACTGTAGTCTACTTCGGTGTTTCTTTCAGACATCTCTTCGATGTGTGTGTGTGTGTGACGGAGGGGGGAGGGGTTTTATATAGAAAAAATAAATTTTACCTGTGTCCGCCCCCTCTCAAGTTTCAAGTCCCCCCCCCTCACACGGAGAAAAAACTATGAAAGAAACACGGGTCTACTTCTTTTGAATAGAATTGTTCTTAAAAAAAAACAAATTTGAAAAATAATGCAAGAAAAAGTAGAAGTAGAATTTTTCAACAACTGATGGGGGCCAAATAAAATGTACCAACAAAGAGTAATATATTAAGTTTAAAAAGGAGCATTTTAGTTTACCATCTAATGTTCCTTGCCTTTCCCAGCCGTATATTTTGTAACTCAAACTCTGATTGGCTGTTTTATCACGACCACCGTTACTCTATGCTGTACTTTTCTGGTAAATATTTGGTTTCATGGCACTTGAAAGAATTGGTTTAAACGTACCATAGATTTCCTTTAGCATATAGGCTAGACACTGCATTGATAGTCGATAAATCCCGTACATTTCTATTTGGCAACTATTTGGCTTAGAGAGAAGCGAAACGCCGGGAGTTTATCGATTTGATGTTATTAAGTTCAACTCATGCATGATTATTGAAGGTAGGCGCCTCATACAATGACGGCTGAAAACATAGCTGAATGCAATTCTATTTTATTATTTTTCCCGCTTTAAGGACAGATATAGACAGTGTTTCTTCCAGACTTTTTTCTCCGAGGGGGGGGGGGGGGGCACTTGACATTTTTTTTTGGGGGGGGGGGGGAGGGGTAGACACGGTTAAAAGTATATTTTTTTTTTCAGGGGTGGGGGTGGGAAAGGGGTAGAACCCCCCCCCCCCCCCCCCCCTCCGAAGAGATACCTGGAAGAAACTCTGGATATAGAGCTCGGTAGAATGTGTTGAAGACGTCCACAGCTTAAGTAGGAATCAACCCTTATGTTCCGGGCCTTTGCAACACATTTAGATAAATCAGGAATCAATTCAATACAACCAAACAAGATAAAGGTGGGGCAAAAAAAAAAAAAATTGTGGCCATTATCCCTGAAATTCATTATGTACTGAGCCTAACCCAACATTGTCTAAAATAGCAACGGATGTTGAAACCGCTACATGAGTTAAAAATAGCAACGTCCGCGATTGGGTAAATATTTTCATAGGTCAAAAAAGAGAACTATTTAAATTAGAATTAAAACATTGTTTACCGATAAATAAGGAAATGATTAAATGGAGCGAACCAGGGATGGTAGTGTTGATGTAGTGTCGAGGACAGAGGCGTAGCGACCCTTCCCGGCGCCCGGAGACAAACTTTCAATTTGGCGCCCCCCTCGGGAACAACCTTTCGATTTTCAATTTGCACCCCCCCCTTAAACTTTCAATTTGCACACCCCCCTCAAACCTTCAATTTGTTTTTCCAACCCATTTTGGCGCCCCCTAAGGTCGGCGCCCGGGGACATATGTACCCCCCCCCCCCCCGCCCCCCTTTGCTACGCCTCTGGTCGAGGTAATGTCGAGGTAGTGTCGAGGTAGTGTCGAGGTAGTATTGAGGTACTGTTGAACTAGTGTCGAGGAATCAGAAAACAAAGACGTAGAATACAGTGATATGAGCTAGAAATAGATCACAATGGCTCAGCAGTTACATTACAATGTTATTTAGGTAAATCACTCAAGCTGGTAAATGTAAAGGGGTCGCGTTTAAACGTCGCACGATTGGCTTGGTGTAAGGGGGGGGGGGGGAGGTTTCGGACATTTCTGACGAAGTACGACGGGCGGGAGGGGGTGGGTGAATTTGATACATCAAAAATATATTAAAAATCTGACCTTTTGAAGATGTTTTTCATTTTCTGTAGAGGTTAAACCTTTTAAAATCTAATTAATGATTATTACTTTATCTAATCGCGATACAACACATTAAATAATTTAAAATGAAATCGATGTTTTAAAAAAATAAATTGTGCAATTTAGCAGAGGGAAGGGTTTGGGGGTAGACTGAGGTGGGAAGTCATTTTAGAGTGAGCTCTGATAATGGTGGGGGGGGGGGGGGGGGTGTGATTGGTGTGGGTTAACGATCATCAAGAAAGGATGGCGACATTTTAAGGACGACATTAATTCGAAAAACGTTTGTGAATATGTGTGGATAACGAGGGTGAGGTGGGGGTGAAAACAGTGTGTTATCGTGATTTTTCCTTTAAAAAAAATTAAAATAAATTCATAACAGTTATTTGACATTGTACAAATTATTTATAAATTTTAAAAATAAGATTTAGACCGATCTGCCACAACTTTCAGTAGTCAATAATATTATAGTATTATATTAAAAAAAAACAAAAAAAAAAAAAACCAATTATAATTGTTATACCCCCTTAACCAAGGGAAACAACTGAACTTATATTTTCAAAAAAGAGAATCGCAATTCCTTAGTGTGACGTCATTTCAGGTAGCATTGACTCTTTTGAGTACAAATGAAGTTGAGTAGGGAATCGTTACAAATATAAGTGCTACTTTATGGACGAAATATAAAAGCAAAATAAGTTTTTTTTTATGTCTCTGCTACATAGTGAAAAAAAAAGTAGCATGCTGAATATTTTCAATAGTCTACAGGTTACCAGGGTACATTATCTTCACTATTTTCATTAAATTTTAAAACATTAAAATAATGTAATAATAAACATTTTTTTGAGTTATTTGTTGTAAACAACAAACGCATGGGGTCGACACTTGAATTTGTGTAGACGAACCACAACTCTATTTTACATAAGGGGTAGGGGGATGGGGAAGGAGCGGTTTCTGAATGCTTGAAGTGGCGGAGGATATGTTTGTGTTGTGTGCAGGGTGAGGTGTGTGGGGTTGATATGGAGGGGAGTAAAAGTGCGCAACACTTTTTTTAACAGAGGAGGGGGAGCTTAAAAACGTTTCCCATTTAGATAAATGCCCCCCCCCCCCCCCTGCCAACAGACACTCCTGAACCTGGTGAAAAAATATTCGTGAATTTAATATTATTATTGCTATAAACAAATGAGAAGATACGGAAATTAATTATGGCACAACGTGGTCGAACGGTAGAGTTATCGATTACCAACCCAAACGTTTTGAGGTCAACTTACGGTTTCGAGTCGTTAGAACCATAGGTCATCACTAGGTTCATACAGGTCATGCGAATACGTGACTGGAGTTGGGTAAAAATAAAGATTACAGGGCATAATACAGAAAAGTAACGACGGCCGGGCATAATACAGAAAAGTAACGACGGCCGGGCATAATACAGAAAAGTAACGACGGCCGGGCATAATACAGAAAAGTAACGACGGCCGGGCATAACACTGAAAAGTAAAGGCGACCGGGCATAATACAGAAAAGTAACGACGGCCGGGCATAACACTGAAAAGTAAAGGCGACCGGGCATAATACAGAAAAGTAACGACGGCCGGGCATAACACTGAAAAGTAAAGGCGACCGGGCATAATACTGAAAAGTAAAGACGAAAGGGTATAATACTGAAAAGTAAAGGCGACCGGGCATAATACAGAAAAGTAACGACGGCCGGGCATAATACTGAAAAGTAAAGGCGACCGGGCATAATACTGAAAAGTAAAGGCGACCGGGCATAATACTGAAAAGTAACGACGGCCGGGCATAATACTGAAAAGTAAAGGCGACCGGGCATAATACTGAAAAGTAACGACGGCCGGGCATAATACTGAAAAGTAAAGGCGACCGGGCATAATACTGAAAAGTAACGACGGCCGGGCATAATACTGAAAAGTAAAGGCGACCGGGCATAATACTGAAAAGTAACGACGGCCGGGCATAACACTGAAAAGTAAAGGCGACCGGGCATAATACAGAAAAGTAACGACGGCCGGGCATAACACTGAAAAGTAAAGGCGACCGGGCATAATACAGAAAAGTAACGACGGCCGGGCATAACACTGAAAAGTAAAGGCGACCGGGCATAATACAGAAAAGTAACGACGGCCGGGCATAACACTGAAAAGTAAAGGCGACCGGGCATAATACAGAAAAGTAACGACGGCCGGGCATAACACTGAAAAGTAAAGGCGACCGGGCATAATACAGAAAAGTAACGACGGCCGGGCATAACACTGAAAAGTAAAGGCGACCGGGCATAATACAGAAAAGTAACGACGGCCGGGCATAACACTGAAAAGTAAAGGCGACCGGGCATAATACAGAAAAGTAACGACGGCCGGGCATAACACTGAAAAGTAAAGGCGACCGGGCATAATACAGAAAAGTAACGACGGCCGGGCATAACACTGAAAAGTAAAGGCGACCGGGCATAATACAGAAAAGTAACGACGGCCGGGCATAACACTGAAAAGTAAAGGCGACCGGGCATAATACAGAAAAGTAACGACGGCCGGGCATAACACTGAAAAGTAAAGGCGACCGGGCATAATACTGAAAAGTAAAGACGAAAGGGTATAATACTGAAAAGTAAAGGCGACCGGGCATAATACTGAAAAGTTACGACGGCCGGGTATAATACTGAAAAGTAAAGACGATCGGGCATAATACTGAAAAGTAAAGGCGACCGGGCATAATACTGAAAAGTAAAGACGATTGGGCATAATACTGAAAAGTAAAGGCGACCGGGCATAATACTGAAAAGTAAAGGGGACCGGGCATAATAGTGAAAAGTAAAGGCGATCGGGCATAATACTGAAAAGTAAAGGGGACCGGGCATAATACTGAAAAGTAACGACGGCCGGGTATAATACTGAATAGTAAAGACGATCGGGCATAATACTGAAAAGTAAAGGCGACCGGGCATAATACAGAAAAGTAACGACGGCCAGGCATAATACTGAAAAGTAAAGGCGACCGGGCATAATACAGAAAAGTAACGACGGCCGGGCATAACACTGAAAAGTAAAGGCGACCGGGCATAATACAGAAAAGTAAAGGCGATCGGGCATAATACTGAAAAGTAAAGGCGACAGGGCATAATACTGAAAAGTAAAGGCGACCGGCATAATACTGAAAAGTAAAGGCGACCGGGCATAATACCAACAACAATAACTTCAACAAATGTACCAACTGCTCTAAAAAGGTACCCATAATAAATTATAAAACTTTTAAACTTTAATTCGACTAATTTGTAAAATTACTCATGAATCGTGGATGGCCTTACATTAATTGCCGCGTGAACAAAGCATTCCACTGTAGCTTGGGGTGGTTTTGGTATAATCTTCATGGCTCTCGGACTGTTAGTCAGGAATGACCCAGAAATTATCCAAGTAGACCCAGGAAAATCCCAGGTCGGCTAGTCCATACAACTCACACGAACAAACTACGTCGGCGTACAACAACACAACACGAAAAACAACACGAAACAAAACAACAAGAAATACAACAATAGCTAAATAAATTAACTGACTTATTCCGTCGGCCTCTTGAAGCACTAGAAACTTGAAAAGTGTAAGTGGCGTAGATGAGAGATTACTAATGATTACACCACCCTCCCAGCCCTGTGAACCACTTAGCTGTTTCCAAGACAAGGACGGTTGGTGACGTAACCGTGGGAACATCCTGGAGCCGGCCATCCCCTGCACTGACCCTGGTGCTATATAAACCCCCGGGGACGGTCTACACGGTATCAGTGCTCAGCTCTGGGTACAGAAGGTGACAGCTGAATCAACTTTTTGGTCAAGTCAACAGTTAGGATCTGAAAACTTTACACAATGGCGCAGAAATCGTACCGTCTTCTTGAAGTGACAATTATCTTATCCATTCTATCATTAGGTGAGTTGCTTTGTAAGCAGATTTCAGTTATTATCTTATATATATATATATATATATATATATATATATATATATGTATATATATATGTATGTATGTATGTATGTATACATATATATGTGTTGGTGTATATATATATATATATATATATATATATATATATATATATATATATATATATATATATATATATATATATATATATATATATGTATATGTTTGTATGTGTGCGTGTTTTTATCTTGAAGCTAAAGTTGCCAGCGTTATGTAGTCTTTCATAAATGTCGTTTAGATTTCTATCTTGATGCTAAATATATTTAAAGCCTTATTACAATTTTTTAAAGCTAAAGTTACGTGTAAACAAGAGCTGCAATAGAAAATAGTTTTAACTTTGTTTTTAAAGGTGTATTTTATTGAGCTGAAAAAGATACAAGTCTCGTAAACGTATATTTAAACATAGCTCCAAAAGTAAACGTCTTGTATAATTTTATAATTTTTATAAAACAGCCACTGGCCAGCTTTTGGTGCGGCCGCCTGTTGCAGCTGAAGCTGTGAACGGCTCTAGCAAGTGCCAGCCGGTACTATGCAAAATGTTATGTATCAAAGGATGGGCTAAGGATGAAAATGGATGCGACATCTGCAAGTGCAAAGAAGAACCAGTTTGCGCTCCAGTATTATGTCGTATGTATTGTGCTAATGGTTGGGCTAAGGATGAAAATGGATGCGACATCTGCAAGTGTAAAGAAGAACCAGTGTGCGCTCCAGTATTATGTCGTATGTATTGTGCTAACGGATGGGCTAAGGATGAAAATGGATGCGACATCTGCAAGTGTAAAGAAGAACCAGTGTGCGCTCCAGTATTATGTCGTATGAACTGTGCTAATGGTTGGGCAAAGGATGAAAATGGCTGCGACATCTGCAAGTGCAAAGAAGAACCAGTTTGCGCTCCAGTATTATGTCGTATGTATTGTGCTAACGGATGGGCTAAGAATGAAAATGGATGCGACATCTGCAAGTGCAAAGAAGAACCAGTTTGCGCTCCAGTATTATGTCGTATGTATTGTGCTAACGGATGGGCTAAGAATGAAAATGGATGCGACATCTGCAAGTGCAAAGAAGAACCAGTTTGCGCTCCAGTATTATGTCGTATGAACTGTGCTAACGGATGGGCTAAGGATGAAAATGGATGCGACATCTGCAAGTGCAAAGAAGAACCAGTTTGCCCACTAGTGAAATGCCGAATGGCTTGTCCAAACGGATTTGCCCAAAACGAAAACGGATGCGACATTTGTCAATGCAAGGAAAATAAAGTCTGTCCCCCGATTACATGTAAAATGCTTTGTCCCGATGGTTTTGCCAAAGACGAGAACGGATGTGACACCTGCAAGTGTGACGTCACCAAAAGCCTCTGCTCCCCCGTGCAGTGCAGAATGCTGTGCCAGAACGGTTTCGAGAAAGACGCAAACGGCTGCGACATTTGCCAGTGCAAGGTGAAGACAGAAAAGGCCGTTTGCCCTCCAGTGAAATGCCGCATGGAATGTCCAGATGGTTTTCAAATAAATAACAAGGGCTGCGAGGTTTGTAAGTGTAAATCTAACAATCCCAAGGCCTCCTGCTCTGCTGTCCAGTGTAAACTAGCTTGCCCTAACGGCTTCCAGAAAAACAAAGACGGCTGTGAAATTTGCAAGTGTAAATCTAATAACACTCCCAAGACATGCCCTGCTGTCCAATGCAAATTAGCTTGCTCCAACGGTTTCCAGAAAAACAAAAACGGCTGTGAGGTTTGCAAGTGTAAATCTAGTAACACTCCCAAGACATGCCCTGCTGTCCAATGCAAATTAGCTTGCCCCAACGGTTTCCAGAAAAACAAAAACGGCTGTGAGGTTTGTAAATGCAAGAGAGAAGCAAAGAAATGCCCAGCTGTAAAATGTAAACTGGCCTGCCTCAATGGTTTTGCCACCAACTCCAACGGCTGCCAAGTTTGCGCTTGTAAATCGGACCTTGAAATCGTGAAGCCAAAAATGTAAAGACCACTAGAACATTCTCAAGTTGATCTAGTCTGTGCGTCTTCTTGCTCTTTTGGAGACGTATTGAACTCCAGAGCATCTCAAATTTGACATTGTAACAAAGAACTGCTCATAGAATTCTAAATTTGGAATTGCTCCTGTTGAGTTAAGTATTGAAAATGTTACTATTTCACAGTCTAAAGTATTGTTGATTCAATTCAATATCTGTTCAAACTTACAATGTTATTTTTCCCACACAAAAACAATACTAATTAATGTATATCAATTCAATGTTTCAATTATTTTAAAAACATTTTTAATTAAAAAGAAACATGGTTTAAGATAAAACAAATTCAGTTGTCAAGAGAGTCATATCAAAAGATTATAATGTAGAAAAAAAGTTGATATTACATTACATGTTTACTGACTAAATAAACTCTAAATTGATATTGTACATTGATGAATTGTTTCAATTTTTCATGATTAATAATTTAGACACGGACACACACGAACTTACGCCTCTCTCTCTCTCTCTCTCTCTCTCTGTATATATATATATATATATATATATATATATATATATATATATATATATATATATATATATATATATATATATATATATATTGATAGCCATTAATCATCAAGATAATTATATTTTTCATTTGAACTGCTATTTGAATATCCCCTCCCCCCCCAACAACCTTTTACAAACAATACAGTACTGAAAGTAAAATATCTGCAAATAAAATATTTAGTAATATACATGGAACTATTTAAAACAATTATGGGAATATAACTTCGTGCATAGAGTTTTTCGTTACAATCCTGACAATATATGACAATCCCAATTCACGACCGTTACACAGCCACTAAATTTCATCCTGTCCCTAACATAGATACAAAAAAAAGAAAGAAAAACCTACACATCACAGAAGAACAATGTTGTGAACATACATGGGTATGTTGTTGTTGAGGGAGGGTAGCGGTGGGCTAGATGGGGGAAGTGTGTAAACAAAAGTTTTTGTTCTATCTGAAGACCAGCTTAGAACCTGCTACATCTATCTTAAGTAGAGAAGTCAACGGTTGACTTGCAAGAGTTGCTGCCACCAAACCCATGACGTGTATCACAGATGTTCTAGAAGGATCCACACACGCTCGAAAAACAACGTGGTTATTCCCTTGAGTTCCAAAGTTTTACTCAGAAGTCGAAATCTTTGAAACATCTATTCCACCAAGACCAAAAGGAAACAATCAAGAGATGATGTAGGTGTGTCTATAGCATCGCCTCCCCCCTCTCTAAGATGTGGGTATTTCGCTACCACCGACCCCCGCCTTTAAATTGTGTGTTTGACTTTACCACCCACTCCTCTCTATGCTGGGGTGTGATCCTGCCACCTACAACCTTTTAATTGTGGGTATTTCTCTACTCCTCTACGCCATGGGTGTGTCCCTACTACCCACCTCTCTAAGCTGTATGTGTTCCTTCCACCCACCCCTTTAAGCCGTGGATGTATCCGTACCACCCACCCCTCTAAGCTGTGGGTATTCCTACCACCCACCCCCTATCCCGTGAGTGTGTCTCTATCACCCACCCCTTTAAGCCGTGGGTGTATCCGTACCACCCACCCATCTAAGCTGTGGGTATTTCCCTACTACCGACCCCTCTATCTCTTGGGTTTGTCCAAACCACCGACACCTCTAACCCGTGGGTGTGTCCCTACTACCGACCCCTCAATCCCGTGAGTGTGTCCCTACTACCGACCCCTCAATCCCGTGAGTGTGTCCCTACTACCGACCCCCTCAATCCCGTGAGTGTGCCACTACCACCGACCCCTCTAAGCTGTGTGGCCCTACCACCCATCCCTCTAACCCGTGGGTATGTCTCTACTATCGCCCCCCCCCCCCCCCCACCCTCTACCTCCCTCTGTGCTGGGCCAGCAGGTTGTGATAGAACGTCAGGTCACGTGTCTGGCCCGTGTAGGAGAGGTTGTAGATGAACTGGTCGAGACAGTGGAGGGCCACAGGGTGGTGGCTGATGTAGAACTTGTTGGCAAACAGCTCGTGGCGCCCCAGCAGCATTGGCAGGTCGGCGGTGCTGAAGATGCAGATCTGGTGGAGTCAGGTCAATAGGTCAGAAGGTTAAAGGTCAAGTTAATACATGATATCTTTATATGAGTGTTTGTGAGTGATGAAACAAAAAGATTGATGAATAATCATTTGTATCCTGTTGGGGAAAGAGGAAACGAAGTAAGATATTTCATACAAAAAAATACGTTGTGTTCAATTATTTGGACGAAGTAAAACAAATACAAGGAAAAGCAGTTGTGAGTTGAACGATCAAAACTTAAGATTAATCTAGAGTCTAGAGAATGATAAAGTTGAAGTAAAATGCTAAAGATGACTTCACCTGTCTAACAAAGATAGTCAAGCAAGGTGTTGAATCCCAAGGCCATAAGGAATAGGCAGTCAGCCACGGTAAATTTTCTGGAACTCCTGGAGATGATGAGGAAAAATGGAAACATACAACTGTAAATATTACAGAATACGTCAAGATAATAAAGCGTAATAAAATAAACACACATTTATAAACAATACAAGTAATTAGTTGAACTTATAAAGTAGTAAATTATTATAGGGGTGAATGGCCTTGCTGGGGGTGAATGGCCTTGCTGGGGGTGAATGGCCTTGATGGGGGTGAATGGCCTTGTACACCTGTAGCTGGGAATCTATATCCCAATAGGAAGGACGATAAATTATGATACTGGTGTACTTTTTAGTTTTATTTTTTAAAAATTAAAAAAACCTGACCCATAGAGAATCGACATGGCGAACTGAAACACTGATTTCCTAAAAATGTATACAAATTAAAACAATTATTACACATGCATCTCGACGTAATTCTAATAATATATCGATCACTGTCGTAGCAAATGAAGAGACGACATCAATTGTGAGCGAAACAATTTTTCTTGTTGAAACACTCATCAGAACACAGCATTGTCTGGTCGCCAAAGGACCGAAGAGCGACAACTCATCCCTTTCCTCTAAAGGACCAAAGATCGACAACGCCTTCCTTACCTCTAAAGGAGAAAATAGCGACAACTAATCCCTTAGCTCTAATCTAAAGGACTAGAGCGACAACTCATGCTTTACATTTAAAGGACCAAAGAGCGACAACTCATTCCTTACCTCTAAAGGAGAAAATAGCGACAACTAATCCCTTAGCTCTAAAGGACCAAAGAGCGACAACTCATTCCTTACCTCTAAAGGACAAAGAGCGACAACTAATTCCTTACCTCTAAAGACCAAAGAGCGACAACTCATCCATCACCTCTAAGGACCAAAGAGCGAGAACTCATCCCTTACCTCTAGGGACCAAAGAGCGAGAACTCATCCCTTACCTCTAAAGGACTAAAGAGCGACAACTCATTCCTTACATCTAAAGGAGAAAACAGCGACAACTAATCCCTTAGCTCTAATCTAAAGGACGAGAGCGACAACTCGCGCGTTCCCTTTAAAGGACCAAAGAGCGACAACTCACGCTTTACCTCTGAACGACCAAAGAGCGACAACTCACGTTTAACCTCTAAGAACCAAAGAGCGACAACTCACGTTTAACCTCTAAGAACCAAAGAGCGACAACTCACGTCTAACCTCTAAGAACCAAAGAGCGACAACTCATCCCTTACCCCTGAATCCCCCGGGTGCCGGCGACACCCGATTAAAATTGAGCGTGGCCCAGTACATCTCGTCTGGACTGTACACCTCCTGGGCCCACGTCAGCAGGTCCGCGGCGATCGGACTGGTCAGCACGAACTTGACAAACGCCCGGCTGAACGACCCGTAGGCGCTGCACTTGACAATGTCAAGGTCGTGCGGGGGAGGCTCGTGTTTCTTGTTTGTTTGAACGATGCTCACATCACCTAGAGGGGATACACAATTGGGGACTGATGGATGGAAAAGTTGGTAACAATACATAAGAGTCAGGGTGGTCGGGTGGAAGAGCATATGATTGCCAACTTTAAACCCTGGGTAGATGAGGTTCGAAAGCTGGAGGACAGCAGCCCATTCAGAAAGAAAAGCAGACTGAAATCGGAGTCAACGGGCTGTGCATTGACACGTAAAACTTCATAGTATCTTAAAGAACGAAGAAGAATAAACTAAACATATCAAAACACCATCTTAGATAAGTGACGCCAATAGATTATATGAAATTCTAATGGATTTCAATGCGAATGAATACCTTATCTTAAAAATTTGATGCTAATTATCGATTCTCACCTACCACCCCCACCCATACAACCCGTGCTTACCTGTGGTCTGATTGGTGACATACTCCCACTTGTAAACAAACCTCTCCAGGTTTCTCTTGCCCCCTACAACCCCCAGGATATCGTTGGTGCCGTTGTACATCTTGAGTATCTTCACCATCTCTAGATTGGTTCTGTCAACAGTAAAGGGCAGTAATAGGTACGACAAATATGTGCGGTTAGAGTTAGTTACGTAGAGGAGGTAATAAATACGAAGCCAGCAGTCGAAATAACGGAGATAACAAATATAAAGAAGTAGTAGGGGAGGTAACAATAATAAAATATTTAGTAGGGGAGGTAACAATTAGAAACTAATAGGGAAGATAATAATTTTGTAGAAGGGGAAGTAACAAATGCTTAGCTCTTAGTACGTTGGGAATTAGTAAATATAAAGCATGTATTAGAGTGTTGATAAATGTGTAGTGATAACAATCAACATAGAACCCATGGTAAGGGAAGTAGTATTTGAGTGGTAAACAGTAAATCTTTAAACAAAATTTTTATGTATAAGGCAGGCCTGTTATAAATTTATTAGTTCGACGTAATCAAACTTCCACAAGTTTCATACAATATTTTTTTTTTTCAAAAAAAAAAAAAACAAAAAAAAAAAAACAAAAAAAAAAACAATATTGTTATTAAAGTCTGCTACAATTCTTTTGGCCTCATACAGAACTATTAAAAAGTCCGTCTGAGGCAGTAAAGAACGGCACTCAAGACATTAAATTGAATGGTATTAAAGAAAAAACATATACATATATATATATATATATATATATATATATATATATATATATATATATATATATATATATATATATATATATATATATATATATATATATATATATATATATATATATATATATATATATATATATATATATATATACACACACATATATATATATGTATTCCATATACACTTGTAAGTATGTGTATACGCATTTGTGTAGGTATTCAAATATTCTTTTCTGCTGGATGAATTTAATTCCCCCCCCCACCCCCACCCCATACATGGATTAACATATAGCTTTTTGAGATTCTCAACCAAACCGTTTTCCCCAGGCAGATATATTGCAACGTTGAGTTGATGTAACTCCCCCCCCCCCCCCCCCCCCGTCAACCCCAAGGAAAAAAAAGAGAAAAAAGTTATTTAAATTCAGCTGGATGTTTCATGTTTTCTTTGCAGGTTAACGTCATGGTGTCACCCCCCCCCCCCCCCCCCTCTACCCATGTCGGGATTTGTCCACTTTGCTATTAAAAGACTATTTATTTCACTCTAATTAATCATTCAATTAAGTGAAATCATCATTTTTCTTTATATGTTTTGCTATTTTTTGCCTCGGTGTCACCCCCCCCCCACCTAAATGGTGTCACCCGATGCGGTCCGCACCCCGCGCCCCTCTCGCTACGCCTCTGTATATATATATATATATATATATATATATATATATATATATATATATATATATATATATATATATATATATATATATATATATACCGTCTTTACATGGATCTGAGACGGTAAATTTTAGAAAGACATAATTAGAAACGATGACGTTTTTGGTGCTACCTGAGAGGGAACTGCTGTCCGGGACTGTTGATGACGTAACGCCACTGGACCTTGTGCTGCATCAGGTCCCTGAAACAGTGCAGGTCGGCCATGAGCCTGGAGATCCCCGCGTACACGACCTTCTCCAGACGGGAGGCCACGAACACGTTGGGCAAACAGTTGGCCATAGACCTGGACAAGTAGGTGGTTTTAAATATTGGGCAAACAGTTGGCCATAGACCTGATAGGTAGTTTTAAACATTGGGCAAACAGTTGGCCATCGACCTGATAGGTAGTTTTAAACATTGGGCAAACAGTTGGCCATAGACCTGGACAAGTAGGTGGTTTTAAACATTGGGCAAACAGTTGGCCATAGACCTGATAGGTAGTTTTAAATATTGGGCAAACAGTTGGCCATAGACATGGACAAGTAGGTAGTTTTAAAAATTGGGCAAACAGTTGGCCATAGACCTGGACAAATAGGTGGTTTTAAATATTGGGCAAACAGTTGGCCATAGATCTGATAGGTAGTTTTAAATATTGGGCAAACAGTCGGACATAGACCTGATAGGTAGTTTTAAACATTGGGCAAACAGTCGGCCATAGACCTGGCTAAATGTGTAGTTCAATTGGGCAAACAGTTGGCCATAGACCTTAAACAGAGATGTATTTTATTCACAAAAAGAAAGCAACTTGATTAGCTAAACAAAATCAATTCATACCTCTCACGATAAACTGAATTACTGTGTCAATCTTGGTAATAATACCCGATTACCTTCTATACAATTATTAAATTCCTTCATTGCCTAAATAAATACTATTGATATTTTAAACTCTATTTTTCAAGCACTACAGCGTTTTAGCGTTTAAAACTGGTGTTCAACCACGTCGTCTGTTGTTACACCATATTTACGCCTAGCCAAATTTTTTTTTTAATCCAGTGGTTCTACAACGCTATGTTTAGCTGTGTTTACACTCATCCGTGCACAAACATGCAATCGATTTGCTTACCTGGCCGCTTCCAGAAACTCCACCGTCGCTTTCATATCAACCGTTAGACAGTAGACATTATGTGGACGGTAAATGGCACGGAGCAGATAATGGAACTGTTGACAGGAGGAGTGCAAGAAATATCAATGGTAGAATTAGAGTTGGTAATGTGGGGATGGGAGACAGCAATGGTAGAATTAGAGTTGGTGATGTAGAGCTGGGAGACTGCAATGGTAGAATTAGAGTTGGTAATGTAGAGATGGGAGACAGAAAACAGCAATGGTAGAATTAGAGTTGGTGAGGTGATAGGAGACAGCAATGGTAGAATTAGAGTTGGTAATGTAGAGATGGGAGACAGAAAACAGCAATGGTAGAATTAGAGTTGGTGAGGTGATAGGAGACAGCAATGGTAGAATTAGAGTTGGTGATGTAGAGATGTGAGACAGCAATGGTAGAATTAGAGTTGGCAATGTAGAGACATTAGATAGAAGACAGCAGTGGTAGAATTAGAGTTTGTAATGTAGAGATGTAAGACAGAAGACAGCAATGGTAGAATTAGAGTTGGTAATGTAGAGATGTGACACAGAAAACAGCAATGGTAGAATTAGAGTTAGTAATGTAGAGATGTTAGACAGATGACAGCAATCGTAGAATTAGAGTTGGTGATGTGATAGGAGACAGCATGGTAGAATTAAAGTTGGTAATGTAGAGATGTGAGATAGAAGACAGCAATGGTAGAATTAGAGTTGGTAATAAACAGATATGAGATAGAAAACAGCAATGGTAGAGGTAGAGATTTTCTTGGTAGAGATGTGATAGAGGTTGGGTTGGTTGTTTTTGTAGGAATGTAAGATAGAGGAGACACTAATGATAGAGTTTGTATTAGTAGATATATAAAGCGAATGGTGATAGAGTGATGGACACATCGATATTTTGTTATCGTTAGTCGTCATAGCGGTGTATGCGTGTGTGTGTGTGAATGTATGTGTGTGTGAGTGTGTTTGTGTGTGTGTGTTTGTGAGTGTGTGTGTGTGTGTGTGTGTGATTGTGTGTGTGTGTGTGTTTGTGAGTGTGTGTTTGTGTGTGTGTGTATGAGTGTATGAGTGTGTGTGTTTGCGAGTGTGGGTGTGTATGTGTGTGTTAAAATAGATGAACCATTAATAGTTTTGTTAGATGTTAGAAGTACTCTATATAATCAGGTCGAGAGAGCAATGAGCTTGAAGAATCTTAAACCGAGAGCGCATTGTTCAAAAGTTCAAACTGTTTTTTTTATGACATTGAGACAGAAATAAATGAACTCTACTCCATTCGTCTCATTGCTTATCTAATCTTGTAAAAGTTACAATATTTTTTTTAATTGTAGACTTTGTTAGGATATAGACCAGGGTTTCTTTCATTTATTTTTCTCCGGAAGGGAAGGAGGGGGGTGCTCTTAAATTTCGGGGGGGGGGGGGGGCGGACGTTGGTTGAAGTATATGCTTTCTATTTAAAAAAATATTATTTTTAATTATTTTTTTGCAGGTAGTGGGGGAACATAGACGTGGTCCGGGGGGTGGGGGAAGGGTGTACTGACCGATCGACAAATGGGATAAACTCTGACATAGACTTACCTGGTCTATCCCTTGATGAAACAAAATAATAAACGCGATCGGGAATTCCCTTTCTTCTGGAGTAGGTGGTAGGTGCCGGTTGTAGCCGTACTTCAGCACAAAGGCGACGCAGTCCCGGGCGTCCTTGAGCAAAGTGGCCGGAAGGATCGGCCTCACGGTCGCAGGATACTGCCGGTTGAGGGTCGGGTAGTGGAGGGGCACGGTGCAGTTGGTGCCATACAACTGCGGGAACCCGACCCACTGGTGCTCGTAGGCGTAGGAGATATTGTGCCGGAGGATTTCCGGATCGCGGAACAGTTGCTCCACCTGGGACCGGGTTCCGGTCGAGGTGCTACGGAAAAGCCCGAAGAATGATCGGGTGTCATCGTAGTCGTCCCGGAAGTCTGTTTTGACGGTGAGTGGGGACATCGAGGACATGAAGAGGAGGCCGAGGACACTGAGGGTGAGGCAGAGGAAAAACACGGACCAGCGGCCTGGGGGAGGTACAAGGTTACATTGTTAACATTGGCTGGGGAGTAAAGATATCAAATGTTAACTTAGGCAGGGGAGTAAAGACATCAAATGTTACAATAGTCAGGGGAGTAAAGACATCAAATGTTAAAATAGTCAGGGGAGTAAAGACATCAAATGTTAAAATAGTCATGGAAAATAAATACATAAAATGGTGAAATAGACAGGAGAGTAAACACATTAAATGTTAAAATAGTGAAGTAAACACATCAATTGTTACAATAGCCAGGGAAATAAATACATCAAATGTTAAAAAAGTCATGGAAAATAAATACATAAAATGTTAAAATAGTCAGGGGAGTAGACACATCAAATGTTAAAATAGGGGTGTAAAGACATAAAATGTTAAAATAGTCAGGGGAGTAAACACATCAAATATTAAAATAGTAAAGTAAACACATCAAATGTTAAAATAGGAGAGTAAAGACATCAAATGTTAAAATAGTCAGGAGAGTAAACACATCAAATGTTAAAATAGTCAGGCGAGTAAACACATCAAATGTTAAAATAGTAAAGTAAACACATCAATTGTTACAATAGCCAGTGAAATAAATACATCAAATGTTAGAATAGTCAGGAGAGTAAAGACATCAAATGTTAACATAGGGGAGTAAAGACATCAAATGTTAAAATAGTCAGGGGAGTAAACACATCAAATGTTAAAATATTCAGGGAAATAAATATATCAAATGTTAAACTAGTCGGGGGAGTAAAGACTTCAAATGTTAAAATAGTCAAGAGAATAAATACATCAAATGTAGAAGCAGCGAGTACACGAAACACATGAAATTTGAGAAAGTCCAGGGGACTAAGTATATTTAAATGTTAAATTTTTTCACAGCTCGAAGTCGTTTCAATTTATATTATTTAGGTGAGCACATTTACAATACATAATACACCGTTTTAAAAGCATAAGTAAGTGAGCAAGTTATTCATTAATGTAAATAGAATTAAAACACAAATTAGAATCTATAATGCAATAACATTCTAATCTAAGACCTGTCCAATCAGAAATGCAAAAGATCTATTTAAATTATTTTCGAGTTCAGCTTTTACGTGTCCGACTAGATATACCAATCATTATATAGATCTACGAACATTCACACATGTTTTTCTAGTATTTTGGTTGCAAAATTGGGCTACGATCTCCATTGCTCAAGGGCTTTATTTTTTACGAGCCGACCCGCCGCTATTTAGTTGTTTTTTTTTTCTACTTTTCAGTAATTTATAATTTGTGAATTCGACAGTACCAATGCTGAACACCGCTCACCAGATCATGTGGGGGTGGGGTGGGGGTGGTAGTGATAGTGATAGAGAGAAAGAGAGGGGACTGCAAGGAGGCGCTTGCAGCTTGTTTTCTAACTGATCCCAGAAGAGAATTATATATACGAGCCGACCCGCTGCGTATCATACGCCGCTATTTAGTTGTTTTTTTTTTCTACTTTTCAGTAATTTATAATTTGTGAATTCGACAGTACCAATGCTGCCATTGAAAATATTTGCTTAAAAACACTACCCCCCCCCCCCCCACGTGAAAGCAGCCTCATCTTAGTTACCTCCTCTAAGTTTAAAGTCGTTTCAAACTAAATTATCTGCCCCTAATAGCCGTCACCAAACCCGTCTCTGTGATTGTAAAATGTAAACAGAGTGAACACCGCTCACCAGATCATGTGGGGGTGGGGTGGGGGTGGTAGTGATAGTGATGGAGAGGAAGAGAGGGGACTGCAAAGGCGCGCTTGCAGCTTGTTTTCTAATTGATCCCAGAAGAGAATTATATATATAGATAGATAATCTTGTTTTTCAATGGATAAATCTTAAATTATGTTTTAAAGGTTCTTTTTGCCTCAGTTTTTACAGCGTCAGTTTACCTAACCATACTATTTAGAGTTTTGATCCTCCGGTTGCAGTTTGTGAGGACTGATGCAGACTTACAATAATAATGCTTCTATCTAATACGTACTTATTATTCGTACTTTCATTTAAACATGATTGTGCATGTTTAATCACAAATCGTGATTAATTAAGGCTAATTGATTTCAGAAAGTTAACACACAAACTTCCAATGTTGTCCCAATGAAGTAATTTCTAATGTTTTCATTAAATCAGAAATTGATTGTAGCAGTAAAGGGTTTTGGTTATATTAGATACACAAAAAATAAAAACGCTAAAACAAAATTGCACCAAAAAGTAATCAAACTATGAGGTTAGATTTTTCCTTTTACTTTTTAATTAATTAAAAAAATATGAGTTAATTTTCAAAAGACCTTAAAGTCGTCCACAAAAAAATAACAATAATAGTATTCAAAAAATTTAAAAATCACTTCCCCTATTTAAATTTACAAACAAGTAGCTTCCCTTTATTCCATTAACACACTCTATTTGGTCATTGTAATCATGTGAAGCTTTTTTGTTTCTCCAAATGGAGTAACCATTTAAAAATAAAGATTGAGCATTTCTTATAGAAATCATCATCATCATTTGCGGTATAGAAGAGTTAATCTAAGTGGACGCAGGGACGCTCTACTGATTGAACTCGTATTCGACTTTCGAGATAGCAGTCTAGCTCGCTACCGCTAGGGCATACCGCTACGGATAGTGGAAAGAAATTTTAAGAAGTATTTAAAGGACGATGAAAGCCATAATTGAAACAGAAACGCCAGATTCATCTCAAGATTAAAGAGGTCGGCGTGGTCGAGTCGATAAAGATCATGGTTGCTAAACCGAAAAGTCTCGAGTTCGAACCCTCGGGCAGATGAAGATAAGGCTCGATCCCTTCCAACACTAAAAATTAAGAACGAAGAAAGAGAAAGAAGTTCCCCCCCCCCCCGCGGCTCAACTACAGCAGTTACCTGTCGAGGCCGACTTGCACTTGAACATCTCCCGTGAATTCCATCTGGAGACGCAGAACAGTCCCGACACGTCGCCATGGCAACGGGGACACACCAGATCACACCGACACGACATGTGTGTCTGTTGGGACGATGTCATGTGTCTTCCTCACAATCTTCAGATGCTGTGTCTTGCGCCATTGTGCATAGTTCCTCACTGTGAGAAAACTGTATGTCTACACGGCTACAAGGATGAGAAGACGAGACGGTCCGTAGAAAAAACTGGTCAGTTATATACACGGTTAAACCTGCCAGTTATATACTTTACTTCACAGCTATATACAGCAACACGGCTAAACGTCTCAGCTATATACAGTTTTACAGCATCAACGTCACAGCCATTTAACTAAACGTCCCAGTCGTACACAGCCGTGAGACTTAACATCCCAGCTTTATACAGCTACACAGCTAAATATCCCAGCTATACACAGCTAAATGCCGAAACCTTCCAAGCTTACGCAGTTATACGGTTTTATGTCACGGCTATATACAGCTAAACATCCCAGCGGTATACAGCTAAACCTTCAAGGCGTACACAATTATAACGCGCTATGTCACGGTTATACACAGCTATACAGCTAAACGTCGCAGCCGGTCACAACTTGACGTACCAGCTGTATACAGCTACACAGATGTATCGAACCATCCCACGACGCGTACGCCCAAGAGCAACCTCCGAGATATCGACAGACTTATGAAGCGCGTATCGCAGCAAACATCGATTCAATAATTGCTGGCAGTCGACCCACACCTGTGCTGACTTACATGAAGACATGGCGAAATCGCGGCTGTTGATGTTGTATAAAAATACAAACCATGAATATATCTACTGTTGACTTGACAAAAATAAATAATGTCTATACCGACTTCTTTATTTGTGTTGTAGAAATAAAGTATGAACTATGTCTATAATATCTAAAGCACTGATTTTATTGACTTAGTTAAAAAAAAAACATAAAGAAAATGTCTGGGTCTATATCTACTCTGTGTTTGCTGACTTAGCAAAAAAAATAATATAAGAAAAATAAATGTAATGTTGTTATGACATGTTTCGAATTTAATCAAAATAGCGTCATCACTTATATAAATAATCTAGCTAAAACGTAAAAACAAAGGGATTTCCATAAAAAAAATTAAAAAAAAAACAATCGACAAAAGCTCTCCGATCAGTGGTTATAGTGGGCCAGTAATCTCGTAGGCAGTGGACTATTTTAAAAAGAAAGTTTTTTTAAAAATAAAATAATATTGATTGGTTCGTTCAGTGAACTACAAAATTCTATTATAAAATGGGAGATACCTTTCGTCAAATCAATTAAAAGTTCAAATGTTAAATTACTTTTAAGTATGAAATTTTTGGTGGTTCCGAAACAAAATATTTGAACATCTTGACTTTTTCCCCATAGCTCGCTTCTTTTGTATTTGATCCATATTGTTACATTAGATTGATTAAGAGGTAAGGGGAAGGGGGAGGGGGAAGCACTAAATCACACATTTTTAAAAATAAAATATTTGTTTCTTTTGGTGCGTGAAGTAAAATTGAATTTCTTTGCTTTATATCAGGGGTCTCCAAACTTTTCAGTCCGAGGGCCGCATTAACTATCAAATTTCAGTTCGGGGGCCAGTTTCTTCCAGACATGTCTTTGATTTTTCTGGGCAAAGTTCTTCAGCCATCACCAACAAACGTTTTTTCCGTTGACAAAAGGATCTCCGCGGGCCGGATGAGAGGACCTCGCGGACCGCATGCGGCCCGCGGGCCGTAGTTTGGAGACCCTTGCTTTATATAATACATGGTAGATCGTGTTTTGAGATTAGTCATATTTAAGGGTAAAATTAATTTAAAACAAAAATAAAGTATTATTTTAATGGTTTACTTAAATTAAATAAAATTTATAATTGAATGACAAATATAACAAAAACTATATTTTATTATATTTTGCCTTATCTTTTGTATTAAATAAATGAACAAAAAACAATAGTTAACTTTTGCAATATGTTTATGCGCTATATTTACTGGTTATTTGAGTATTTGAACATTTTTTGTTAGTTAGTTCCCTTTAGACCACATTACAATCACATCGCTTCCTCACAAAAACCTCACCACAGCCTCACCACCACCACACCACAACCAAAAAAATAAACCGGGAATGATCTCCGCTAAACTTCCTGGAATAAGCTTATATAACACTACGGGGGATGTAGACATGATTATTAATCCATTTTTAATTTCTTAAACTTTTCAAAATAGAATAGAATCTAGTAGAAAAAGGAATTGCGCACCAATTGAACGACAAACAATCTGTGCATAAGTGTGGGATATTATTAGTACTGTATAAATTCACATTCGTTTTTTGAGATATCGGAAGTAGCGTACATTACTACTTTCGGTCAACGGAAATTACTCAAAATTTGATAGAAGTCAGAAATTTAGATCTTTTACTTATTTGTGAATTTTCGTCTATCTATCTGAAATAGAAGTCAAGTTATAGGCTTTTGAAAAACCAAAAGTAGAATGAATAAGTTCCACTTCCTGTTACCGGAAATCGCTGAAAAGTTGATACAGAACTACACATGTGATATAATACTTATATATGAAATTTCATCAACCTAGCTGTAACGGTACTCAAGTTATCGTGTTTACACACACACACACACACACACACACACACATACACACACGCTCGCGCGCACACACACACACATATACACACACATACACACATACACACACACATACGGACAGAATTTCAAAGCCCAGTTTTTCCGACTCGATTATTGATTATGCATAGAAATTTTGATATATCTGCATTCATTATTTTTGCCCAATTAAATATATGATGAAGTACTGAGGTGTAATTCGATGAAAACGGTCAAAATTCCATGTGATTTTTGTGCACGATTACAATACTTTCTCTATACTCTGTATACGAGAAAGTAAAAACACACCACTTTAAATTGCTCAGGTACAACACTAAACACTAAAACACTAAATGTTGACTATCAAATGTTCCCCCCCCCCCCACACACATACACACATATAGCCACCACCACACCAAAACCACAGAAAAACACAACACTTTAAATTGCTCAGGTACATGGAAAACACTAAATGTTGACTACCCAATGTCCCGCCCCCCCCCCCCCCCCCCCCCCCACACACATACTTATCCCCACCCGCGCAAATCTCTACATAAGCTGTATTGCCCGGCCCCTCACTACATAATGACCTCAACTAATGATGCAATCACTCAACATTTGTTTCAATGCTTTTGGTGCAGTGAATAATTTATTTTAGTTCACAAGCCTAATTCGCTGAAAAATTAAATATAATTTTAATGATCACGTATAATTTGTTGAGTTATTAAAAATGTAATAAAGCTAATTAAGTGTTTTAGTCAGTGTAATTGTGTATTTGTTTAGACAGCGACATGTTCTTGATGATTCCTCTGCTTCCCTGTGGAAGTGTGAACAATAGTATCGTCTATTGTGCTGCGGAACTGGGGAGGGGGGTGGGGGGTTTTGTGGTGCGTCGCTTGTCGATAAGTTACAACCAGTGTCTTGAAAAAAAAAATTGGGGAGGGGGGGGGGGGCGGACTAAATTTTTTGGGAGGGTGGACACACTAGTAAAGGTATATAGAAAATATCATTGCTGGTCAAAACAGGCAGAAACAAGTATTTTAAATGCCCGTACATTCCTTTGGAGTGTCATAATTTTTAAAAAAATTTGATTTATTATTGTGTAAGGATGTAAAATGAAAGAAGACAAGCATTTTAGATTGAATGAATGAAATCGTTTAGAGCTCAATTAAGAGTTATTTTAGTTTCAAGATGTTTATTACCGACATATTCAACATAGCTTTACGATTTTTTTTTCTGTGTCATAATTTCATTAAATAAACACAATTATGCATGCAAAATATGACTGTGTTAGTAGATCACAAGAGAATGAAAGTAAACATTTCAATGTCTGACGTACAATGAGTCCTTGTAGTCGCACGGAACAACACAAAAGGGGACAAACTGGTTGCGTGTGTGGGGGAGGGGGGAATAATATAATGGGGTGCCCAGTCAAGCGAAACCGCGTGTTTTGGACGGTCGTGGTGGCAAAATATGGTGGTCAGCGATGACGTAGTACACGGCTGTGAGTGACGTAAAACACAGGTGGCGGGTATGGGACGACGCGACGGAAGATTAGGTCAACTAAACACACCCGATTGACCTTTACGCTTGACCACCCACACCCCACTCGCCCCTACCCCAAGCCAGCGTGCTCGTAAACAAATACCTAACTACTTGTGACTTGGGTATAGTAAGACAGCTGCTGACCGTGTCATAAGTTGTAACTTTAGTGCTAGTTTGGTCAGTTGACGGAGCTTCTGCGACCAGTTGTTAGAGAAGTGGCGCTAGTCCAGCTTGTTGTCTGGTTGTGCTGCGGAGGCCAGTGTTCAAGGATGCAGCGTGCGGACTTTACAACACAGGTAACACACACGTTTTATATTCAAATATATAATCTTAATTAGATCGGATGGTCCTTCGGATAGATGAAGTAGAGTTTACGTGTTTTTTAATTAAGTACACCACGCCCTAAACATGTCGCGAGTGCAGGACGTGTCGTGTGTCGATAAAACACACCAGCTATTAAATTTATGAGGTTGTTGCAATCAGGTGGGATTACATGGGGTTAAGGGTTAAATAGGCGAGTTCAAGGACTCTTCCTCATGGGGATTAGGGTCAAACAGATGGGATCAGGGTATCTTACCTCCGGGGGATTAAGGTCAAAGGTGTAATACAGCTGGGGTCACTTTAGGGTCTCACACAAACAAATAACATGCATCGTAAGACGGGAATCGTATCATCATCAAGAAGGATTAGAAACTTGAGTACCTCCGCTTGTACTATTTTGATTTACTTAAATTGTTGATATGGGACGACGTGGCCTAGTGGTAGAGGGCCAGGACTGCTAACCTGAAAACCGAGAGTTCGAATCCGGGTTCAAGTCAGTAGAATGTCCCTGAGTCCACCCAGCTCTGATGGGTACCTCACTCACGTTAAGAAAGCAAAGGCTGTTGGGCATAGTGCTGACAACACCAACCATTCTCTAAAA